CCCTGACTAAGCCATAGGCATGAAGGTCTATATAATCAAGATGGATTCCTTTGTATAAGGGCTTCGTGGCTCAAGATCAATCATTTAGTATACTCTACTTTTAGTTACGAATGGCATATCATTATTGTCATTACTTTAAGTCCCTGCTTGACGCCCTAGTTATAAACCACCTCGAGAGCCTAGAGCACTTCCACGTGATCTAGACGGCAAACCTCGTAACAAGTAGATTCTAAAACTCTTTATTGTATTTACTAAATATTGAAGAATTGAGATAAATCATAAAAATGAAAACCTTATTTTATTAAAATATATATCAAGAACCTTAATATCTTCAAATTTGAGATCAAAATATTGAAGAATTGATTTAATAATTAAGATTGAATAGAGTGGTGTGAATAAATAATTTTGGGTAAAATTCGGCCTACGGACCGCTGTGCCCAAGTACTGTACGTAATAAATTTTCATTTTCATTTTCATTTTATCAAATCATCAATCCATCAATCCACCCCTTTATCCCCCCTACGCCCCCAACCACAGACCCCAAGCCACAAAACACTCCCCCCTAAATCTTCTCCTCAACCCACAAATGTCCCCCCGCCTCCTCCAAAACCTTAACAAGTTCATCAGCACCAGCTTTCCTCGCCAAAAATAACGGTGTATTTCCTGCTTTATTACGTGCGTGAACACTTGCACCTCTTTTTAACAACTATTTGTTTTTGGAAGATTTTTGTTAGTGATGGGGGGTTTTTTTTTTTGAAAAAAAAAAAAAAAAAAAGCTCAAAATTTGCTTTTAGAGTTAAAAAGTTGGAGTTTGAAAGTCTGTTGGGAGGTGATGAGATGATGAGGTGTATGAGGTGGTGAGTTGTATGAGGTGTATGAGGTGAGCTTCTGGGAAGACACAAGGGGAAGGCTATTCCGGCGAGTCTTATTTTCCGGCCTAGCGGATTTGCTTTTGGAGGAGTTTTATTGAAAATCTTTTAATTGATGGAGAGTTTTGAAAGATTTAAATCTTTCAAATGTTTCCAATATATATAATCATATAAAAGAATCAAAGTCCATACATCAACGACCCACAATCCAGATTATTAAAAACCTAGAAAAGTCACAGGGAAAATAAAGAGAAATATTAAGCAGAGGCACTACCTACTTCTCTTAAAACATCCACTGAAGGACCCACTGCTCCCAAATGTAATGCGGTATTTCCAACATAATCCGTTGCTTGAAGAAGACCTGCACGATCATGATCAAGAATATTGACAATAGATTTTGTGTCACCCTTTTCAATTGCGTAGCCTAATCCCGTAAAAGCGTGTTGTTGAGCCGTGATAGAAACTTGATCAGTTGGCGGATGAGAAAATGCCGTACCAGCTTCCTCAGTCATTTCTCCTCGAATGGAACATTGCATTTGCATTGTAATATCGTTGTATGATAGATCTGGAAGAGCCAAGAGGAAAGAAAGTTTAGTGAGTGCTGCTTCGGTTGTAAGATCGTGACCAAAAACTACACCTGCCCGACCAAGAATGGTAGCTGGTGCGTAAAGAGGAGATACTGAGCCAGAATGACATTGTGATACGTTGACTATGATGACACCTCTTTCACAAGCTTCTTTCATGATCTTGATCATGCTTCCATCATCTCCACTTGGTGCGTTACCAGCTCCGAAAGTTTCGAGGATGAGACCTCGAAGATTTGGAATTCGGAGGACAGCATCGATCATTTCTGGTTTGATACCAGGGAAGATACGAAGGCATGCTACGTGAGAAGTATCAAGATTTAATTGTACTCCGAACTTTGCGATCGATCGTGGGCGACGAACGAGATTCCAATTAACTGTTGCCCCTAAAGCCGTTACTTTGGCTAAAGGTTCACAATTTGGTGAAGCAAAGGCGTCGAAGGAGGTTGCCGAAACTTTAGTTGTGCGATTTCCACGAAATAAATTATGATGGAAGAAGAGACATACTTCAGGGATCATAAAAGTTCCGGCGATGATTAATGATCCGAGAAGGTTATCCACGGCATCAGATTGAAGAGCAAATATTGAAGCTTGAGACCCAGTGAGGATAACCGGTTTTCCAAGATGGGACAGCATGAAAGATAAAGCTGAACTCGTGTATGCCAGACTATCTGTACCATGAAGAACCACGAAACCATCGAATAAATGATAATTTCTCTCAATCGTGGTAGCTATTTGTGTCCAGCCATTTGAAGATATTGAGGATGAATCTAGTAAGACAGGAAATTCGTATAAAGTGTAACGAACGTGTCGAGAATACGTGCTTGGGGGAGTACGTAAACTGGGTAGGTATTCTTGTGTTGTGTTTGTGGTCATAACTGGCATAGGATCTGAACACAAGTTAGTCATTAATTAATTCTCCGAAAAACATATTGCGTCTGCTGTGATTTAATTTCTCGGAAAAAACTAAAGTATATTGAAAGCGGAGATAATGCAATGCAATGAAAAACGATGAATTACATGTGACATATCTTAATATAGCTTATTCAATTATATTTGAAGTGGATGTCACTGGAAGACTCCCATTGATATATTCCGAGATGAATTTGTGTAAAGAGACGCAGTAGAGCCATTTAGTGTGACTTGGAGACGCAATTGTTTACACAGAAAAGTCCCTTGAGATCTTCAAATATGCCACATTCAACGAATACTTCCTAGCGACCTTACACGACCTTCGTCATATACATATTTTTTTGTGTTCAAATTTAAAAACATTAGACGTCATTGCAGATTTCCAGCTCTCCACATTATGAGAGTTCATCATTCTATAAAAAACAGAAGGTCTAGAACTATAATATTCTTCCACATAGCATTTCAAGTCTCACTTGATAGTTGAAAGGACCTGTGAGGTGTACCGATAGTCACTATAAAAAATATCTGTCTGACAGATTCAGTGCAGATTACACTTGACAATTGAAGGTACCCATGATGAAAAGAAATGTGATTGTAGTAACACTCCTTCCATAGAGTAAATCAATTTTTTGAGCTGCACTCTATCATTGAAAGGGTCCATCGAATTGAGGAAATTTCAATGTAGGATACTACCCTTACAGAACTTTTCAATGTCTGAACTATTGTCGACAATTGAATGTTCCGCGAAAGGAAGAATTGCAATAGAGGGTAATAGGATAATAGTAGAAAAATGAAACATTCTCACCTGGATTTGATCCATCGTTGAATGATGGTCTTGTAGCCATGCCTTCCTTGAGAAAGCCTCTTGCTGGAATCAAACCTTCCGGAGAAGATTTCATACAGATGGTACCTCCTGTCATAATGATAAGGACACGGCCTTCCGGGTATGATTGTGTCGCCATGGCGCGTGCTTTGAATGAAAACTCTCGGTAGCGAATTAGGAGAAATGAATCGCTAGGAGAATTATTTTCAAAGGATTTGTGTTTTGTACCTAGGCGACGGAATGAATGAAAGACAGCTTGGCAACGAAGGATGTTGGATTAGACTAAAATAATGTCCTTGGGAGTACGAAAAGAAGAGGTTCGAAAGTATGGTTGAGTAAATTCTTCTTTTGCAATGTTGATCTAACAAGTCAAGTTGTTTTCCTGTGGTGAAGAGGAAAAAGTTCTTAAAACCCATCTATTAGCTTGACCTTTTCAGTTTGAATGAAAATGAGCTAAGGAAGAAAGCTAAGGCTTACTAACGATCCGATCAGCTATATGGTATATATGGAATGTCAAAATAAGTCAACAACGAGGTACAAGTTGTTGTGGCGAAAACGATAGACGAGATGAAAGATGAGATATTCACACAATGTTGTTGTCGTTGTGGTCCAGAATTTGATCATGTCGTGAGTGAATGAATCTGAAGATGATAAAATTTACTTGTGCTCACATGAATAATCTTCGGACATATCCACCTCCATTCTTGAAGCATCAATCATCTTTCATGAATGGAAAACCATAACGTAATTGACCAATAAGAGTTAAAGAATTATTGATTTTTATATTGAAAACCGACAAACTCAATCATCTACTACCTAGTGTACCGTTTTTGAATGTCACAAGTACTTGCAGTATTACTACTCGAGTAATTAATTGATCACACCAAAATGAGTTCAACGTGATTCACGGATGGGAAAGGATCCGTTGAGACGGCGTTAAGACGGGAACAAAAGGTAAGAGGGATTTGTTTACGAGGAAAATAAAACGTCCAAGAAAACATGAAGGTATTCCAAGAAATGTAATTTTAATATGTATTACTAAGTATCATGTTACTTTTGTAAATGCTAAGAATAAATCTGTATGGAATGGGCGGGCACACCAGGCATTATTCATCCGTCCGTACCAAGACTTTTTCCATTTTACATTGAGGCGTTTGTCTGACTACGTTGGTGCGTTTGTGCCGAGTAGCGCAGCCACATCCCACACCACACCCACCCACCACACCCACCCACCATACATTATCAAATCTTTATCGAGAAACAGTAAGGTTGGAGTAGATCAGAGAACAAACGAATCCGTCACAATTTATTATTAGTGACAACCTCAACTTCAAGAAAATATATTCCATTCCTCTTCTCTTTCCTTCTTCACCGAGTATCGAGTATCGAGTATATCTTCATAAATATATCTTCTTCTTCTTCTTCCTCCCGCCGACAATGTCATCACATCCCATAGACATTCAGTCGGATAATCTTTCACTTTCTCTCCACTACATGTCACTTCTTGCCAATTCCTTGGTACCTTGTAGTATCTCTCTTGTCTTGACTTAAACCTTTCGATTTCCATCCAAAATCATCTGAAAGCTTCATCTCAAAATACTTCAACTCCACAGAATTAAAATTCGGTCCCGAGAATCTTTCACAACCACTCCAAGAATCCCAGTGACATTCAATTCTATTCTTTGCCAAGCAAATTCAATCATCTTCCATAATCACAGCAGTGACATTCATCCTCTTCTGCTTTCTCCCATTCATTTTCTTCATTAATCTTCATTAACAAAATTGAACACCGCAGCCCTTACTTCATTCCCCCCAAAACCCCTCTTCTTTCCACAACGCAAAATCCTCCTTCATATATCATAGCTTGGGCTATGCGCCAAACCTTTGCATTCACAACCGCAGCTATGGCAGCAGCTTTAGAAGATACTCCTATTTCCTATGAGGATTTGGCTGAAATTGAGAGGGAATTTGATGATGTTGAAACCGAGATTAGTATGTCAATATTTTCTTTTTCTCTTCAATGACGTTGAAGATACGATTATTTGCTCGTGTTGGAGGGGTTCAATGCGCCACGACTTTTCTGTAATCATATCAGATCAGATCGATCTTTTCGTACGACATTCTTGGGATGTACATGTATACATTCATTTCATGCCTGGTATATTTTTAGGATCTGCGAATATTCTATTCATGGGGATCAGTACCATTCAACTAACTCTTTACCAGTTCGTCAACAAGTATCCCTCACTCGACCTCTTTACATTCGTCGCAATAAAACTATTTCACAAATTCCAAATTTTTGGGCTCTTGTACTCGAACAAGCGCCTCCTGATATAGATCAATATATTCAACCATCCGATTCCGCACTTTTACTTTCATCACTCACTTCTCTTCACGTATCACATTTCGAACTAGAAGATTCAACAACTGCCAGTGGAGGAGATCCAAGATCTGTATCAATTACATGGACATTCTCTTCCAATGAATATTTCGAAGATGAGAAATTGGTCAAGAAGTTTTGGTATAGAAAGAGTCTTGGTGGATGGAGTGGATTGGTTAGTGAACCAGTTAGAATTCATTGGAAAAAGGGAAAAGATTTAACAGGAGGTTTACTGGATATGGTTTGTGATACTTGGGATGAGGAACAGAAGAATAAATCCAGCGGAGACGATGAAAAGAAAGCAAAGAATATGACAGCGCAACAAAGGGCTCTCGAAAAGAAAATGGCAAATACAAGTATGGGAGGTTTAAGTTTTTTCGCATGGTTTGGATTTATTGGTCGAAGAATCAGTGAGGAAGAAAGTGAAGAAGCAAATGCTAGAGAATTAACAAGAAGAGAAGCCAGGAAGAAAGGAAAGAAAGTTACAGAACCAGAAGATGATGAGGATGAAGAAGATGAAGAGTTAGGAATGAGTTTAGAAATTTTCCCTGATGGAGATGAACTCGCCATTGCTATTACGGAAGATTTATGGCCTGGTGCTATCAAATATTTTAGTTGGTCTACCCTTTCACATCCCTAGCAATTCCATCTCCTTTAACAATCAGTATTGGGAAATTTTACTAACATACATGAAATAGCAGCAGCACAAGAACAGGATGCACTATCAGATGCGGATTTTGAATCAGATGATGATGAAGACGAATTAAATGAAGCAGAGAGACCAATTAAGAAACAAAGATCTTCTTAAGTTCTTATAAATTATATTGGGGTTTTGTGGAGGGGATTGGGTCGTTCGTAGAAGGTGTGGGTAAGGCTGGGTTAGGCTGGATTGTTTTGGTGATTATAAATAAGGATATAAAACTTCCCTTTCTTTTATATCTAGGCTGGCTGATGGCTGGGTTGGATGGATGGGTGGATGGATGAATGGATGGTGAATGGTGGAGTTTACATTGGAATCTCTAATAGGATGGAATAAATTGGACTGGATTAATGTCCAAGGTAAGATAGCTAGAATATCAACAATCGCTAATGGACTGGGGGTTTGGAGCTGGTTTTGCATTTGAATTTAGGGTAGTTTGTTTAATTAAGGGGATGATGGATGGGTTGGTAGGTGGTTAGGTTAGGTATAAATAGAGAGGGGTTGATTGTGACGGAAAAGTCGTAAACGGAGTCAATTCAATTACTTAGAATCTAAAACTAAAGAACTAAGAAGATTCTAAGTAAGAAGGTCTTTATATACAGGGCTAGTGCACGTGAGCCACTAGTGGGTAACAACTGTCACGTAACATTGATTATAAGAATTAAAAATTTAATAACGTAATTTATCACCGAGTGGGCCATATCACCGAGTGGGCCACTTTCACCTCAATTCACACTCTTCATATTCAACACGCGTTTTATCAACCATTTATTATGCAATCTACAAATAAAGAAGCACGTTTACTCTTAGCTATCGAAGCTTTTCAAAAAGATAAAAAACTAAGCATTCGGAAGGCTGCTCAACTATATAATATACCTCGCACAACGATCAGCCACAGAATGGATGGTTTAACTCCACGTACAGAAACTCGAGCGAATTGCCATAAGATTACACAATTGGAAGAGAAAGTGATTGTTGAATACATACTTGATATGGATCGAAGAGGATTTCCACCTAAAATCAAGGGTGTAGAAGATATGGCGAATTATATTCTTGAATCAAGAAATGCGAAGAAAGTTGGAAAGCTCTGGGCTCATCGATTCGTAAAGCGTCATACAGAATTAAAGACGCGTTTTAGTCGTGTTTATGATTTTCAAAGAGCTCTCTGCGAAGACCCTAAGCTTCTTGAGGAGTGGTTTCGATTGGTATCGAATATGCGAGCAAAATATGGTATTCTGGATTGCGATTTCTATAATTTCGACGAAACAGGCTTTATGATGGGGATTATAAGTGCTGCAATGGTTGTAACTGATGCTGAACGACGAGGCAGAGGTAAAGCAGTACAACCAGGCAATCGAGAATGGGCTACAGCAATTATATGTGGTAATGGGGAGGGTGAAACTATACCTCCATTTCTGGTAGTTCAAGGACAAATCCATCTTTCCAATTGGTACACCGAAACCGATTTTCCTGCGGATTGGGCTATCAAACCTACTTCCAATGGATGGACGAATAATGAGACAGGATTAGAATGGTTAAAGCATTTCGATAAACATACAATTCATCGAAGAAAGGGCAAATATCGAATGTTAGTATTAGATGGACACGAAAGTCATGAATCAATATCTTTTCAGTCATATTGCAAGGCAAATGATATTATATGTATAAGATTACCACCGCATTCAAGTCATTTAACTCAACCACTTGATGTTGGGTGTTTTAGTGTCCTAAAACGTTCGTATGGTTGTCAAATTGATGGATTTATCAAGGCACATATCAATCATATCTCCAAGGTTGAATTCTTTATAGCTTTTAAAGCTGCATATCAAGAATCAATTACAGTTCAGAATATGAAAGCTGGGTTTCGAGGAGCTGGATTAATACCATTTAATCCCGAAGCTGTACTCTCAAAATTAGATATTCGAATTCATACACCTACTCCTCCTCCTTTCGATTTGGATCTTTGGATCTCTCAAACCCCTCACAATCCAACTGAAGCTCTTTCTCAATCAACTTTAGTAAAATCTCGAATATCTCGTCATCAATCAAGCTCTCCTACACCTATATTCAAAACTGTACTAGCTTTAGCTAAAGGCACAGAAAGATTGGCACATGAAAATACACTTTTAAGTGCAGAAAACCGTACACTTCGGAAGGCAAATGAGGCATTAAGCAAACATCGACGTGCAAAAAAAACTCAATTACGGCAAGGAGGAGTACTTACTGGACAAGAAGCTATGGATATATTATCTCAGCAAGAGGTTGATATTCAGATTCAACGCGACGAGCGTCAAAATGGGGGGAATTCTAATGGGGAAGCATCTTCTAGTAGATGCTGTAGTAAGTGTGGAAAGCCAGGTCATAATTCAAGAACTTGTCAAATCAATATAATAGATCCTAGATTATTAGATTCCTAATAGTTTCAATCAATTGATTCAATTGTTGTTGAATAATATGTACTTGAAAGTGTAAATTGAGGTGAAAGTGGCCCACTCGGTGATATGGCCCACTCGGTGATATGGCCCACTCGGTGATAAATTACGTTAAGCTTTTATAAGTTTTGGTTTAACGTGTTTCATCACCCCGTGCACCATATCACCTCGTGCACCACTTTCACCTCAATTCCTATTTATAATCATATATAATTCAACAATTACTTGATCAATTGATTTAAATTAAGCACTATCTAATAATTTAGGATCTATATTATCATTAGAACATATTCTTGCATTATGACCTGTTATTCCATATTTACTACAGCATCGATTAGTCGATGCCTCTCTATTAGAATTCCGCCCATTTTGTTGCCTATCGCGTTTAATCTGAACATCCACCTCTTTTTGTGATATAATATCATTAGCCTCTTGAATAATGAGAGCTCCTCCTAAACGTAATTGAGTCTTTTTAGCGCGTCAACGTTTACTTAATCCTGTATTTGCCAATCGAAGATCGTGATTCTCAAAAGCTAAAATCGTGACAGTACTAGCTAGGTATTCTACATCTTTAATTAAAGGATCTGTAGCCTTAAATATAGGTGTAAAAGAGCTAGAATGATATTGAGCAATAATAGATCGTACTAAAAATGCTTGTGAAAGAGCTTCGATAGCATTGTGAGGTGTTTGTGAGACCCAATCGGGTATATGACTCGGAGGAAGCGAAGGAGGAGTAGGTGTACAGATTCGAATATCCATTCTAGAGAGTACAGCATCGAGATTAAAAAGGATTAATCTTGCTCCTCTAAAGCCTGCTTTCATATTCTCCATTGTAATTGCTTGTTTGTATGCAGTATTGAATGCTATAAAGAATTCGACTTTGGAGATATGATTGATATACATCCATATATACCCCTCAATTTGCTTGCTATATGTGCGTTTTAGTACACTAAAACAATTAACATCAAGAGGTTGGGTGAGATGATTTGAATAAGGTGGTAATCCAACGGTTTTAATCTTATGTTCTATACAATAGTTCTGAAAAGGGCCTGATTCATAGCTTTCATGTCCATCTAAGACTAGTATTCGATATGCACCCTTCGTACAGAGTTTCGTATGCTTATCAAAATGCTTTAGCCATTCTAAACCCGTCTCATTATTCGTCCATCCATTTATAGTAGTTTTAACCACCCATTCGGGAGGCATATCCGTCTCGCTGTACCAATTGGCTAGGTGCATTTGTCCTTGAACGAGATATGGAGGTATGTTCTCCCTTGTCGCATTACCACATACAATCGCTGTCGACTATTCTCTATTGCCTAGCTGTATTCCTTTACTTTTGTCACGTCTATCTGCATTAGTAATAACCATACTAGAGGATATCACTCCCATCATAAAGCTTGTTTCATCAAAATTCCATATATCACACTCCTGTATTCCATATTTTGCCTTTATATTTTTGAATAATTGAAACCACTTATTAATAAGCTTAGGATCCTCGCAGAGAGCTCTTTGGAAATCGTAGGCATGATTAAAATGCGTTTTTAGAATATTGTATCGATTCACGAATCGATATGCCCATTGTTTACCAATACGCTTTCCACCCCTCGATTCAAGAATGTGATTCGCCATACTTTCAACACTTATGAATTTAGGATTAAATCCTCGCTCATCCATATCGATTATATGCTGAATAATAACCTCCTCTTCAATTTTAGTAATTTTATGCTGTTTTTGACGATATTCGGAGGCAGGAGTGATCCCTTTCATTCTACGCATGAGTGTCGTATGAGTAATATTGTAAATCTTGGCAGCTTTCCGGAGGCTTAAATTTTTATCTTTAGCCATTGCCTCCATCGCCATAACGATATCGCGTTCATTTAATGTCGATACCATAATTATTTATTGATAAATCGCGTATTGAAGTGATTGATGTGAATTGAGGTGAAAGTGGTGCACGAGGTGATATGGTGCACGGGGTGATGAAACACGTTATAGTTAGATTAAAATATATTATAATGATACTAAAGAATATAAAAAATATAAAAAAAAAATAAAAAAAATAAAAAAAAATATTATTAAAAGATTGGGTGGAAGAGGCCTCTATATTGACTATATTACTACACGTGTAGGCATCTTAAAATATCCTCTTGGTATCCTCTGAGGGGACCAATTGTTACAACGGCTATCTTCTATGCCGCGTCACATGACTAAACCAAGGTAACGTGATTAAAGTCACGTTATGGACCGCTGAGGAACGCTGGCTGTCCAGGACCGCGCAGCGGTCCTGACTAGCCATAGGCATGAAGGTCTATATAATCAAGATGGATTCCCTTTGTATAGAGCTTCGTGCTCAAGATCAATCATTTAGTATACTCTACTATTAGTTACGAATTGCATATCATTATTGTCATTACTTAAGTCCCTGCTTGACGCCTAGTTATAAACCACCTCGAGAGCCTGGAGCACTTCCACGTGATCTAGACGGCAAACCTCGTAACACCAATATGCCTGCTTATGGTTCGTCTAATCTAGCCTGTTTAGGTAACCGTATTACTAATCACGACACGTGATTAGTACCGGTAACTTCTATTCCTTTTAACAAATATTAAAAATATAAAAAATATAAAAAATATTAAAAATATAAAAGATATAAAAAATATAAAAAACAAAAAATATAAAAAATATTAAAAGATTGGGTGGAAGAGGCCTCTATATTGACTATATTACTACGTGTGTAGGCATATTAATCTCCTCTTGGTATCCTCAGAGGGGACCAATATGCCTGCTTATGGTTCGTTTAATCTAGCCTGTTTAGGTAACCGTATGTCACACTCAAGAATACTGGGTAAAGTATCTTGTATTAGAAAATACTAAGCTAAGGAGAAAAGAAGAAGGAAAACAAGAGTAGAGATTGATTGATTGATTGATTGATTGTGTTTATCGTCATAGGCCGTAGGCCCACGCGCCTTGGCGCGTGATAACCTTAGCCATCTATTCCAGTTTTGGACAAATGACGCTCAGAGGAGAAGCCTCTGAGTGGTTTACTAGCTAGCTAGGGGGAGTATTTTTATACAATTTAAAGGGGGCTAGGGCAGGGTTTACATGATTGCCTTCGCAGGGGGGGTTTGGGCCGGTAGGCCTTTTGGGGTTGTAATTGTGGTCATCCTCGTCCACTAGATCACTACCTCTTGATCTCTCTCCCTGTCTCCTCGTACTTGTTTAGATTGTTCGTATGCATACTTGGTTTTTTTTTTTTTTTTTTTTTTTTAATGAAAGAAAAGGGAAAGATGAAAGAGAGGAAAGAAGAGGGAGGAAAAGCACCCTTAGAGACCTATTAACTCCGTTTGAATCCAATGAAAGAAAGAAAGTTCTTTTTTTTTTTTTTTTTTTATCTTGCACCTGTGTGCCACGGGCAGATTTTTGTGTAGAATTTGGTGTATTCTAGCCATTCGGCTAGTTTGGCTATACCGGTGGGATTGCTTAGAAGCCAGGGGATAGCTTCGGAGGGGGGGCTCTTTGTGAGCGCTTTGAAGGCTTTTCCTTTTTTGCAAAAGAAAAAGTGTAATGGAGTTTTCCTTTTACCACACGAGCAATGGACGTGGGCTGTAGTGTGATTGAAACGTTCATGGTATGCTGCGAAGTCGCCATGCTGTGATCTGATAGCGAGAATATGGTGGAGTGTGGCTCTCTTCAGAGAGAGGGTGTCTGTATTAGAAGTGTGGTTGAATTGGAGATCTTTGTAGTATTGTGGGCTGACTGTATTCCATAATTGTTCGTCTGCTTTGTTGGCCCTTGTTCTGATCATTCTTTTTAGGGATGCTAGCGTACAGATCGGGTTGAGGGGAAAGGGGAGTTTTGTTCCTTCCTTAGCGGCTTTGTCAGCTATTTCGTTGCCAGGGATATCCAGGTGCCCTGGGACCCATCGGACGCGGATTTTCCCGGGGGAGGTGTGTGGGAGCCTTGGTCTAACAGCCCAAGCTTGTGTGAGCTTCAGAAAGTCTTCAAAGACTCTCTGTGAGGAACCATTGAAGTGGGATCCTAATCGGAGAGCAGCCTCGTGGTTGTCTAAGAAGATCCAGAGATCTGTGGCCAGTTTGGTTGATGCTAGAGTGAGGGCTTTTGCTGCCCCTGCTACTGCGGCTGTGGCTTCTGCATCGAACACTTCTGCATTTGTGCCTAATGAGAAAGAATGGTATGCTATCTGAATATCGAATTGTGAGATTACGAATCCGCCCCCAGTTGCGCCATCCTTGCTTTCACTTTTTGAGCCATCCGAGAAGATTTGTATATCGCTTCTTGGGATCTTGGCGTGGAAGGCTTTGAAGTCTTCGGCTGCTTGTGCCTTCGTTCTGCCCATCGGACCATTGATGCGGGCCTCGGCCTCTGCCCTCGACTCTCTGATTTCCCAGGGTGGGAAGGCCAAGGGGTTTATGTGTTCAGTCTCCGGTAATGCTGTGATGAGCCTTGCGAATCTTGTATCTGGGGTGCGGTTATATTCTCTGGCTTTGGTTATGTTCTCTGCTCTGATCCTGAGAGGATGGTAAAGGTCTAGTCTGGTGGTTCGTGCCGCATATAATTGTGAAATCAGGTTTAGCTCGATCTCGGATGGTCTGAGTTTGGCTTCCTCGTAGAGTACTGCTGTGTTTGTGGTTTTGTATACTGGGAGGATTGCCCTTGTACAGGTGATTACCACTTTGTTGAGTAAGCTTAGATGGCTGTCCACTACATTTGAGATCGAGATCGGATTAACAAGAGTAGAGAGTTTTCCTATGATTAAATACAAACGGGGCATACCACGTGACCCGGAGGTGTGAGGCGTCACACCGTATTACTAATCACGACACGTGATTAGTACCGGTAACTTCTATTCCTTTTAACAAAAAATATAAAAAATATAAAAAATATAAAAAATATAAATTTTATATATATATATATATGTTGATTTATAGTTTTTTAATATTATTAAAGTTTTTAAATAAATAATTAAATTATTTTTTATTATTTTTTAATTATAAAGTTGTGACGGAAATCCCTGCTTTCCTCCCACCCTTATTATATAAGAAACCTCAGGTACATTAACCTGTTACGAGGTTTGCCGTCTAGATCACGTGGAAGTGCTCTAGGCTCTCGAGGTGGTTTATAACTAGGCGTCAAGCAGGGACTTAAAGTAATGACAATAATGCAATTCGTAACTAATAGTAGAGTATACTAAATGATTGATCTTGAGCACGAAGCTCTATACAAAGGAAATCCATCTTGATTATATAGACCTTCATGCCTATGGCTAGTCAGGACCGCTGCGCGGTCCTGGACAGCCAGCGTTCCTGGACAGCCAGCGTTCCTCAGCGGTCCATAACGTGACTTTAATCACGTTACCTTGGTTTAGTCATGTGACGCGGCATAGAAGATAGCCGTTGTAACACGTAGCACGTGCACAGGGCACTAGTCCTATTAGGACTAGGTTGAGAAGCTCTCTGTAGGAGAGCTTCGCACTTCCGTAGAACTAAGATTATGGGTGATTTACATAGAAGGCCAATATAGCCTCAGTTCTGCCTTATCAGCTTCCCACTATTCCCTGTGTAAGTGTCACGAATCACGGTTATTATAATACAATAAAAGCAAGTACGGCGGTTTGGGCCGCTGTTTCCGAGGGGGTCCTTATCGATAAGGAATCCTAGGACAAGTGTCCTAGGATAAAATATGTCCCAGGATAATTAGTATCCTAGGACAAAACGATTAGGCAACCATGTAGGCTTAGGACAAGTGTCCTAGGACGTTATTCGTCCTAGGATAGAATGTCCTAGGATAATATTTGTCCCAGGACAATTATTCTAGGAGCTATATTATCCTAGGATCAGAATCGTCCCAGGATTAGTGTCCTGAGGCCTTTGAAGGATCACGTGATGGATAGACTGGATAGCCTAGTCTATCCAGTCTATCCAGGCTATCCAATAGCATTCAGGAGTATATAGTTAAGATAGTTTCATAGTCTAAGAGCTTCGTGCTCAACTTAGTTATCAATTAGTTTACTTACATTCTACTTGATCTAGTAACGACTTCACTTCCAAGTGAAGACCAGTGATAAAGCCTTAACCCCTAACTACCAACCAGACGAAACTTTAGGCAGCCGCTGCCTCCAGTACAGTATCGTTACAATATGCATCTGCAAATCAAAAAATCTATAAAAAAATCTCGTACACTAGCTCTAAACCATCTTTACACTTTTTCTTTTTCGCCCCGATTCTCAATACTCAAAAGTAATCTTACAACCACAAAAATGACAAGTTCAAACCACCATTTCCACAAACCAACAACTACATCATCTCTACACCCGTCCCCTTCCACAAAAAAGACCTATCTAATCCAGCCTCCAAGCTAGAAAAAAAAAACCCGCCACAATCGCTCAAACGAGTTATAAAATCCGGTGTGGATTTCGTGGCTGCAGATGCAACGAGTAAAGCGGGATTGCCGAAGACACAGCGAAGCGAATAATTGGTTGGAATGATATGAAATCTAGATAAGCGAGATGAAAATTGAGATGTGAGGAGATAAATTTGGCGTATGGTGTAAGTTTGGAGAAATAATATGCACATCATCTAGGCTGAATGATGGTGTGCATAAAATAATTACATCACCCGGAGAGCCAGCAGCTTTGGACTTGGTATAGGAAAACGCCATTGCGGAGGTCCTCGATAGCTTAGCAGGACTTAATGCGCCACAGCAGGTAATATGTAAGTTGTGCGTCGAAAACTCTCTGGTGTATTTAGGAATGGAGATGAGTAGCACAAGTACAGCTCGGATAAAGTCGTTTGGCGTTACATTGGCTTTGCGTAGCTGCGGTGCATGGTGTCCAGATACACAGATTTGACCACTTGTATGACGTACGAGTTTTTACAACTTGTACTACATTATGAAGTTACTGATGTAATAGGAAGTAGAAAAAAAGATAAATACTCGAGTTAAAAGCGAGGAAAGAAAGCAAGGGCAACAGCAAGCAATAGATGGATCAATAGATCATATCAATCACCAACCTTTCAAATACATAACTCTGGTTGATTCCAAATGCCTTACAACGCCCGATCAGATGTTCTCACGGAACCAGTTGCCAATGGTGGGCTCGAAGACCCACGGGCTGCCAGACAGCGATCATTTAGCGAACGGATGACTTGTCGCGACCTCACTGATTTTATAACAAACACGGCGGAGATATCGCCACTAAAACCGAGATACAATAAAGCGTCCCACATGCATAAGCCAAATAAAGAATGCCAGACCAAACTCGATCGGGTCCTCTCCCGGTCTAAGGAAATTAGGTTGCCTGCCGCCGAACAGGATGTGCGCCAACCCTTATCGGACCTCCTACCGGGGCTAATTGTCACTGGTGGTCTCAGTCGATCGCCTGCCTTTGATTGCCTACCTGTCGTGTCCCATTGGGCTGAGCGCACCGATGAGCCATCAGCTGCAGACCCTGCCGCCACCGTACGAATTTCTTCGACTTGGGAAGCCATTGAAGTCATTGGGGAAGGAGCCACCATGCAGTTCCCACTTGGAGCTCCATGTTGGTCGCTAAAGTCTCACGGCATCTCCCCTGTAGATCCGGGATCTAGTAAGTTTTCTCAAAAATATCTAGAGAAAACTAAAACGCTGGTTACGACTGTTGCCTTGGCTCGTCGCATTGACACCCCTCAAACAGGGGGAGTTCTGAGCGCTGCGAGCGATATCTCTCGAATGCGCAACACCCGTGTTGCAGATGCCGTTGATTGTGCCCTGGGATTGCTTTCAGATGCTTCAGAGCTCTTGGCCGCACGTAACAAGGTGATAGCGACCGGGAATCCCGAATGTCTCGCTTTCGCAGAGGTGCACGAGGTGGTCCTCCCCTCCTGGTGCTCTGCCCGAAAGCCTCTCCCACCTAAGTTGAGCGGCGTGGCACTCTCAAATGACCGTGCTACCATCGATGTTCTTGCCCAGGAGGATTGCGAAGGGCCGCTACTCAACACCAGCATCTTCTCCATGGCGGTGGGCTTTAATCGCGGTGTCTATGGAGGCTCGATTTCAGGTCTGTGGGCAGTAATGGATTCGGCCTTTGTCCTCGATTACTCAATAGGCAAAGACAGCCCTGAGATGGCAGAGAAACTAGCTTTTAGTTTTGCCGAAGTCGCGGCTGTTGCTGAAACCGCCGTATATGCCGGTGACCATATCACTGATATTCGAGTTGTCAAGGGCTGCAACTATTCATGCTTACGCCAAAAGGCCATCATTGAGGACACCAATCCTGTTGGGTCCCGACCATGTATAGTCGTTTGGAAAGACCTCGCCCGGCTGGCCCGTTACAAGCTCGCGGATGCAGTTTTCTGTCATGTCTATTATGATTCCGGTGGTGGAGAGCAAATGGCGGCAATGGCCGGTCTGGGATGCGTAGTGCATGACTGGATTGATATGGGCGCTGATATAGCATGTGGAGAGATTAGCAACATCATCCCTTCACTGACAGGAGGCTCGTTTGCGGAGGAACTACTGGCCGAAGTGTACTCGCGTTTTATGGGTTCGATGATCTGGTACCGTGATAACGATCCATATAATCCAGGTGCTCTATGCATTTTGTTCACCCACTGGTGGCAACTTGCCAATTGTCGGCACCGACCTATTTCTCTCATGGGCCGAACTGACTTCGATACTGTCAAGAAAGGCATCGCCGCAACAATTCCGGAAGGAAGGCCATCATTGGAGCATTTTCGAGCGTGTGGTACTAAGATCGAGCGTAGTGAACATCCACTCGCCAACGCTGAGGCGCGGCTTAAACGTCTTCTTTCCTCAAATCCATTGCCGGAAACTCAAGCAGTCATTGACCTCCTTGTGAAACCAGTTCTTGCCTACGTGAAAGGAGCGGATCAGCTACCCTTTGAGAATGAATACGTGGGCGCCGTCCTCGCTGCCGAAATAGCTTACCCCCACGGTCAGAAGATTATAGAATTATGGGACCTGGCGATTGTCATGTGGGAATGTGGGGCCATGTGGGCCGCCGGGGTGGCAGGTCTTTGCTACACTCATACGGGAAAGTTCAACTGTGATAGAGCTCGCGATGATTTGTCGGAAACTACTTGGAGTTAATCGTGGATTTGAATCCTAGATTATTGAAAATTAAATATGTCTTCACAGGAAATTTTATTCAAAAATGGATTAACTGAAACATACCTGGATAGAAAACCTGTACCACTTTTCTCCTTCCCCGCTCCTTCCCTTTCCTGCCTTGCAAGATGGCTGAGGCTCAGTATCGGAAATCGGGAGTAAATATTCAAATTGAGATCAAGAACAGAGGATATGGAAATGGCAGAAGGATTGTGAGTCCAGGAAAAGCCAAAAGTCCCTACATATCTTGGAAGCCATTGATATAATTCAATCTTTCAAAAGATTTCAATCTCTAAAACAAATCGGAATATCGCAAGTTGAATTAAAGTCTCCCGTTGAAATGCAGTCCGGAATACCAGAAACTTTGCCCACGATCATCCCACGTTTATCCCACGTTCTTCACACGTTCCGCGACCCCTATCACGCCTCGACCACGTTTAACGCATGTAATCCCACGTGTACAGCATGCACCTTATCTGTCTCCCATGCGAAATCCGGCATCAGACCCGAGTGCATGTGCCCACCTATTCTCGTTTACTCTCAAGATGAGAGGATGCTTGTTGTTGGTCAGAGTCTCACTTTAGGTTCCAATCCGTTGATTCTCATTTCCACTTGTACGTCGTCTTCAAATATCTATAATGCAGGCAGTAGCAGTTTCTTGAGTAAACAAGGCCTAAGTCTTTCCTGGACCTTAGCTGGGTTCGCAGCATGTGCTCCGACCCAGCAGTCTCACTTCTCCAGTCCAGATTCGTGTCTATGTATCAGGCATAACCCGGACCTTCAAGCCCAGGGCCATATGCGTCCGTACCCTAGTCGCGAAAAGCTCGCATATAGGGCATCTCATTCACAATCCCTACCAACATTTCATGCGGAGTAAATCTCATCCGACGACCCGTCCTAACTTTTTGTCGAACCCCCACGTAAAGCCCACCATGTAATATTGTCCTCAGACCCCTTGTCTCAAAATCCAAAATTTAAGCGCCCAATCCCGTAGGCGATCTCCTATGCCCACCCCCATCCCATTTTGTTCCCACTTAGTTTTCACATGTCCTAGCACTAGTCTAGACCGGCTATGCCCGCCAACATGGCAGATGGTATGAACTCTCTTCAAGGTCCCCACCATATCTCCGAGACCATGGACCCGTTGCAGCAAATCCCCTCCGGCTAGTTCGCGAATCTATTGATCTATACTACTCTAGATTCTCATCAGCTATAAACTTTTTCCACAGAAGAAGGTCAAAACCTTAAATGTTCAGATGCTTTCTAAGTTGATACACAATTCGCAAGAATTTCCAGATCGGGTAAAATAAGTATCCATAATACTCCAATTTAAGTGGCGTGATTACCTGATCAGCGCTATGAATCCCCAAACCGAACTTTTAGATATCGAGATACGCCGGAACGAGCGATACTTGCATTTTTTGGATAAATTGCACACCAAATATCCTTCTAGCAGCTGGACCTCTTAAGCCTGGAAGACTATTGGATCGTCAGGTCTGATGTGGATATTGGAGAGTGCAAATCATGTATGCAGTCTATTAGTTAATCGTGTGAGTTCTAAGAATAAGAAAACATGGAAATGTGGAATGAACAATGAGAATTTCACAAGTGAGTACTATCCTACTTCAGCCCATAAATTCTAGCAAATCAGGTCCATAGAGTATTACCAACTTCCAAATAAAAGACGTACCTCCATCACTTTCAAGACAGCTTTGCCGAAGCCGAGTTAACGGCATATGCAAGTCAATTCACCATGCTCAAGTTTGAATAGTGTAGTGATAGTGGAGATACGACGTATGTGTGACAAGCTCAGACCGACTTATAAATTGTAATATCATAACGGGAACGCGGATTGCAGGGAAACTTCCCAATACTTTATGTAAGCGCGGTGGCTGGAACATTTCAATAGATAACTGAAGAATGAAAGAAAAGAAAGAGGAATTTATCAGATATTCAATTATTCTCTTCCATGCCTATGTAGGGTTGGAGCTATTTCCCAATTATGTTTGGTTAGCCATCGCGACGCATAATCCAGGCCAAAACACCCGTCCAGCTGTCCAGCCCGATCTCTCATTCCATAGACATCCAAATAGTACAATCACCGCTCCAATCCGACCGAAACATACATCCATCCATCCACCCAAACCTACAGCTCAATAACACGACGACCTAGAAAGATGATCCAGAATACCACCGCCACTGCCACCGTCCCTAATCACGCAGTCTTTGATCCAGAATTTTCCTATCCACCCATTCAAATCATCCCTCAATCATTTGCCATGTCCGTACCTCCACCCAATATGTGCCTTTGAATTTTTATGTAATGTAATGTGTTGTGAATAAGTATTTAAGCAAACCAGAAAGCCAAGTAGTAGTAAACCAAAGTTAAAATCTCGCTCGCATTGCAGGCATCGCGGGCAGCGCAGTCGCAAAAGGGTATCTAGGCGCAGTTCGAATATCCTTCCAATAAGCTCTTGTCTGTGCAGGTGCAAATGCAAGAAGCATAGAAGGTAAACAACTCGCATATGTCATTTTTCATTTCGTCGTAAACCCTAGCCAGTAGTTTGAAAGTAAGTAGTGCATGCGAAAAAGGGCAAGGCGAGTAAGAAGTGAATCGACGAAAGAGTTAGAAGACTGTTCCGTCACTGAGGATGGCAATGGGTGGGCATTGAGTATTTGGTCGCGAGATTTCGGCCATTTCTCTACCTCCCTATTTATTTAATTAGTACTTAGTCTTCTATAGGCGAGAAATGAATCCAACATACCTTCCAACTTCCAGCCTCCAACATTTGTGGTAGTGACAGTTTATCTTGACCAAAAAGTCCTAGACTGGCATTGACTTCGTCTACTAACAAGTCTAGAAACCCAACAGTCACAGCTCTCCACTCAACGATTACATCATCATCTGGTGTGAACATTGGGACGACTTCCAAGCTTGGTTTGCCTTCTCTCTCTGCATTTCGATGGAATGCTTCTAGTCCCCTTTTTGTTTCGTCTCTCCTTAGTGTCAATACACCAGTATCGATGAACAGACCACCATTTCGGTATTCAGGTAAACCAGTTAGTAATTCAGCTCCGGCGAAATAGATATTCATGAGTTTAGTCATTGGTTGCATAAGAGAGTAGCAAAGCCATTGGGAGAGCTTGTGGAAGGGAACGATTGTCTCCCATAGAGGGGTTGTAGCATCTGCAGGCATAGTGCTTAGATGCCATGCGTCACCAATAGATGTGCCGTCAACTTCTGTGCGCGAGGCTGGCCAGATTGGTGCAAGACCATCTATCAAGACACTCCACAAAGTAGGTAAAGGAACGATTGGTACGGATGCGGCTTGTGTGGAAGGATGAGAGATAAGGTAATCTGTGAATGTTAGATTATAGTACTCCTAAACGTTGTAAAGACATACCTAGCATATTTCCAGGTCTGGCATCTGCACCAAACAACGAAGGATTTCGCAAGGCTTTGGCCAATTTAACCAGTAAGCCAGTTCTTCCTGCCAAACCAGCAATCGGATTTTGTTCGGTGACCTGCAGACCTGAACTCATAATCTCCACTGTCAATCTGCACAATCCATCCGCGTCAACCTGGTGTGGTTGTGCTGGATCACTACTGAAAGTACCAGCCTTGAACATCTCCAAACTAGCAATTGCCAAGCCTTCACTTCTTCTATATGTGCGACCGTTCTCCACACTCTTATATTTCCATGAGGTACCAGCACCAGCATCGAGCAAGACAGATACGAGGAAGAGATCTAGGATTCGGCGACACTGTTCGGAAGGATCAACTTGACTTGGCCAGCTTGCTAGGAGCTCTGCGATTCTGTCAATGCCTCCCACGTTGAAATGTTGCCAGCGACCATGTGGGGGAATGGTGTTGTAATCGGGTGCGAAATCGCGCTGAAGTGGCAACAAATATTAGAATGAGACCCATCAAACCTGTGTAGTGAAGATGTGAAAGAGTAAATACCTTGATTATCGAGACGACAAACTTTGTCGTGTCTTTGAACCTCCCCATATCAACTTCGAAGTGATTCAAATCATTCTTCTTTGCCTTCTCCAAGACGATACCACATCTTTCCCGCACAGCACCAATACTCCTCAAATATCCAGCTGGGTCTACATTTGGATCTGGTGCTTTGGGTAATGCGATCTTAGGTATAGTAGGGATAGACATTCTTGAGAAGCCGGGAGTGGAAGGCGATTTAAGGGATGATTGTGAGGAGCGAAAAGATTGAACTTCTGTTAATTGTGTAGAGTTTGTTCGTGATGATGAAGAGTTCGAAGAAGAATGCTTTTCTTTGCGTGAAAAGAGGCCCATACTTCCGTATTTAAACCTTTTCCCTTGCGTCCTCGGTATGCTTCCTTATGCGGATGCCCTGTACAATGCAGGACAAGTACAGTGCGTTCTCTGCGTTCCCTGGTTGGTAACTTGTAGTTTGTCTACTTGGTCCGCCGTACTTGGTCAAAATTCCCGGATGGATGCCCTGTAAGCAAGTGGAAATGGAAAAGCTGGGTCTGCAATTTATTTATCTCGAATCAATTGTCTTTTAATCTTTTTCAATCTTTTTCTCTAATTTTTTTGGGTAACGGTCCTGTGGTTATCGTTGGTGGTAAATGCACAGTACAGACGGCGCTCTTTTTTGCGATAAGCCTGTAAGCTGTTTGGCGATGAGGGGGCGACTTTGTAGTCCTTGCGGACCTTGTTGGAAATTCCGTAATTACTTGATGTGACCCTTTCCCTTGGATTGATTTAGGTCGACATTGGGTCCTTGCGCTTGCTTTGAATGTACTCGAGTAGGTTGTCTTAGACTCTCAGGAATAGCGATCACCGCGGAAGAGGAAGGAATAATCTGATTTGACGGGTTGCCCAAGACTTTCGTGTGGATAGCAGGTAAGTGGGGGGAGAGGAAAGAGAGTCGTAACTGTGGATACCAATCTTTTTTAATCTTTTCTTTTTCCTAAGAGAAGAGAGATAATTTGAAGTACCAAAGTATAGTAGTATCAAGCAGCAGAAGAAGCAATAGTGAGTGAGAACGGAAAGTGATTGGTTGGTTGGCTGTTTGGATGGGTCCTTCCGGTAAGCTATTCCTGTATGTATGTGTATATATGTATGTATGTAAAGCTAGCTAGCTGTATGTATATATGTACGTATGTATATATGTTTATATATGTATGTCTTGTATATTTCCATGTAAGTGTTCCTGATTGGTGGGCAAAGAATATGTGTGTATGAGGTGATGTTTCGGTTGGAAGATAAATATTGCTTGTGGAAGACTTCGAGTATTAAAGAGAATTTGTATAGTGATAGTGGTGTGTAGTGAGTGTAGTATGGTTGAGTATGGCGAGGTGAGGTAAGTGGAGATTGGAGTACGATGTGATCTTCTCGTCGCTTCTTTTTGATTAGGTCCAGAACCAATTTGATTGATTTCCACCCCCAGAGCCCAGGTTTCTCTGATGTAGAATAAGGTAAGGTACCAACTGTAAATACGGTGGTATTAGATATTAAGAATAGTGGAGGGTGAATAGTGGAATGATTAAGTGATGTAGTGAGGAAATACCTTGGACTCCGCAGAAATTGATATGATACCCAGATATATTACTTATTAGTCGTCGGGCTGTAAAGCCGATCAATAATCAAGATCAATAATCAAGGTCAGTGTCTGAATCGAGCTGTTTCAGGTGAATTGATCTGTTGATACTAGGTCTAATGCCCCCAATGCTTCACGAAGGGTCGTACAATTGTTGATAATTAGACTAGATAGGTAATAGCGTTGGTACGAGCAGTAAGTTTGACAGTGGGGATATTGCGATTGAGCTGTATTCGGGTAAGATCTATAATCTTCCGGTTGGTACTGGTAGCTTCTAGGCAGTTATTGTATTGATTCGCATGGAGTATATATATAATCGGACTTTAGATTCGTGCGTGCGCTTTAGTTCCAATTACCGGTATGGCTGGTGATGACAATTTGAGATATGAACTTTGCAAGAGTCCAGAGCTTCGCGTCCGACGAAGTTGACGAAAAGTCTCTGTATAAATAATGTAAAATTTACAGTTGAGTATTTGTAGATACACAGTGGAGATGCAGGATCAGAAGGAAGAATAACGAAGGAAGTATTAGTAGTACACTATGAACGCTTACCAAAATATATTCCTGTCGCTTATTTATGTGAATCCCCTGCGATGTTGAAGGAAGATTCGAACAAGAACCGGCATGCTTTCAGGATCTCCAAGATTACTCCTTAAAGGATACCAAAAGCATTACCTCATACAGGATGTACACGAAATGCCTTGCGTCTTTAACTCCAAGAAATGTTCATAAGCCAGGACGGCCAGTGGCATCTCAACTTTGCCGGCTAAATTCATTTCTTTACACCAAAGCGACGTGAGGCGTTCGAAGACCTCAATTGCCTATTTAGTCCGTTTACAAGGTTGTGTCAGATTATTCCTATATATCAAGAAAGTCCTGCAAACGATCTTTGATTACTAGTATTGTATCCTGTAATATTAAATTTAATAAGGGCTCAAGCCTCAAACCTACTACCTTTTTGCGCCTACCTAGTAAACGTACTACCTTCATCCTTCATAACGACTCATCAAGTACAGCCATTTAATGCTAAGCATCCAGATCCAACCAACTCCAAAGATTGTAATGTAAATCCACCGAGAACAAACCTAGGAGAAACCGCCCAATGCCACCCAAATAGACGAGGCGATGTGTCGTTCCCCAGTGTACACCATTTGCCTTTTTCAGGGGTTCAACTTAGAAAGGCAACGGCCATGGCGTAGGAATAGAGAAATTGATTTGTGCTCGGAACATGACTGCTTGCTCGCTTTACCTCGGAATTGCCTTTGAGGAATACTACGTTGGTAAGGTAGAGAGCGATTCAAGGTTAGATAATGACGATTATTTGTTCATTATTATTGGGATGCGGACTCAAGCTTACATCGTACAAGCTACTTGCAACCAAAAGGATTGGAGGATTAGATGGAATCGCGATTATCAGTAAACGCCTCACGCCCGTCAACGGAAGTTCCGTCTGGTACGCCATGACTTGACACGACTCATGGATGCTCGGGAATTTGTTCAAGCTTGGTAAAAAGGTATTCAAGGGATTTAGGTGCAATCCCGAGCATTGGAATATGGTTGGTGACGATTTTCATGGATAGATATTATTCAGGAGGGGCGCTTCATATATTATAGTTTGCGTACAATTTGCTACGGACCGTACGGGTAAGTTTTTTCTCCCTCGCCTGTTCAACTACTGGGTAGCAAAGTGGACACTTCATAACACAAAGCCTTCATAGCTGGGCCAGCTTCAAACCTTCAGACCAAATTACAAGTAGAAGCACGGAACCAGTCCCCAAAAGTATGTTACCCACGCAATTATCTCCACATTTTCTATCCTACTCCGTACAAAGTCTTCACTAGATTGCTTCTAGTTTCCCAAGTCCGTGGACACTGCACCTCTACCTTGTCTGTGATTACCTAGCTACAACCATCATGGAACCTCTCTCATAAAAAATAATGAGGCTTGACATGATTGATATCGGCATCTTATCCCATAGAGTGATATTGGACCGGGATTCAGGCCTATTGATTGACACAACCATCCCATCCCATATCATCCCGATATGCAGGTACGAGTAACGGAGGGATATTTCAAGGGTTCCAAAGGGCCGGCTCGCGGATAAATGGCGAGGTTTTAGTTTTCAATGCAATGGCGGGTTGTTTAACGCCGCGTCGGTTATGATTGTAAAAGTGGTTAGGCTGGCAATGTTAATTAACAGTTTTTGAAGGTGTTGATTGATTGATTTTTTGCTCAAAAGTTACAATCTAAGGTTCATGAAAGAAAGAGGCAAAGGGATAGATAGCACGATTTTTGGATCTATTAAAATGTGGCGAGAGATTCGTCAATGATAGATGAGATAGATGATTAGCTGCATGGAGGTGAAAGAGGAAGGTCGGATTTAAGTCGACATTAACGTTACGAAAGGTAGTGAGAGGTAGTGCCCGTTACGAGGGATGGATAGTCTAGAGAAAGAGGCACAGATGGGCTTGTGCTGAGAGGAAAATTCGCACCGGCATCTCCTTCCAACGATCTTACCTTGGGAGGACTATCGATCATCCTCATCTAATGTTTAACTCGAAGATGGGGTTTGTAAAAGGCTCAATCACGGTTCACATCGTGAACGGAATTTGAATTGGTGTAAATCACAACGCATTTTGGAAGGAAATCTGATCAAGCTCATGCACAATTCCTGCAAAGCTGGCTCAACGTTGACATACGAACCGCTTCATTTTCCTTGTTCTCAACTTCCGTATAGAGAAAATAGAAAAGTCAATGTTCCACAAGACATGCAACAATATTGAAGCTTCCCCTGAATTTGCACTGGTCATTGCTATTGATGCCTCCATATGGTTACGTCGTTACGAAGTGCAGTTCCATCGTCTGTACCACCAACTCAATCAGGATTTTACTTCCGTTCGATGGCATTTGCTCAAAATGCACACGTAATATATTATCCATCGTCACATGTGATTTTGCACTAGATGGACATACGGTCTCGCTTTATTGTGTACGAGAAAGCATAATTTATTAGATCCTCAATGTAAATTAATATATTCCATCGGCTATGTTGGTGCTGAGTTGACAAATCGAGGAACACCGAAAGAATACATACACCCTTGAACGCGGAAAGATGGAATATATGGTCTAGATGCTTTCTCTGGTCTGACGTTCAGGATTCCAGTTGAGAAATTTTCATAGAAACAATAGAACTAAGAAGCTGGCTCTGGGGTCTGGAGTCTGCTCCGTTGGTAAGATCTGCTTCCAATGTACACGCTACACAATGTATGGAGCAAAATGAGTGCCTGGCTAACTGTTAGGCGATCAAATGAAGCCTTTTCTTCATGAAATGAAGGGGAAGCTCTTCGGATGATCTCATCTCGACCAGACGATTGACACTCGAGTAGATAGATCTAATTTCAAAATAACGGAAGGTAAACTCAAATTTCAACTACGGTTAAAACAACCTCAAAGACAACTAAAAGGCCCATTAAAGCTATAGTCTCTTCACTTAGAATTGTGAAAGCTTCATGAGCTTCATCTCTCTTTTCCATTTAGCAAGCGGGAGATCAACCGTTGGGGAGAAATATATACGGAGTAGGTCTTATATCACTGCAATTGAAAATAAGCCCAATTATGGTAGCCTGAGGTTACTTGGACTTTATTGTCTACCAGGCATGACATACACTGTAACCTTTCTCCGTAGAATATGAGGTAAACGAACGAGTACGGTAGGCGAAACGATCACCAAGCGCAATATCGATTGGGAACGAAACGCATCATGAATCTTCAAGACAACAGATGTTTCCTACAATATTCTCTCGCGCGTAACAGCTTTTCACTCAATTCGTTTTCCTCGCGTACCCCTTGTTCTTTCCGCATCGAATGCATACACTCTTTTCTTTTTATGTCAAAAAATGGACGACCTTAATGGCCTAGATTGGTCTGCTGCCTCCAACACGAAACCAAATAAAGTATCACCTGGTACAGGAAATTACTACCCCGCGTTACGTCCAACTCCATCACCTGCGAACTCTGGACAGAATACGCCTCTACCTGCTCAAGGTTCAGGAGCTCAAAAATCCTTTGCGCCGCCTAAATCTAAAGCTCCAGACAGCTTCGCGAACCTCGTTGCTTTTGGATCTTCAAAAACGAACACGTTGACGTTACAACAACAGCAAGCGAAGCTACAAGAAGAGAAAAGGAGGAAGGAAGAAGAACAGCGGAGGCAATATGATGCGCAATTTGGGAATACACAATTTTGGGATGGATTGGGCGATTCGGGAAAGGGCGTGGCCGGGCTATCGCCAGTGCCATCGCCAATTCCTGTCATGACGAGCCAACCTTCCAAATCCCCATTCGCGCAGGCTATCTCTCCCCCTCCAGCTGGAAATGTTACTGGCGATTCCGGAGACGATGATCTTTTCGCGGCATTCAACAAAGATACCAAAGTAGACGCATCAAGTCACTATCCACCACCTTCTACCTCTTCAAGTCGTGCGCATACTCCAGGGTTTAGCATAACCAGTATATCCGATTTAAGTAAACCACAGGCCTGGAATCAGCCAATAAGTGGTGTGGGTGCTTTTGATGATGATGATGATGATCCATTTGGATTGCGTCAGATGAAGCCGCCAAACTCTGCGCCGGTACCGACATCAAACACATCGGACGACGACGATTTCTTGGGAGATTTGGGAAAGCCGGTAGAAGAAGTGAAAAGGCCCGCACCTGCAATACCGGAACTACGCGCGGAATCGAGCTCAGATGATGAAGAATCTAATGATCCTTGGGATAAGGCCGTCGCCGAACTTCTGGATATGGGATTTACGGCAGAACAATCCAGGCGTGCTTTAACTGAGAGTGGTTCTGGTCTAGATATACAGGCAGCTGTGGGATGGATATTGAACGACGCACATGCGCAAGCTAAGGCAAAAACACAATCTAGGGAGCCTAATCACCGTAATGGTTCTGCGTCACACGGAGAAAGAAGGAACGTATCAACGGATGGACGAAAAGCGAATCCAGCGTGGATGCGAGAAGAAGGGAGGTCTCAATCACAGCAACCTCGAAGAGAAGATAATCGTTCACCAAATAACGAAAATGACTTTTCTAAAACTGCCGCTGCTGTTGGAAGTAATATTTTCAAAACCGCAAATTCTTTTTGGAAGACGTCCCAAAAGAAAATTGAGAAAGCGGTTGCCGAATTTCAAGCAGATGCTGACCCAAGTCAACCGAAATGGATGAGGGAGGCGGCAGAAAGGGAGGCTATATCTGAACAACGTGCAAGACGGGTAAAGGCTGAGGCTGCTAAAGATACCCCAGATGTTACAGATGAAGCTCTTGCATTAGAAATTGGATCCAGGCCTCCACCAAGGAAAATGAAAGCTTCTGATTCGGGGGCTTCACGTGATAAATCTCCTATAGCCTCGAGATTTCCACCAGAGCGGCCTACATCTAATCCACGTTGGCAACAATCACAACCAGAACGGCCTGGGTCTAATCCATGGCAACAAGCACAATCCCAAAGCCGACCAACTCCACCTCCGGCAGCACATAGTGTACGGGTGAATAGACAAGCAGTAGAAGAAGAAAGTGCTCAGGCATACGTTAGTTCTGCTCGACGAAAGAAGACTACCCCTCAACCCCAGCCTACGCGGGAGTCAGAACCAGATCTTCTATTCGGTTCATCGTCAGCAACAAAGCCTGCATCAAACCCGGTAGCTTCTAAACCGAGTCCAAAAACAACAACGTCGCCTAAGCCTACAACACCAGTTCCATCCAAACCAAAAGCCCCTCCGCGTACAATCCCTGTTATTTCTCCTATTGCTCTTAAGTCTTCAACGCAACATCGCCTAGAAGGCAAAGCACATTTCGATCGTGGTGACTACTCTGCAGCTCACACATCTTACACTTCTTCTCTTTCCCCTCTCCCTCAAAATCATCCAATAATCATTCTCCTACTCGCAGAACGATCTATTAGCTCGGTCAAAACCGGCCATCCACGTGAAGCCATCGCGGATTCTGATCGTGCTATTGAGATCATTGGATCTTCTCGCGGTCAAGATGAAATAATTGACTTAAGCACCGGTGCCGCAGATGACCGTAAATCCATGAAAGAATATTGGGGAAAGGCTTTAACGAGTAAGGCCGAAGCATTAGAAGCACTTGAGAAATGGAAAGATGCAAGCGATGTTTGGAAATTATGTATCGAAGGTGGTGTAGGTGGAGCCACGGCTATCCAAGGTCGTCAACGTTGTGACAAGGCCCTTGCTCCTCGCCCAGCATCACGTCCTGTTCAAAAGACTCGATCAACACCATCAGCTGCAGCATCATTAGCTCCAACCCCCGATTCAGATGCAGTTTTACGTTTACGTGCTGCAAATCAAGCTGCTGAAAAGGCAGATGATGAGAAACTGGCTTTGGTGGATAAGGTCGAGGCTCGAGTCAACAAATGGAGGGAAGGAAAACGAGATAATCTCAGAGCCTTGATTAGTAGTATGGAGAATGTACTTTGGGAGGGCAGCGGCTGGAAGAAAGTGGGCTTGCATGAGTTGGTTATTAATTCTAAGGTTAAGATTAACTACATGAAGGCAATCGGAAAGTGTCATCCTGATAAGGTTAGTTCCACACTCTTTCTGATTTACTTGAGCTGCGAAGATATGGTCAGGAGCAGAATACCAGCTAATCATTACAATCTATAGTTACCACAAGATGCATCGCAAGAAGTGAGGATGATTGCAGCAATGGTTTTCGCAACTTTGAATGAGAGTTGGGATAGTTTTAAGGCGCAGAATGGTATGTGAGGATGTTGGCAGGAGCTAGGCATATTAGAAACGAAAAGACTTGGAAGCAGCAAGTTATTATGATGATTGATGATGATTGATGATGAATTATATAGAGTAGTACTACAGCTTCGATTATGAAATATTCTTATTTGTGTTTGTTGTATTGTATTTATAGTGAGATCTGTGAGTTAAGATGATTTTGTGGTTTCTCTTTTTTCTTGAATTCAATAAGGTAGAATTTTATTATGCTCTGATGATGATACGAAATAATATCTATTCTTTTTGGATAATTCTTTTCAGGGGTGGATCAGATTGTCTTACAAGATGACAGATGATAGTTATCTATACATCTAATGATCTTGCTGTTGGCTATATAATAAGGTGAGATTTTCCAATATGTTGTTTGCAATTGATCTAGATTATTTGAGAAATTACGAATGCATTAGGTGTATATATACAGCCTCGAGTGATTATATGTGTGGCTTAGACTGACAGAAACTAATATGTAATGTTGGAAAGATATTTGGTGTTTAGTGTCTCTATCTGGTAGCCGATCTAATCTGATCTAATAAGAATCAGGAGAGTAATTAGTGGATAGAAATTTAAAACTATCAGATCTAATGAGTATATTAGGATTCCTTATCAAATAACAACAATATAACATTTTACTTAATAATTAGTGCCTAGCTATTACTTCTCGCTTCGCATGCCTACACTAAATCAAAGAATTAAATGACGTAATAATCGTCCTCCCAGCTTGGAACTCCACCCTACGAAGAAACTTCTTATAATATATAATAAACCTGTATTAGTTAATTAGATCATTGTCGACGTTAGAACGCTTGAAGAACATTCAAAGGAAGAATGGAGATTGGATTCCAGGTTTCGGTGGCCATTAATCTGTAAGAATTACTACAACACTAGGTCAGTATGAGTGGCAGAATGTTTAGGGGTGGCGAGAAGAGTTAAAAATAGCGGAATGGATCGATCTGACTGATTTTGGGGCAGATGGATGGCAAGAGAAGGAAGTAGTGCGGTAGCCAAGCAGCGCAATGTTCCTTTCAATCATGTGTCTGTCAAATTAGCTTGTGGTCTCTGTCTGGAGGACTATGCGGCAAAAAATGGCTAGCACGGATGCAATTAAATATATAAAATAGTCTCATAGTTCATGCGAGATGAGCCAAAAGTAAGTTGTGCCCCAAAAACGTTATTTCGACTCAAGACACGTTGAGATCACCAACAAGTAAATCTCCCTTTGTATAAATGGGCGGACACTCGCAATTTCAGCCAATTAGGACGCTCTGGCAAGAACTTGCACGTTTTGATATTGTGAGGATAAACTACACAGAATTTACGGTCATGATGGAGTTAACATTATCTCCGCTGAATCCATACTAAGTCCATCGAGCCATCTACTTAATACTCAACAAAAGCCATGCGTGGTTCAAACTCTAATGAAGTGACTTATTCCTTTACCAATCACTACCACAACAATCGCCCCTCAATTACTACACATATCCAAACACACCATGACAGCAGCACTACCCTCCACCTGGTTAATAACCGGCGCCTCCTCCGGCATAGGTAAATCGCTCGCTTTGAAAGCTCTGAACTCTAATTGCAGAGTAATTGGAACCACCCGAGATATCTCCAAAGTCAATTCATCCTTTCCTGATTTCGTCACGAAAGGAGGGACTTGGACAGCTTTAGATCCGGCGCAAAAGGATGCTTTTGAGCAGTTTTCGAAATGCGCTAGGGAATACGATGTTGATGTTTTGATCAATAATGCAGGCTATACTTTCATTGGCGGTGTTGAGAATACGAGGTCAGTTATTTAGGCCTGGGTGGTGCGCGTGCTAACTTGTACTGATATGGATGCAGTGAGGATGAAGTTCGTGAGCAGATGGAAGTTAACTTCTACGGGCCACTTCGTGCCGTTCGAGCCTCTCTTCCAGTCATGCGGGCAAAGGGTCCCGGAAATATCGTACTCATAAGCAGTGGCGCGGGGTATGTTGCCCTTATGAATTCTTTTCATTTTTTCAGATTTAGTCCTTGTGAGTGCACCTGCAGTTCCGCTAATGAGAAATATTTCACCCGGAAAGATTTATAGCCGCCCAGCACGATCATCATACTCCGCTAGCAAATTCGCCATCGAAGCAGTCTATGAGTCTCTTTGCCATGAAGTTAAATCCTTCGGTATCAAAGTCCTCATTGTAGAACCTGGGGCATTCAGAACACCATTCGCAAGCAGGATCATCACACCAGCTCAGTATAAAGATATTAATGGTCTTAGCGAGGCATATAAAGGTACTGCCGTTGAGCAAATGGTAAAAGGAACAGTAGACATTATGTCCATTCCAGATTTTGTGAAAGGGGACCCTGATAAAGCTGCTTGTGCAATTTTCAAGGCTGTCATGGATGGACATGACTATTTGCGTATGCCGTTGGGACCAGACTGTGTGACTGCCTTGGAGGACAAGATTGGACAGTTGCAGGCAGACTTAGATGCAACTAGGGTCATTGCCATGGGTACGAATTTTCAATGATGGATGCATTAATCATAAAATAAGTCCCTGATAACGCGTCATGTGCTTGCGGCTTAGAGCAGTTGATAGGTGATCGCGCTCCAGATTTCCCAAGGTAGGGCGTATGACGGGTTGATGGGAGAGCTTCGTATTGATGAAGCAAAAAGCATAGTCGTCAATTCCCTTTGTTTAGTGACGCTGGACAGCTGATCATTCAAATATTGGAAGGTCAGTAAAAAATAGACAACATGAATTTGTATGTGCTTGTAATCGTTATCAGAACTATAAATGAGCTGACAGCAAACCTTTTTCTCAAATGTACATTTCTCTTTTCCTCAATTGTCCAACATTCTGTTCCAACCCAAATGCAACATGAGGCATTTTCTCATCCGTCCCCCATTGACTTTCGGATTCTCTACTAATATTCTTCAAATCGCCTGTTTTAGTTGAATCCAGCATAGGACCGAACTTCAACCTACGGTTTTCAGCATCTATTTGCAATGGCTCCGCGCCCAGTGATGACCTTCCCAGACATTCGTTCAATTCCGGGTTTCGAGTAGTAGCGACGATGGCCGAAAAAGAATTGGAATGTACCACTCCATTTGAATGCATGGCATAGACGCCGATGATTACAGCTATAAAAGAAAATAATAGAGCTAGACCGTACGATATAAGAAGCCATAGCGGGTGATATACATAGTAATTGTTCGTGTTGGAGGTGACGATGGTTTGCGGATCGCCGTCCCTCGTCAAATCCGGGGAACTGAGATAACTGATGGTGATGTTGTTTGCTAGGTCTTCAATACCACGAGCCAAGGTTCGATTTCTGCATAACCAAGGTTGATTAGTGGAAGTGAAGGTGTTAGTGAACGTTGAAGAAGGATCGTGGATAAGATATGAACTCTCATTCTTGAATGGGGTATTTGCAATTTCGTCGCAAGCCATTAACCCCGTTCCAAGAACATTTGTTGCCCCGTATCGGCTATATTGTCGGACATTTTGATCGTTGGTGAGAGTAAAGTCTTGCAATGTAATGTTTCCGCCAAGAATAGCTCCAAGGGCGTACATATGTGGAACATATTCACTCCACAATGCTTCTTCCATGGCACCGTTTGCGCTCATACTTATTACTCCATTTGAATCTGTGACAGTAGTACCGCTTTCTATACTATCGACATTCACATACGAGAGGTTATAATCTCCAATTATCTTAATATCTTGCTGAGTAACATACTGGACTCCATCCACATATGAGACAGCTATGTTAAATGATGCGTTAACCGCAGAGCACACCAGTTCCGAAGTTGAAGTTTGTATCCATAATTGAGGATAGGGAGAAACTTGCTCTGCTAGTGGCCGTGGACTATCTACCTTATTTGGTGTACCTGATGCATACCAAGTGCTCCATGATGCGTAAATAATTTTTCTTGAGCTCACATCAAACGTTGTGTTTGTCCGATGGTCATTTTGGTCAGTGTAAGTAAAGATGTTCTGTTGTTCATAATACTTGGTAATGTTGTCGAATACGGCTTGCTGTGTGCTGTTTGGTTCGTTGCACTTTATGGAAGGGCCATAAAATTGCAAAGTATAGGACCATTCTGATCCTGCGACTTGCCGAGATAATCCCAACACATTGATGTTCGAGGCTGTATTTATAGCGATGGTGTTTGTCACCAAAACTGCGTCCCACTCGCCATCCATAGAATTGTTCCAGATGGCTTTGGTGAAATCAAGAACTGGCAAACGCACTTCCTCTGTGATGTTTCTTGCAACAATTGTCAAAGTTGCTGCAGGAGCAACGCTTGCAAGCCCTAAAAGCCTATATATTCATGAGCGTGTTCCTACTTAAGCGTCCGATTATAGGTTACTAGCACATACCAGGTGATGGTGCCTAACAGAATAGCAAGTTTTGCGCCTTTTAGAAGCTCGATACTGAACAAAGCTATAGGATCCGTTGACAATGCGAACAAACGGTCCAAGTTTTCTGTTGTGCAAATATTAGTCTAAAGATTTCAAAAACTTGGGGGAAGCAGTACTCATCGTCAATGGTTGGCGTTTGACAACCCTCCAAATATATTGCCCGAGAGCAGCGGTTGTGGTTGCTTTTAAACAAGATGTGACTAGAAAAGCAAGTCCGGTGCCAATACGCGTGGGCCATGCTTGTTTTGTTTCATCGCCGGTTCTTTCGCCACTCAATGACATGTAATAAAAGTGATGAGCTAGCGAAAGGGCCAATCCAGAAAAAAACATGAATCCAATAAAGGATGGTTTCTTCCAATGAACTCCCCAAGAAACAGATTGAGGCACGGAAATCTGCGCGGATTTCCTTTTACTATAGGAGACATCGTCACCATCACTCAAAGATCTTTCAAAGGATAAAGGTAGGAGTATTTTCTTGTTGCCAGCCGCAGGTGTTGACAGCGGCTCCGGACTGAAAGTAATATTATCGAGTGCTTGGTAGTCGATTGAACCGCCAACTGGTTTGCGCCTACTCATTTCGATTGTCCTGGTAATTTTTAAGAGTTCTCGTTCTCCTATAAGAAATTCAAAGGCCAATTTCACCACTTGATGAAGATTTAGACCTAGAGTGGCGAGGCTTTACTTTATTGTTCCTTGGGTCTGGCAGGAATATTACTTTTTGCCAGCTGAATCTGCTAGCATATGCAGCTGACCATTTTCCATATACAACTATTCGTTGGGGAACGTTAGCACTATAAAATTGGCTCTAACTCGCGCTTACGGCCAGTAAAAGACATGGTGTATTGAGCCTCAATTGTGCATTTCAAGCCCATGAAATGAACCGATTGGTCCTCAAAGAACAATTCCTGGATTTTGGTTAATGTCACTGAAATAGTTTGTGACTTCGTTTGTTAGGCAGGTTTCCATCACTGGAAATCATGTTTTCGCTATCTCGTGGGGCCCAAATCACGTAAAACCAGAAATGGGGGCCGTCCAGATACGCAGGATAACCATACCTAAGTATGACTGCATAGAATCCCCGCCCCACAGTAAGGTTATGGACCTCATGATAAGAAAAACACGAATGAACTATCAGTTTCTTATCCAAGGGATTTCGTTCTTGATTTAGCAAAAAAAGTGGGCAGAGTGTTGAAGATTTTGACAAATTTAGGAATATGTTCGTTTGGAAGGGCAGAAAATCTATTGCGGTAACCGTTTGATCGTGTGCGATGGATGACTAAGCATTGTTTCACAACACACTTCTGAAGTTCTTCTCGCTTTTGTAACAGCCAGCTCATTATGTGCTAGGTATGAGAACAATATCTACTGATATATCTTCTGAATAAGGAAGAGTAGGCTTCCTGAAAAACTACTATGCGCATGATGCATAGTGGGGTCTAGTAACCAAGGTCTCCTTTTAGCCCCGCGCTTAGACTAGACGATCAGTAATGCTATCACTACATCAGTATTGTCGACTGCATGCCTTGCATAAGACCCTCTTTAATGCATCGCTGTCCATCGATAAAATGCAATTCAAAAGGTCTAGATGCTTGGAACTAGGATTTCCACGAGTCCACCCACATGTCAAGGAACGTGGGAAGTAGTTGTTACTGGGCTGTGAGCAAGCTGCTTTTGTGCTAGTGCGATGTGTGCAAGATTTTCATGCTGCTCTTATTTCCCTATCCGTTACAGCTCAACTATGCTTTTACTTACACTCTCCCGAAAAGACTACCGATACTGTCACATGTGGCACTTTACTACCTTTCAGATTCATGTGATCTTGGTTAGGACCGCTCATGATTTGCAGGCGCTTAGCACTCTCATGCTACCCCGAGTGATTATGAATAGGATCGTAATGCTTGTATCAATGCCTCGAGCTAACTGAACAGCCTTCAGCAAATATCTGTGTTATTTTCCAAGGTTACCCAAACATTGCTAGCCATCAACAAAGAACGATTCTCAACGCTTCGCCCATCGAGAAAATCTTAGACCCCAGTCACCTATCATCTATCTCTCTACCTTCTTTCTGTACCACCTGATGTTACGTGCTACACCAAATCTCGTCCAAGTATTGGTCACATCTAAGCTTTTAACCATATCTTTTGCCTTCTAAATCCGGTATTCAAACGCTGAAAACCGTTGCATAAATAAGGTCCATCTGTCAAACCGCCTCCTGCCCTTGAATGGCACACACTGTCACCCATTAAAATCATTGTTAGACTGCCCGGTGATATCGATCTGGCCGAACTTCAAAGCTCTGTAATTGTCAATCGATCCCGTAGCTCTTGGGCCGAACTTCAAAGCTCTGTAATTGTCAATCGATCTCTTAGCTCTTGGGCCTCGAATCAATATTGCTTTCCCCTGTATGTTCATCTCTAACCCAGAAGACTGTAAAAGTCTTATAAGTCTAGTACCCCCTTTTTGGACCACCCCTCTTTTAGGCCACCTTTGTTACGAGGTTTGCCGTCTAGATCACGTGGAAGTGCTCTAGGCTCTCGAGGTGGTTTATAACTAGGCGTCAAGCAGGGACTTAAAGTAATGACAATAATGCAATTCGTAACTAATAGTAGAGTATACTAAATGACTGATCTTGAGCACGAAGCTCTATACAAAAGAAATCCATCTTGATTATATAGTCCTTCGTGCCTATGGTTAACTAGGAATCGTCGTTCTGTTACGTCCAAAACGATTAGTATGTCACATGACCATAAAACATGTGATGGAACGGTGAGGAACGAACGTTCCTAGGAACAACCAGGAACGCTCGTTCCCAGGAACGACGATTCCTAGTTAACCATAGGCACGAAGGACTATATAATCAAGATGGATTTCTTTTGTATAGAGCTTCGTGCTCAAGATCAATCATTTAGTATACTCTACTATTAGTTACGAATTGCATATCATTATTGTCATTACTTCAAGTCCCTGCTTGACGCCTAGTTATAAACCTACTTCGAGAGCCTAGAGCACTTCCACGTGATCTAGACGGCAAACCTCGTAACAAAAAGAAGAAGGAAAACAAGAGTAGAGAGTTTTCCTGTAATTAAATACAAACGGGGTATGCTACGTGACCCGGAGGTGTGAGACGTCACAATTCTTTTAATTGAAATATTATAATTTGTTAAAAGGAATGACCTTACACAGGGAATAGTGGGAAGCTGATAGGGCAGAACTGAGGCTATATTGGTCTAGTAGGTTAATCTCTCTTCTAAGTTCTACAGAAGTGCGAAGCTCTCTTACAGAGAGCTTCTCAATCTAGTCCTAATAGGACTAGTGCCCTGTGCACGTGCTACGCAGGAACCATTCACTTTAACATAATTTTTAATTTTTGTAAAATCTATATTTCTAGATATAAATCCTGAAGGAGATTTTCAGAAGCGTCTTTGACAGGTAGATCATTTCCGGTCTCTCAGGGATCACACGATAATTCTGCATCAAAGTCTTTCAATACTTCAGCTATCCAAACTTTCAAGCGTGCCAACAACCGAGCCTGTTAAGTGTCAAAAAAGTCGCCAAGGATAAGGGCAGGAATCTCATACTCTCTAAGATAAAACCCCGTCCCTGATGAGAAATTCTGATTGAGGCCACCTGTGGTGAGATTTTCCATAGCTGGAAAGTAATGGAGGACAGAGTGTTCGATATTTTTTCGTGTTGTTGTTTTTAGAATATTATCCCGGTAGTGATATGGTGATTAATCTTAAGCTCGTCTATCGAGAATTCTACATAATATCAATTTAATATCCAGCACAGCAGTAGCAAGTAAGATAAAACCGATGCAGACTCTAAAATTTAGAACTTAATTTACACTCGGTTCTCAGGGTGTTATCATCACAAAATCTTTTACAGTAAAATTCCGTCTACAGTGGTCGTCGATATCTAGGAGATGAGTAATTGAGCTATATTTTTGCTTCGGAACTTGTTTCGTGGAAGGTAGCTTGATCTATTTATGAGGATACGAGAAATATTTAGGGATGGCTGCGCTTTATATTACAAGGTCGTTATCAGCATTTATTTCATTTAATTCATGTATCGACTCTCCTTTAATTATGTGGTTCGCTAAACTAGTAGGTCGCTTAGCTCGTGACGAATTAAGTACTGAGTTGATCAGGAGAAAGAAAAAACGAGGGAAAAGAAGGGAAAAGTAGGTTTGAGGAGACGAAATAATCTTCAGTAAGATTTTCTCTTCAAGATGTAAGATTGGATGTATTTTCTCATAGTCAATATCCGCATCACATCTAACTCTCCCCAACTCTTCAACTACTTGAAGATTAATCCAGAACTCAGCAAAACAAAATAAATCACTCTATCTCCCAGTTGGAACTCGCAAAATCAGCTGTGAATTAATTAGCTGTGGGGCTACAAATCATGAGGATATATTTGGATCATATGCCCATAGAAGTTTTAGTAATTTAGTAGGGTGAATTTTTATTCTTGGAAGTACCTCACAATTACGCTATATTATCAATACCAATAATACCCCAAAACCCTTATTGTAGTCTTCCAACAAAATTGCATTTTCCATATAGTGAAAACTGCCGGTATGACATTCATAAAAGTAATCCTATATTCTCAGACTAGCAGCACAAGACTAAGCCCAAAAACAGAATTGACTAAATCAATAATAACCATGCAAAAATTTAATTTTACATCTAAAAACTCGTACTAAAGAAAAAATTACCTCTATTAATTCAAATCCTCGGATTCGTGTACACTTTACATAAATAAATAACTTAATGGAAGTATTCCAAACTAAACTTGCCAAATATGACAGAAAAGCGAATTCCCAGCTGCGGAAATCGTACCCGTACCCACGTCATTGATGGGTGATATTCATTCCTTCAGATGAACTCGAGGACCTGTTATTACAACCACTGGGATAGCTTTCTGTCATGAAGCTAAGGGTAGAGTATGAAGTATGCTTCGGAATACGATAGAAAGGGCAACTACAAGTATAAGCTTGCAGTGGCGAGATTTCATTACAGAAACTGCTTCATGTCAATAATATTCACATGGAATTCTTTTCATGGACTAACTCAATTCTCTGTCATTGTGAGGTATAAGACCAGCTATCTATGCATCGAAATACCATGTATGTGCTATCCCATAGTTCCTTAAAACGCCGCTAAAGCCTTTTCATGATTGATTCAATTTCCTTTTGTGAACCTCTATTACAGTCCTATCTAGCACTTCTACACCGTCTTTAAGCCCATTTTTGTACGGCTGTGCCACCTCTCTTGAATTCTGGCATTTCACCCAAGATTTGGTTCTTCTCAGTATGCTCTTTGTTTGGGAAAGTTGTTGCTAGTACCCAAGGTCGTTCGTTACTGCCAGAGGAAGCTCTTTCAATGAACTCATACACATCACCTACTGTATGTGTAGTGTTAAATCGAGCCGGAAGACGAGTGCCGTTCGCTAATTGGATTCTTAGGGTGAGAGTTGGTTGCGATGGATCGATCTGAACTTCCGGGTTTTCGCTTGAAGCGGCTGCTGGTGCAGATGCCCTGGATGAAGGCTGCGTAGTTGTAGCACTCGATGAACCACCTGGTGTAGGACTACCGAGTCTCTGACCTGATCCACTAAAAGGCTTGTAAACCTTAGGTGGAGCTTTGTATGGTTCATCATGTTTGTGCAACTGAACATCGACGTGCTGATTTTGTCTAACATTCATCAAGTGAAGAGGAGCGCGACCACGTTGTATGGCCTGAAGGTCTTGCGCATTCGCGGGGTCATCGAATCGACGAAGTGGGCCATCCTCAACACTAAATCCATCCTCCCAAAGGTGTAAGACTCTTGTAATTGGAGGCTCGGAAGGAGTTGCAGCTGAGCGAGGATCAGGTATGACTTGTGAAGGAGCATCGTCACCACCGAGGGTTTGGCCGCTACCACGGAATCGAGATGGTGGCTGTGCCGAAGATGGTTCGCCACTTCCTCTTGAATTTCTGTATCTTGTAAGGGTTGTAGTTTAGAATTTAGAACAGGAAACTTACGCCTTAGCTTGCTTAAGAATATCACCAACAATTTTCCTCGCATCGGGTTTTCTCGAGGGATCTTGGACAGCCAATCCTGACTTTTCACCACCAGCAAATAAATCCCTCGGTTGCTCGTCTGGCTCATAACCCTGGTCATCTGAATCATCATCATCATCCACATGGGCACCATGACCTGAGCCAGGCTGACCAGAAGAACCTTGATTCAAAGACCCAAGAGTTGCGATGCCTCCACGTCCTCCAGCTCTGCCAGTTGCGCCAGTTGACTTTGCGGGTTGTTTACCGTTATCTGGAGCAGGTCTACCATCTAGTGTTCGTGGTCCGGTGTAAGGTGATGGTTGGGTTTCACTCTGATGGTTATCTCCCGAGGGCCCTGAAGTTCCGGTGTTTCCTTCTTCTTGAGCAGTAAAATATTCCGCCATGGCTCCTGCATAATCCCATTGATTTGCAGCGAGAAATTGTTGGGCCTAGAATTAACAGTAGAAGACAAATCAGCGATCAAGACTCAAGACTCAATGATATAAGAGCACATATAATGATATTGGTGCTTCGTGCTTAATTTATGAACTTACCTCCGATGGGGAGACATTGGTAACTTCGCAGAATTGGGAGATCAATTCGTCATGATTATCGTTGTCCGACATGATTGATTGCTTTACGAGATTGTTATTGCTTATATTCAAAAAAGCTATTTCAATGAATGTTAAGATGTCTTGGGGATGTCTTGTAAAGGTAAATGTTTTTGAATGATTGATAGATTGGTAGCTTGATAGTTTGATGGTTTGATGGACAAATAATAAAACCAACGAGGCAGCTTAAGATAACGTCAGAGGATTGATTTTTGGCGGGGCTGAATTTAAGGTTGCCTGGAAGCTTCCACTATTGAGCTTCTGATTACATAATCTCAAGCTAAGCACGGAGTACAAGGTTAGCTCCAATAGAAAGTGTCCGTCCGTGATTCTGATGGATTATCATTCTTCCGTAAGTATCAAATTCACATGAGCTCCGATAATGCGACATGCATTCATATCAAAGTTGTCAACCAAAACATTAAGACTGTTAGATTTCTCAACATTACCAAACATCTCAATATCTTTAAGAAATCACTCGGAAACACAAGTTAATTGTGCTACTTGACCTCGCACTCCCTATATTAAAAATGTCCTCAGACGAACAGCTCAACCCACTTGCCGAATCTGGGATAACAATGCCCTCTGACTCGGAACAATATTCTCGCAATGATGAAATTTCTCCTTCTCCATCCTCATCAAATTCTCCGCAGATGATTCTATACTCTCCTCCTACGTTTTGGGGTTTACTTAGAGGGGCTGCGATCAATCTTGTACTACCTTTCGTCAATGGTCTTATGCTTGGATTCGGGGAGCTATTTGCTCATGAGGCTGCATTTAGATTGGGGTGGAGTAATACAAAGGTAAAGATCTACCATTCTACTTTGCTATCTGGCTCAAGGACTCTAATATGGAATTGCCATTTTGGTTGCAAAGAGAAAGGGCTGATTCTCTTTTCTCACGCTTTGGAGGCTTATACTGAGTGCTTTATTTATCTAGGTTTTCCCACCCACGCGAAGATCTGTAGGACCAGGAATTGAAGTCAGAGATAGTCCACTAGAGCGCAAGAGGAGAGAAGGAAATCTAGATGACTTAACCAGCCTAGAATGAAGGGAAGGGGATATGAGACTTGTAGGAAATAACTGTGTTGAGGTTCTAGCCAACTCTTTTCTTAAATAAGGAGCGAGAAAATGATAGAAGACTCCTCAAAGACGGGGACATGCAGGCAAACTCAAGCAAGTCTGGAGTTTTGGAGGTTATTTGGCAACAGATAGGAAGAAGGTTGTAGGTTTGGAGGGAGCTTGCTGGCGGAATTGGGTAAAACTGCGCACACATTTCTTTGTAGTTTGTAGGCCGAATAGTGAAATATACCCACACGACAAATCATGAAATTATTAGACAGATCACTTATTCATTGCAAAAATTCGCATCTCTAGGTACTTTTAACAAATGAATCCACATGAGGTTGTGGTCGTGGTTGTAATCTTGTGAATTTGCTGCTGTAGAGGTCACTACATACCGGTAGTAGAGAGGTAGTCGATTAATATTTTGCACAAGGTTATGCTAAAGTTATGCAAATGTTATGCAACACGATCATCAACACCACCAAAATAATTTTTGCGATATCAAACCTTCGGATGTGTCTGAGGGGAAGAATAATATCCACTACCATCCACATAAAAAATGATACCCAGTAGAGGGTTGAGGTATTCTCATCAATCGGTGGCCTTGGGTAGACGGCGGATTGAATCATATGGAATTAGACAGGTATTCCATCTCTTCCTCATTGCGCAGCCAACGACAACTGGAGCTTTACTGATTTCTACAAGTTCTCCTCAAATGTACAACGACCCATTAAAACCAATTCAGTTCTCTCGAATAAAGGCAAAAGCACATTATTTTCGCAGTCAATTACTCGACCTGCCCCCTCAAAAGCCAATATCTTAATACGAAATGCAACCTCCATTCGTTTCGCATCAACTGCACCCTCCGCCATACCTCCCGTAGATTCCCCAATCCCCTCAATCGAAACCTCCACCCCCGAATTCAAACCTACCCCGCTCGATGTAACTGCCGATATTAATCCTGATATTCTCTCCGCGCCTGAACACATTGGGTATCTACACTCTCTAGGTCTGGATTATGGATGGGGTCCCACGGCGATCATGGAATGGATGCTGGAGCATATCCACGTCTTGGCCGGAACCCCCTGGTGGGTATCTATCGGTATCGCAGCTGCCGCCTGGAGAGTTATACTATTCAAACCTTACCTCGATGCTGCGGAAAATGCATCTCGAATGGCTACCATAAAGGAATTTACTGCTCCAGTCCAGGCGCAGATGATGCAAGCGAGAACGAGAGGAGATACAACCGAAATGATGTTTCATAGGGCAGAGTTACAGCGAATTTATAAGAGGGCGGGAATCTCAATGTGGAAGAGTTTTGTACCGATGGTGCAAATATTTATTGGTTACGGAACGTGGAAATTGTTGAGACAGATGTCTGACATACCTGTCCCGGGGTTACTGGATGGAGGAGTCCTTTGGTTTTACAATTTAACTATCCCGGATCCTTATTACTTATTACCTTTAGCCACAAGTGCAATCTTGCATTTTGTTTTGAAAGTAAGTTAGGGTCGTTCTATTCTGTTTCTACTGTTGAGCCCACCTAAAGTAACCCGTCAAGAATTGAGGAGCTAATTTGAGGTCACTACAGAAAGGTGGAGAAACGGGCGTTAGTACTCTCACACCTGGTATGCTATATATGATGCAATGGGGTATGCCTGCGCTCTCCATGGTCTTCACATCATTCATGCCTGCCGCTGTTCAATTCTCATTCCTCATGTCTTCCTCGATATCCTTCGGCCAAGCCACGCTTTTCCGCAGTCCTAAATTCAGAGCATGGGCAAACATGACTCCACTCCCTAATCAAAACCCATCACCATCCGAAAATACCTTGAGGATGAAGGAAATTCCGGTTACCCAGGGAGAGACCAAGGCTACAAAGAGATTTTCATTGGATGGTAGTATAGGAAATGTAATGGAAAGATTTCAGAGCGCCAAGAAAGTGGCAGTAGATCACGCAAAGGAAAGAAGAGCAAAGCAAGATGATTCGTCGGCAAAGGCCAGAGCAGACGCTTATGAGGAGAGGAGGAGAAGAGAGATAGCCGAAGAAGTCGCGCGTCAAAATGAGAGAAGGGCATTGGAGAGAGAGAGGAGAAAGATGGAGAGAGGAAGAAAAAGGAGTAGAAAGGATTGAACGAGAGCAGCGATCGAATCATGACTATGCACTTGTAAATTGGTGGTGGAAGATAGATGATGGATACGATCAATGTAAATTATATGAGAATTTTTAGATCGAGAATGAGGAGACTCTTTCTTGCTATATGGGTGTCTGTTTGTATATAACAATGATGTTCTCGAGTAGCAAAGACAAGTAAGTAGATATGGATTAATTTTTTGTATTTGCAGATTATATAAATCAGAAAGAACATCTACTTATTCATATATATAATACTCTCAAGATAGAATCACTAGATCTTATTTAAAGGTTTGATTTTGATGCTAATTGAAGTTCTATATAAGGAGGGTTGCGCGGGGGAGGAGAGGGATTGAGATTATTAAGTATATATTATTTTATAGTTTATGTTTTAAGATCTTAAATAGAAACTCTTGAGTCATTGCGGGGAATGAGCTGATGAGGTGGAGGGGATTATAACACGCGTTTGTTATTTTAGATGGTTTAGGTAGTTTTATAGGTTTGTGAGGATAAGAGGATAATATAATTTGGAGAGATTTTAACTTTGCGGGATAACGATATAAGACAGGGGGCTTGAGTTATGACGGGTTAGATATTCAGTTGTAAGATTTGAATAAGATATTAGAAGGAAAGAGATATCCAAGATAATAGGAAAGTTGAATTTGGGTAAGAATAACGATTAAAATAATATACGAAATGTAAAATAAATTCTATTATTATACTCGAGTGTATTATACTGAGGTTTATAAACTATACAGGAAATATTTATACTGTATTTATTGTGTAATTTTGAGATTTTATATTTATAATTTTACATGCTAAGACTTAGATTGTATATATGAGGTTCATTAGGTGGCGATTATCCCCTATGGTTTTTTGTGCTATTTGGTAAATGAGAGAGGAGTATTTTTTAGTTATCTTATAGCTTTAAATTTGGAATGCTTCTTGGGGTTTGGGGTGGGGGATAAAGTTGAAGTTGGTGATGGAGATGTACATAAGTTCAGGAGTTGATATCTTGGGTAATTTGATTTGGGAGGGATGGGGAAGAAGGGATAATGAGATTAATGTATTATATGAGATCTGTAATCTGTACTACTAATAACCATTTCAAATTATGAATTATTGCAATTACTCTTTTAAGAAAATTTGACCGCGGGGATGATGTTTGATATAGTGTAGCATTGGGGGTGAGAAATATTCAAGAATTTGAAAGTGGATGATAAGTATATGTGTCTCTGATTCATTATTCTTTTGCAAGATGTAGGAAGCGAGAAAGTGTAGAGAGTAGGGTAGTGACTATACATGCTTTGTATTTGGCGATTACTAAATCTATTATGTCGCTGTCTCGAGCTTTTTTTATCCACTTTCTTTTTGGTTCAAAAGGAGAAGGAAAAGGAGAAGAATAATGCCAACTTGAAATTAGGCGAGCTGTGAGATCTCACTTGTCGAAGAGAGTATAAGTTGAAAAAGGTTCAAGAAACGAGAAGAAAGATTGAAAGGGAGGGAGTCGAGGATGGGAGTTTAGAAAGATTTCATGGTTTTTCATGATTCATCTGGTAGGTGTAGGAGCATTGTGAAACACTCGAGTACATAGATGTTTGAGGTTGGTTGCTATGAGAGGCGGATGAGGTCCACAATTTTAAGATCTTCGAAAGCCGGGGACAAAGTTGACTACCTTTGTCTAAACTGCGCAACAGATACACGTGGAGCGAATTATTGCTTTGGTGGGTAATCCACGGAAGATCTGTTTATAGAGCAGATAATTGGAAAATCTGAATGGGTGACCCATTGAGCAGCTTATTCGTAGATAATTTGCAAATTGCAAATCATCCGTAAATAATCTCAATTAATAATCCACAGAACAGATTGTCCACGGATATCCGTAGGTTGCAGTCTATTTCCGTGCAACCTACTTCTGTCCTCGTTTCATTGTGTGCTATTTTAATAATGATAATCTCCTACTTCTTCTTAGTCGAGGAGAAGTTAGGATAGAAGGTTTGAGAATATCAGGACTTCTAACTTCGAGGCGGGTGTATGGATTTGATGTGAATAGACTCATGTAAACGGAAGCGTCACCTTTCAGATGATTCACGATTCCTCCTCTATTAGGAATAGTGTTGCTCTGTCTCCAACTAAACTGGATGATCCTTGGCGAAGATAGAGTAAAACGAAATATGATGCTCAAATTCTGTCATTCATAGCCATCAAGAGAGTGCTCCTCGAGGTGCTAGAAAAGAGTGGGGGTTCGTATTGTCTTCTATTCCTTCTCCAGCCGCTCTAAAATGTAGATCTAATACGGGGTAGTACTGCTTGCTTTTTCAATCCTCTCTCAGGAACTCAACTTCCAATTCTACGCTTGCAGATGGAATATAGTGGCTCCTCAATACCGGGGGCTCGGGTCGAGCGTTAGTGCCAGTATTGGATGCAGCAACGTTGATTTCTAGTTCGAGTATCGATTATTGATATGAAGATCTGTGGCGATCTAAGATCTAAGACCCAAGGAGTCGAGGGGATTGAAATTCTTTATGGAAATTCCAATCTAATTCTCCATGCATCAAGCATCTCGATAGAAGAACTATCTCCAAACCATCGGGAATAAAGCCGCTCGTATAAATTTCTCAGATGATCACAAATCACAACTGAGTATTAAATTTTCATACTTATGATAATTTATGCCATTCATTCACGAATGGCTGAGCCGACCCGAGTTTCGTGTAACCTTTGAATGAGACACTCCTCTTTAATCCATATCTAAATAGCAACATCCATTGGTCCAGGTCCCACAATCGATATCCTGATCCAATAACAGACCTCAATTTCTGAATATGCGAACCCAAAAACAGCCTAGATTCGGTTGTTCATAAGATTTGCAGTGAGCTTCGCAATCAATTTGCCTCTTCGATAATATTTGGACGAGCTTGGCGAGGTAGACCTTTCCTGTCTCCAGAGAATACCACGATTGATATTGAAGAGCTGGTACCATGAGGTCGGGTACATAATGCTTGTATTTACAAGGAGTGAGTAAAATATATTTAATCTCCGTTCGATGTAGTTTTATGTCAACTTTTTAATGGGCCCACTAGTTGTTATTCCTCAGAAGGGAGGCTCCGAGCCGTTTTAAGACATTTCGTCCGCGCGCGCTATTTTCATGCATGCTCTAGTACAAAACAATGCATGGAAAAATTTGTGATGATTTTCTAGAAGCTCTATGGTGTAAAACTGTAAGTTAGTCAACCAGGGTTAGAGGTTGTTGGAATATCTCCAAGAGCTTCAGTTATCTTGTCTTGTAAGACGCGTAGTGAAGCCCAAAAAAAGACTGTATATGTAAGACTTAACAAAAGAACTACTGGCAACCTCCTCACGTCTCATTATCACATGTGCGTTTTTGGAAGAGATTTGAATATTGCATGAGCTATATATCAAAAGTTTGGCTACCCAATCCTTAAAGATGGGCCCTCAAATGCGAGTGTAAGGGTGTTGATGTGGACACACTGAGCATGGAGGAACTCAGCAATGACACACATTTGCAGGAACTATGTTTTATTGTCTTATTCCCGGGATCCCTCTTTAAAAATACGAAACTACCCTAAAGTTTTACGACAATATAAGCATCATATATTAAAACTTTTCACCAATTCGGAAGGTACATATATCACTTCTCTATACCTCGGTCTGTGTATGTAGACGGATAAACATTCGTGATCCGGTATAGATGGTTTCCTTGTTCAACGAGAGGAAAGAGCGGAAAATTATTCATTCTTGATTCCGCGGAGGTCTGCACGAAAGCTAAGATCCGTTGATGGTTTTATCAACCCTTGTTTTTAATACGAAATTTTCTAGGTATAGAGGGAAGCGAAAACTCTGTCTCCAGATTTTCTCCAGCTACGATTGCTGATCTACCAGGTTGGCATTTTGCATCACGATTAAATCACTCACTCAGTCGTACAAGTTACAGTGCAATCTAAAAGAGAAGAAAATCCAGATTCGAAAAAATCCCAAAGATCTTAAAGATCTTTATGGAAGTCCCGGCTGAATGAGAAACCTAGGGAAATGTTTGTTAGTTGTATGTATCTCAGCACGAATCTTTAAATGGTGATACAATACACCTAAATGAAACGTACCAAATCTCGCTAAAGCACGGAGAACACGGTTAGATCGGAAATAAGATCCGGATAATGGATAACAGGCCGACCCGCAAGGGGCGAAATCAATCTGATTACATTTGCTACATTTGTAAGCATCCACACCAATTTTTTATTTGTCCGAAGGGAGGTTAGCTAGCTTTTCTCTCACGGGCTGAACAATCCACATGCTATGCTGCGTGTATGGTATTCGGGATTCGACTCGTATATCATCAAATTTGTAGGTTGGAATGACTCAGTATCAGATCTCTCCTCCGTATAAATGATCGTGATACATGGTGGCGTCGTGGCGTCGTGGCAGCTGTCACTCAGCTGGTCTCCCGTCTCCCGTCTCCCGTGTGCCGTGTGCCAACGATGTACCAGTAGAAAAATGCTCGGAAGCCTGGAACACTTCAGAGAAAAGAGATAGAGAGGATCCTGTAGGTAGTGTACCGTGTTCGTGAACGATCGTCAACATGGACGCTTCACCGCAAGAAAGGACACTGTAAAAACCAAATTTCATTTGATGTCTAATCCTTTTGGCGACAGAACAATTTTGCTTCGAACACACTATATTCTGGGTATGCATCACCCACGGTACATTCACCAGGCTAATCCTAGAGATATATTTATCAAACAGAGAAAGAATACCGCGCATAGCGAGTTGATCTCTTGGAATACTTAAGCATATTGGAATGAGTTCAAGCTTTTATATTCGTTCAAGCCTTTCGACGATTATGGAAATTATCGACATGATCTAGCTTTTGCGATGGATGGGCAAACTTAATGTGATTATTACACAAATTCGTGATATTTCAAGCAAACAATTGTTATATTATGTTCCTAATAAAGTCCCAACCCAATTCAGTTGAGGCGATCATCATTGGAGGGAACGCACAGGAGCACCATGTCAGGGCCGATGATCTCGGTACTTAAATGACCTATTGATAGGTTGAACGACCCTGACGAGCCAGCACATTATCATTTGCAAATCGGTTGAGATCTGCGTATCAGAATTATCAAATTCCATCTTCAGTGCGGTCCCCAGTAAATTTTACCAAGACGGATGCAGATGGAAATCTAAGAACGGTATGTCTTCCCCTTTGGGACATGACCGAAACATAACTGGTAAACTTTCAACGCTGTTACCACGCCTTTTCCTTTCCCGTCTTTCCCATGCTCAATATCCAGATCTACTCTCATATATCCACTCTGGGGCAAAGTGGCCGAGATCTAGATTTATAGGCGAACTTCTTTTACATACCTGGTTCCTTGTGCGGAAAGGATCATGATTTCTTCAAATGTAGTCGTGGGTTTTACCAATTGAACGGTTCCTCAAACAAAATACATTCTTTTAGGTTTTTATTTCTTTAGAGGCGCTCATTCGTACTTGTCACCTTCGTATTGACTAGCCTTTTCCCGCATCACGGTTCGAGTTTGGACGTTCGATTCTTCAGTTTTGTGTTTGTGGAGGAGGCTTTGGGTCTTTCTTGGAGGTGTAATAACATTTGCCAGTGCCAGTGTCAATACAGCTGGTTACTGCCACTTGCAAACTGAAAAAAATGGAGTCATTGGAGTTATCAGTACGGGCCGAGGTCGAATCACACGCAAATAGAGGGCCACAAATACAAGGAGTTGTGATATTTTTTATCGTGTTGACTACAGTCTCGGTTTGGCTGCGTACATATTGTCGTGCGTTTATTATCAAAAATTTTGGTTGGGATGATATTCTTGCTGTTATTTCTTGGGTTCGTTCTATCTTCCTTATTCATATGATTGGAAAGTGTTCATTTGGTGTGTGTGCTTGCTTGCTAACTTGCTCCCAAAAAGGCATTTTTTTTGGTATATTCTTCGTTCGCGCTCCTGGCTGTGACTTATGGAAGTGGTCAACATGTTTGGGATATACCGCCTGAACATGTTCCAATTGGTCTTAAGGTATTTCTATTCCTGTTGTTGTTATGATAAGTGGCTCTTTTCAAAAGGTTGAGCAGTTCAACTGTGAAGAACTTAACTCGGAGAAAGACAAGGAGGTTTCTTCGAGAGTGGAATGTGTCCATCTGGGGATACTCCAGTCTCACCTCGCTTATTCAACCTGAGCATGAAATAGCATCTTTCTTTGAAATCTTTACTCACATTCTCCTCAGTATTGGTGGCTATGCGAGCCCGTCTACGTCGTTTCCAACATGGCCCTTAAGCTGTCGATTGCAGTTTTCCTCCTGCGCCTTTCAAATTTGCCAATGCACCGCTACATCATTCTCGGTACTCTCGTGGTGTGCGAAATTGGAGGCATCTTTTATTTCCTCGTCTTCATCTTCCAATGTCAGCCTTCCAACTATTTCTGGACGAAGTATACGGGTGGAACAGGGAAGTGTATAAATGCAAATATCCCGGTCGATGCGGGATATGCATATAGTGCTATTACATGCGCTACCGACTGGATTTTGAGTCTCATTCCGATTTGGGTGGTATGGAATTTACAGATGACGCCGAGAGATAAGATCAGTGTAGCTATAATTCTAGCTATGGGTGCTGTGTATGTGCTTCTCGATTTTTTAAATTTTGGGCTTTATCCAACCCCCTTTTCCACTTTACACTACCGGACCACCATAAACTTACGTAAATGACAATAGTGCCTCAACCGCAACCATAATCCGGATCCCTTACCTGCACGACCTCTCCAACATCGCTGATTTCCTCTTCGCGACCGTCGATATAGCTATCTGGTCTACTGCAGAAACAGGTATCGGCATCACAGCCTGCTCAGTTGCCACTCTACGCCCTCTCTTCCGCAGTTTCTTTGCACGAACCAAAATGTTCGGTAGCTCGACAAAAGGACCTAGCAATCCGAGTAACGCCTGGGGCGGCTACGGAGATACCAAAGGTAGTGGATATATCAAGCAAAAGAGCCTCAACGATGGAGGATCTAGAATTGCCAGCTCAGGGGAAGATGTCGAGGATTTTAAACTCAGAGATGATATACCTTTGCATTCGGGCGTCACGACTACAATCGTCACTGGGAAACAGAAGGGTACTGATTTTTTCGACGATACTTCAGATGATAGTTCGCAACGACATGATGATCGAAAAGCACATGATATTGATTTGGAACTGGGGCACGAGAGAGATTCGCGAGCGCAGGATTTAAAGGGGAGAGTGCATAGTAAACGCATTTCTAAACATGCGGCTAAATGGAGTGGAGGAAAAGGAAGAATTAGAGATACGAGTGATGCGAGGAGTTTGAGTAGTGAAGAGGATCCCTCTTGGGGTATGGGGATTACGAAAACGATTAATACTAAGATTAGTAGTGTGCGGATGAGTAGAGTGGGTGGAGGGAAGGGATAATTAGGGTTATTTAATTAGGGTTGTGAAATTTATGGTTTGGACAGACTTGCTTGCTACTTGTGTCGCGTGAGTCTTGGGTTTGTATTTTTATAATGATGATGAGTATGGAGTGGATTAGATACCTTGGTGGGTCGGAGTGGAGTTCACTTATTTCATGATTGATTGATTGATTGATATTTATAGGGTTTAAATCTGTGCGAACTAATTTTAGAATTAATACTTTCAGCTTGTTTTCGAGGACTAGGTTAACATGGGTGTCAATCCTACTACAAAATCTGAGATGCAGATGGTGCTCATATCATATTGAACAAGGGTTACAATTCCACCACTGTGTATGCGTAATCTGAATCTTGCATATGTGGTAGTTCGCATAGAAGCGTACGGTATTTCCTCGTTATAAGATTACAATCAATCTTTAATAGAGGGGACACCAGTTCATATTGTTTTTGTATTTTGTATTTTTTATATGTTACTGTATTGTGTTCAACTGTGAGATAATTATTTTGGCCCGAGTACATGGTGGTGCGGGGAAGTGCAACATAACCAATTACATCCATCTCAGTGAGTCAAATCCTGAACGGGTGGGAATACCGGTACGGTATGGATAGCATCGACGGATGGGTACAGCTTCTGTCCATGACTTCAATACTCGTCTTGAAGAAAAATAAGTATCGATACAAAATATAGAAATTTGTCAATTATTCAGAGTCGGTCGTTGCTAACGTTGACTCATTAAGGACGACGGACGTTCAAACATTGGGTTCACGGCACACTGCATTTCGCTGCGACAACTGTGCTCCATCAACGCAAGACACGAATATTGAGACAAAGATAAGATAAGCAAGCTTGTGGTGATACCGAAAAACGAATGTAAGATCTTACAATTGAGGGGTAACGGGAAATGGGGTGTAGCGGATCCTCATCGCTTATGGCATATATATCGTGATCTTTCCCGTCCGAGTAGAGTGAAAATATCCTATCGATTTTATTTACATTCACATCTAACTTTTCTTTCGAGTCTCAATCGAATTATCTAGAAGTTTAGATTGTTTTCTTTTCGTTCAAAATGGCATCACAAGAAATAGACAGCAGAATGGATTTCGTGGTAAGATTGAACTTTATATAATTAATGCTCATAACGTTTCTTACAAGAAATTCGTTTTAACAACCTCCTAGACCTTTCAAAACACGATCGACGGAAAATTATGCAACACAACACAAACCCGACATAGCATCAACCCCGCGACTGGCGAAGCAAATCCCCCCGTTCCACTCTCTACCAAGAAAGAACTAGACGATGCGGTGCTCGCTGCAAAGAAAGCCCAAAAATCCTGGGCTCGTACATCTACCACAGAACGTCGCAAAATGCTCCTAGCATTCACCGATTCCTACGCAACATACGAGTCCGACTTTGTCGACTTACTCATATCCGAACAGGGAAAAGCGAAATTTCTAGCCCATGATGAGTTTGCTAGGAGTTTAGCCATGATTCGAGAAACTACCGAACTTTTGCTTACGGAAGAAGTTGTTGCGGAAACTGATACTATGGTTGCGAGTGTGAGATTTGTTCCCATTGGTGTAGGTTGTGGATTGGTACCTTGGAATTATCCAGTTCTGCTTGCGATGGGAAAATTAGTTCCTGCCGTATGGGCTGGAAATACGATTATTATCAAACCTAGTCCTGATACTCCGTATTGCGCGCTTAAGATTGTCGAATTGGCAAATAAGTTTCTCCCTCCCGGAGTAGTGCAGGCGTTGAGTGGAGGACATGAGTTTGGTCCTTTGTGTACGCTTCATCCTGATATTGATAAAATTGCTTTTACGGGGAGTATTGAAACTGGGAAGAAGGTGATGGAGAGTTGTGCTAAAACTTTAAAACGTGTTACGTTGGAATTGGGCGGGAATGATTCGTGTATTGTTTGTGAAGATGTCGATATTGAGAATGTGGTTCCACAGGTATGTTTCTCGAGATCGTTTCTTGATTATGACTTGTCCTCTCCGTTTATGCTTCTGGAGCCGGGTATCTATATTTTATTTGTTTTTGAAATCCCTGGTTTCAAATAAGTAAAAATATAACGGACCTAGAGAAATAGCAAACATGAAGCCTGACAACTCATTTTGCAAACTTCATTCTAATCCAATCAATACATCAACAGATCGCCCAACTCGCATTAATGAACTCAGGTCAAATTTGCATGGACATAAAACGCCTCTACGTCCACGCCGACATCTATGACCAATTCCTCTCAGCCCTCGTATCCCACGTCTCCAAACTAAAAGTCGGACCAGGAGCCGATCCCACAAGCTGGGTCGGACCGCTCCAAAACAAAGCACAAGTAAACAACGTCCAAACCTTCTACGACGACATTAAAAAAAATGGACTAAAAGTCGCTTATGGCGGTTCAAACGAAAGCATCAAGATGAACGATACGCTAAAGAAAGGATATTTCGTCAATCCAACTATCATCGATAATCCACCCGACAGCGAAAGAATCGTACAACTCGAACCCTTTGGTCCCATTTTCCCAGTTCTTAAATGGAGTGGTGAGGATGAGGAGATTGTGGATAGGGTAAATGATTCGATTACAGGCCTGGGAGCTTCAGTATGGAGTACAAATATCGCGAGAGCGGAGAAGATGGCCAGGGAATTGCAGGCGGGTAGTGTGTGGGTGAATACTCATTTTTGTTTAAGTGCGAAGGTTCCCTATGGAGGGTTTAAGAATAGTGGGATTGGGATGGCCTGGGGTTTGGTGGGTTTGAAACATTGGTGTAATGCGCAGAGTGTGTGGTTGCCGAGGGAAAAGTCGAAGATTTGAAAATTGGGAGTTTAGATGTAAGAGATGAGTGATTGGGATATCAAAGGTACTGATCCTGGAGCTGTGCATTCTCATCTGTCCATCTCTGCCTTAGATGCAGTGCTATCTAATGGAACTAGATCTCCGGTATGAAAATCTTTTTCCCTTGATACATGATTAGGTATACCCTTCGTTTTCCCATACCAAATTCTATGCTGTATGCCGTATTTTATCTCCAGGCTAGAATTCATGTTCATAACAACATGACAGTTAAGTTTCTCTAGCATAACCTGGAGCTGTCATTTGGTGCAAATGTGTTGGGTCTAATTTAGATATCAGAGTTTTCGCTTCAATACTTTCCTCGGCTAAGTGGCTCAGGAATTGATCATGAACTTCCGTTTTCTTATTAACATTTTTCGGTGTTGCGTATGATCCCTTTTTTCCGCATGAGAGTATCGATTTGTATTTCATGCGGCTGGAGCAATTGGGTGGTATGTCAGTTCACTGCTGGGAAAATGATACTGATTTTCGAATAACATCTCCCATTGAAATTAGGGCTTGACCTATTCGGAAAATCCATCTAAAAGCTGATATTAGGAAATGCGTGTTTTACATATTATCACATAATATGCTATTTCTGATTTACCAGACTCTGCGAAAATTTTGTAATCTACCGTTCTCGATTTCCACTCGGAGGTATAGCAGCCCGTTCCTCACTTGAAAGTCCACCGTTAAAAGATTAACGATGTAAAGGCATTGAATACCTGGGTAAGAAACTACCCTTAGTGGGCCCTGACTATACCCGTAGTGAATTTCATGATTGACCATAAGGTTAACATCGCTCGTTCCCCGAAGATTGACTAATGGATTCTGTTTTATAATGATCGGATGGCAATCAAGATTAAAATTCCGAATGTTGTTTGTTTAGAAGGATCTTTTCATCCGGCGGGGTGGGAGGTATGACAGACAGCACCATACATACCAGGTTACTCAAATACGATACACCTCTTCGAAGGATTGCTCAGCATTTGGCAAGTCCGGTGCGCAGTGAATAATTTGATTGATATATCGATATGTCGTCTCTTCCCATAGACTCTATAGTCCCTAACATGTCACGAAAGTGTTATGTGTATTCTTGGACGTTCTGCCAACACTGCTATATCTCTCGCTTTGAAGTTTAGGTGTACAATCGAGCAAATAAAATGGCTTTGGCTGTGTATCTTCACACATGAGTGCCCACCAAAAGGTTCGCAGAGTTACGCAATGGTTTCTTGTTTCAGTCAGGAGATACTCTGAAGAGGGTATAAGTCTATTGGTGTCATCTCACCCCCTATAAACTCAACTTCTACTACTGTATAGCTGCAGATGCCACCAGATCTTTCGAGTGAATAATCCTTACTGCAGAGCTCATGGTCGAATTCAAGCAAAATCTGTATCTCTTTAAAACCCATTGAGAAAAGTGAGCAGAGAATCGCTGCCAAAACCTTCTGTTAATTTTCTTAGCAGTCCTCGCCTTTTGTAATATCAATTTCCTCTCAACTCAAAGCGAAGAGTTCTTCGACCCATGCTCAGTTTTGGCTCTGAAATATATTCTTGTCCTCGAATCTTTTATGCGAAAGTCATCACAATTGGAATTTATTAATTGTGTCAGTTTAAGCTCTTGTTATTGCTAGGAACGTAAGTCTTACTAGTATCGTCTCGTCACTTTAGAGGCCAATTCTCTCCAACGACATGCTGTGTTTTTGGCAGCCGCATCAAATTTTTACTTGCTGCCATTTCACACTTTTCTATTCCTCTTAGGATATTAATTATATGTTCAACTCTTTACTTGTTTCACTGTCAGTTATAAACCAAAGAAATCAATAATCCTAGCCTTCTCTCCGGCGATTTCTCAGGATCTTCGCAGTTATTCACCTTTACGTGATAAACGGCGTAAGCTAACTGCTCGATTTTCTTAAACTAAGGCAATATTTTGACTTACATCTTTGCATCAAGGAAAGATTTTACAGTGCGAAGTCTACAAAAATCTTATAACCTTGCATTATCTAGTTCCATTTTTACCGACAAATGTCTCGAACCACCATTAGAGAATGGTAATATCTCATCCGATAGCCACATTAGTGATTAGTCTTCACTATGATTGTTGTCATCAGCATTTTTTATCGTATTGTTATAGTTTTCAACAAATTTTTTACCCAATAGCACGAAAAGCAGACAACTAATTGGTGGTTGTTTTGATGTGAGACCTTCATTTCCAGATCTTTTGCCAGTCCAGATAAATTCGCGAGTTTGGAAATAGACCGTCTTCCTTGAGCTTGAAGGTTTGAAAAGCAGAAATATCGTATACAGGAGTATAAATACTTGTCATCTTGCTTATTTCTTGTAATTGCGGGGTAAAAAGGTTGAGTGGAATTTTTCATTGTCGAAGTTTCGCGATGTCATTGTCGCTTAAATAAGGAGGGTTTTTTTTGAATACAATTCTAGGGGCTCATACTGTTATTGATTAGTTTCATCTACTTCAACTAGTAACTCTTCTTTAATCGTCACGATTCATTCGAGTCACAAGATGTTGTATGATTTTATAGCATTCTTGAATATTATATATCGTCCATTAAGTAGAGTTTGACAATTTCAACACTTTTAGTTCCTGCTTTACTGTTGTTCATATGTCCATACTATCTTGTTATCACCAATCTCAACACCATCGCACTCGAAATAGTGGGGATATAGTCATTCTGTCCATGAGGGTGAATTCAAAAGCTCAGGTGTTAGTGAAGTGTAACCCCTCTTCTCCCAGAAAATAAACAACCTCTATTTAAAGACCATCTTGTCTCTAGAGATGGCTGGAATTTGAGAAATAAATAACCAAACTTACAATTTCTATGAGTCTTCATATAGAAGACAACTTCAGCAACTGTTATTTTTACTTACATCTTACACTTACAATCTATCATAATAGGTTATTTATCGCAGAGATATTCTAACACTATTTGTTTCCGCATTATTCCTCTCTCTATTTTACTTCTCTCAACACAAATATTCAAGTCTTTAATCCCTACCATATCATCATTTCTTCAATATTGATATCCTCCCCAGCATTATCAGTCTCCCAAGCTTTAAAAACCAGCACATAAGCACAAGTAAACCTACATTCTACCACTCCCCATCTGGTACTACAAACAAGAGGTTCGTTGCAAACCCCCAAAATCACTCCACACCTATATTGACATCATTTTCCCCTGTTTCCTTCCTTCAAATATACTCCTACATTTCCTCTCTTCACCAAGTCTGATTCATTCCCATCTAGATCCATCCATACACTCAATATCCTATTATTCATTTATCTATCATTAACAAACAAACAAACCCTACAATCCCCCCTTTCTAATCTAGTCTCATCTAATCCGATCATTCGCTCATCCATAATTCACTGCAACCATAACATCTCCAACGAAAATCACACAAGAATGTCCGAGCTCAGCACTCCATATTCCCTTATCCAAGTTAACTCAATCGATACACCGCCCGTCACTACCTCCCTATATGGTCAAAAAACCATCATCCTACCAAGTCCCCCTTTCCCCATCATTCGACCCTCAAACCCGATAAAATTTAAGAGGAAATTAGCGTTCATATTCGAATCACTTTATGATGAGAAGTCTACTTTTCAAATCAAAGTTAGAGATGAGGAGAACTCTGGACTTGGTTCTCCGTTATGGGATAATGCGAGGCTTGGATCTATTTCTGGAGATGAGTCGGAATTTGTAGAGGATAGGGAAGGACTTGAAGATTTGAGTGTTCGGAGTACTAGGACTGGAGATATTAAAGGGTATTTGGGGAAGGAATTGGATTCAGCGCCAGAGAGGGTTGAAATGTCTGACTCGTCTGACTTGGCTGAAAAAGAAGCGGTGGAGATTTCGAAAGGAAATTTAGAGCCGGTACTTACAGAAGTAAAGGAGGGCGGTCCAATCGATCTTAATGTCGTATCTACAGCTATTGCTGATCCGGTTGAGGTGCTTGGTAGTGCTACTCCAACTACTATACCTGATTCAGAGATGAAAGAAATACCAATCTCCAGCACAGAACATCCCTCAGAGATTAAAATCTGTCACGAATGGACTGGAACATGTCAATTTGATGAAATCACAGAAATATCCATCAATCTTCAAAAAGAAGCAAGTTTTCCCCGCTTTCTTCATTACATCAAACAACTAACTAAATAACCAACTAACCAACACCCCCACAGAAAAAACTCAATAATCTAATTCTCTACCGCAAAGCACTAATCCACGACATTTCCCTCGCACCACACGACCCCTATTTCTACATCGACCTCTCCCAACTCGACAGCAAGCTCGGTTTTTGCGAAACCTCATCCCACTACGCATATCGAGGACTTCATCTCCTCCAAGCCGGATTGAAAACCATTACGTGCGCACAATCTGCGCTCTCTCGCGCGGTATTCACAGCGATTTCTTCACGCCTTCGTACTTCCTCTCTTCCGATTATTATGGATGAATTAAATTGTATGCATGTTTGTGCTTATCGCTGTTTAGTGCGGGGATTATTACATTGTGCTACTTTTTGGGATGGGTTGAGTGTAGTGAAAATTGCGTTGGGGGTGTTTCCAGATGATGTTGAATTGTTGGATCTTAGGGCTCTTTTGTTGCAGTCTTTTAGGAATAGACATGATGAAATGGTGGAAGATGCGAAGGATGGGAGTGTGCGCAATATTATCGCGTCGAGTCGTCCGGGATTGATATATCAGAAGAAATACCCTTGGATGGCTGATAAACTTTTTGTTCGAACACCTCGGTTGGTTAGACGGGTTAATTCTGAATTTGGATCCCCGAATGCGGAAGTCAGACCGGTGGTTTTTGGTTCTCCTGGTTCAGCTTCTACATTTAAATTACTTTCGAGCCTTCCTAAACACGCGGATGTCGGACCACTTGGTATATTTGCCAGGCGCGATATTGCTGAAGGCGAGACAATTCTAATCGACAAGTCTTATGCATGTATTTCCGATATTGCACCCTCGACTGGACAGTTTTGCGACGCTTGTCACGCAGCCCTTACTCCACCTTTCATGTTCCCATCGCAGATTCTTCGATCATCATGCGGATGTAAAGTGTCGTTTTGCTCCAAGGGCTGTCACGACGCCGCCATCGAAGGCTATCATAAGATCCAGTGCGGTATTGATTTCTCCTGGCTATATAATGCTGGCTCGCTTCAAACTGATTGGGATCCTATCATGTTTCTGCGCGTGATTTGTATTGTCCTCAGCACACCCGGTTGGTCAAAAGATTCAATACCACAAAAAAACCCTTTGCTACATCCATTAGTAGCAAGATTAACAGCCAATTACGCAAGTAACGACAAACAAGCCACTCATGGATGTAATTGGTCCTATCAAGACAACATTGTAGCACCAACACGTATCCTCCTCGATCTCGGCATCGACATCTTCACCCCAACCAAGAAGACCCAAGCAGGAAAAACCAAGCTCCTCGCCAACATGTGGACACCAGAACTCATCCAAACAATCTACTGGCGCATGTTAAATAACGCCAACACAAGTACAATCAACATATCCGGACTATCCATGCCCGCTCGCTCCTCCATATCTCCCAATTCCCGATTCGGTCAGGACAAAAATGCACATTTAATCGTGCTAAGTCCGAGTTATATATTCTTCAATCACAGCTGTAGAAACAACGTAATATGGAAAGGAACCTGTACCAATGGTTCGGACAACATTTCCATGCTCCTAAGCGGAGACGGAAAAAATCAAAAGCTGATGAAACCGGGAAGTAGTAGTGTGATTTGTAAAGCCGATCGAGATATTACTGCGGGAGAGGAATTAACGATTAGTTATCTTGGTGATCCGATGGGCGATTACTTGGATGATGAGTATTTTGAAAATCCGAGGTTGGCTATTGGACAGGCGAGGAATGGATCTATGAGTTCTTTTCGAATGAGGGTTAGAATGGCGTTGATGAAGTGGTTTGGTGGTGAGGATGGGTGTGGATGTGGGTGTGTGCAATGTGCGGAGGAGAATGCAAGGGGGATGATGCCTAGGATGGAAAGGATGTGATGGGAGGGGAATATGGGTAGTATTGAGAAATTATTAATGGTGGGACTGGGAGGGTGTTGACTTTTCAGGATGATTTTTTAAAAGGAATACTGAATTAGGGAGCGTGAGTTTCACTTTCGGTTATGGTGGGGTTTATTTAAGTGTGCGTAGGATTTCATATAGAAAGCGCAGTTGTTGAGAATAATCTAGGGATGAATTATATCAATATAAATAATCAGCAAGTTACTTTTATATCTCTTAAGATGATATAAATTGCTCTCCCACCCCTCAAATCAAGTAGTATACTTTGATTTTAAACTATTTAAACATATTATAAAATATATACTTTTAAAATATATTTTATTTAAAAAAATGAATCTTTTAAAGTTTTTTGTTACGAGGTTTGCCGTCTAGATCACGTGGAAGTGCTCTAGGCTCTCGAAGTAGGTTTATAATTAGGCGTCAAGCAGGGACTTGAAGTAATGACAATAATGATATGCAATTCGTAACTAATAGTAGAGTATACTAAATGATTGATCTTGAGCACGAAGCTCTATACAAAGGAAATCCATCTTGATTATATAGACCTTCATGCCTATGGCTAGTCAGGACCGCTGCGCGGTCCTGGACAGCCAGCGTTCCTCAGCGGTCCATAACGTGACTTTAATCACGCTACCTTGGTTTAGTCATGTGACGCGGCATAGAAGATAGCCGTTGTAACACTATCCCCCTTCTAGTTTAGCGCTTGTCCCGAGCGTTATATAGTGTAACTCCCCCTCATATTTCTTTTATTAGTGATATTTTCCTTTCTTTCTTCATTATGACTACCGATTTACGAAAGAGGAAAGAACAACTTCGTTTGGCTCGTTTAGTAGAAGGCCGTGGATTCGAGATGCCTTCGTATTCTTTATGTGATCGTCAGGAGCGTAAATGCATTGTCTCCTCAACTGATTCTTCACGTTGTGCTGAGTGTATTCGTCAAGGGAAGAAGTGCGATGTTCGAGGTCCGTCGGAGAGCGATTGGGATAGCCTGGATCGTCAAAAGGCGAGGTTGGAGCAGGAGGAGGAAGAGGCGATGGCCAAAATTCTTCGGCTTAGGAAGCAGAAGCGTCTTTTGTTAGAGCGAGAGTCTGATATGCTTCGTCGGGGTTTGCGTACTCTTGATGAGCTTGTGGAAGTTGAAGAGAAGGAAAGGTTGGAAAATGAGCGTATGGAAAGAGAGAGAGAGCAAGCGGATACAGGTCCATTGGTGCCTGCTGCAGCTAGTTCGAATGTGCTGGATAACTTTGATCCTTCCTCTTTCCTGAGTCCTTCAGACCCCTTTTCTTTTCAGAATTCTTCAGGTACTTTTTGGGGAGATCCGGATAGCGTTGGTGAGATGCCTTCAACTTCTCAGGGCAGCTGAGATCTTTCTTGAGCTCCCAAGTGTTTTCTGAGTGTGGGTAATCCAACCATTTGATCAGATATTTGATCTTGCCTCTGATGTATTTACAATCTAGTATGGTTTCAACATCGTATATGGCATCTGGATTGACTGGTTCGATTTCCGTTATTGGCGCATCGGGCGCTCCTGGTGGTGCTGGTTCAAGCAAGGATATATGGAATACTGGGTGAATATTCATGGTGTATGGTAGTTTTAGTTTATAGTTAACTGGTCCAACTACCTTGTCGATTTTAAATGGTCCTAGTTTCTTGTGATCTAGTTTATCGCTTGGTCGTTTTGTCTGTATGTTTCTTCGAATGAGATAAACTTTATCCCCCCCTTTAAGCGTAGGTCCCATACTACGTGATTTGTTGTAGTACGACGCTGTTCTTAAAGCGATGAACTGTAAATCCAAAGAAAGTTGTTCTTGTAGTTCCTTGATTTCTGTGATATCTTTTATGGCTTCGTCTGCATTTGCATCTTGTGGCAATGGTGATTTGTATGCTAATGGATTGAACCCAAAGTTAGCATAAGCTGGCGTCACTTTTGTTGTTTCCGTTTCCGATGTATTATATGCGAATTGTGCCAAGGGTAATAGTTTAACCCAATTGTCTTGTTTGTAGTTGATGTAGCAGCGAAGATAGGCTTCCATCGTTTGGTTTAATCGTTCTGTTTGGCCATCTGTTTGTGGGTGAAAGGTTGTCGAGAGCTTTCTCTTGACTCCAAGCAGTGCCATAAGAGTAGACCAAAATTTCGATGTGAATAGCTTGTCCCTATCTGAGATGATCTCATCTGGTACACCGTGAATGCTAACTATATTCCGCATGAATATATAAGCAAGGTCATCTGCCGTCCAAGTTTCACAGAATGGTATCATATGAGCAAACTTGGTTAGTCTGTCCGTCACCACCAAGATGGAGTCGTACTCCTTCCGGGTGACTGGGTCTTTGGATAATGGTAGTTTTACTACAAAATCCCAAGCAATGGACTTCCATGGTTGAGTAGGTAGTTCGGGGGTCTTGAGCTGGCCATAAGGTGCATGCCGGGCGGCTTTATTTCTTATGCAGGTGTCGCAGTTCCCAACTACGTTCTCAACTATAGTCCTCATCTTTGGAAAGTGGACTTCTCCCCTTATTCTAGCAAAGGTTCTTGCAATACCTTGATGCCCGTGAGCTGGAAGCTCATGTTGTTCCGTGACGTAATCCTTAGCTAGACTGGAGGGTATATAAAGCTTGCCATGAAAATGGATGAATCCATCTTCGATGGTGAATCCTCTTTCTGGATTGTCTGGTATAGCTAGGATTCTCTTGGCTGTAGTGTCTGTTGAGTATTCTGTCTTTATGATATCTTTGATAGTATCATAATTTACTCCTGATGTGGCGGCAAGTTGTGGTTTGTTGTGAACTAAAGCGTCGCCGTCCTGCTTTAGTATCGCGCGTGATTCGTGTGTTTTGTTTTGTAAGTATTCTGGTTTTCGGCTGAGAGCATCTGCTCTAGCATTTTCGTTTCCTTTGACATATGAGATTCTGAAGTTGTAGGCGGCCATGGTTTCCGACCAACGGACCTGTCGTCTGTTTAATTCCTTCGTTGTGGTGAAGTAAACCAAGTTCTTGTGATCTGTATACACCTGCACCGTGTATTTTGACCCTTCCAAGTACACTCTCCATTCCCTAAAAGCATCTACTATCGCTAGTAATTCCTTGTCGTATATCTCATAGTTTAGTTCGGCTGGCGATAGCTTGCGTGAATGGTAAGCGACTGGCTGCTATTTCTCATTCGAGCCGGGTTGGCTCAATACTGCTCCTATTGCGTAGTCTGAGGAGTCTGTTTCCACGATTATTGGTAATTCTGGGTCAAATGCTCTGAGGACTGGTTCTCCTGCGAATGCTTCCTTGAGGCGTTCGAATGCTTCTTGTGCTGTTTCTGTCCATCGGAATTCCCCTTGACTTTTCTTGGTGATCTCGGTCATTGGAGCGGCTATCTTTGAATAGTTCTTAATGAATCGTCGGTAAAAGTTGGCGAACCCCAGGAAGGACTGTACTTCCCTCACGCTGGTTGGGGTTCCCATTCCATAACTGCTTTTACCTTGTTAGGACTCATCTTGAGACCTCCGGAGAATATGGTATAGCCTAGGAATTCCGTTTCTGTGACGTGAAATTCACACTTGCTAGGTTTGCATTGAAGATCTGCCTCCTCCAGTTGCTGCAGAACCTTATGAACGTCTTTAATGTGTTGTTCTTCCGTTTCCGAGAATACCAAAATGTCATCTAGATAGCATATACAGCATATATCTAGGTACTTCCTTAATACATTGTTGACCAAGCGCATACATGTTGCTGGTGCGTTTGTCAATCCGAATGGCATAACCTGATACTCGTATAATCCGTATCGAGTTCTGAATGCTGTTTTCCATTCTTCACCTTCCTTCATTCTGATGAGGTGAAATCCGTTTCGTAGATCAAACTTGGAGAAAATTTTAGCTTTTCCCAATCGATCCCTCAGTTCCGTAGCTAATGGAAGTGGGTACCGATCTTTGATCGTTATATCATTGAGCTTGCGATAGTCTACGCACAGTCTCCTTGTACCATCCTTCTTTGGTACAAATAGCACAGGGCTAGCTGCCTGTGAGGTGGATTCTCTGATCCATCCTTTTTCTAATGCGTCGGCAATGTAATCCCTAAGCGTCCTTAGGTCAGAGGCTGACATTGGATAGATTGGTCCAAATGGAGGCGTCTTGCCTTCCTCCAATACTATCTCGTGATCCCATGGCTTGTGTTCTGGTAAAGCTTCATGGCCTTTTCTTTCTTCGAATAGTTTCTTGTACTTCTGGTACTGTACCGGTATTGGCGTCTCGTCCTGTTTCTCTACAGGGGTGGTTTCAAGCAACTTCTTCTGCTCGTTCTTCATTTGTACGGGAGGTTCACCTTCCTTCGCCGTTAATGGAGGACCCTGGACTGGGCGTCCTACGTCAGTGGTGCTGTTCGCCTTCAGTTCTCCACCGCGTGTGTTCAGCCTCGCAGGCTCTAGCACATCTCGTTGATCGCTTCTCCTCGGAAATGATATGGTTTCCGATGACCAGTCAATCTGGGGGTTGTGTGCTTTCAACCATGGCATCCCCAGAATGATCTGTTGATTCCCTAGTGGAACAACATCGAACTGGATAACCCCCTTGTGCTGGGTTATACTCATCTGCAAAGGGCGAGTCTCCTGCGAAATCTTTCCGTCCAATCCGGCTAATTGTCCATCGACTAGCTGCAATTGATATGGGGTTCGTTTCGCCTGGAGCTGTACTCCCAAATGCTTCACAGTTCCTGGTGCAATAAAATTTCCCGTGGCCCCTGAGTCAATCATGGCCCGGATTACTCGTCCATTTATCTTCGCATTGCAGTAAATCTGTCCTGCCTGACCTGCGATATTTAATTGCCCTTGACCCAAAACCTTGTTGTGGTCAATTTGGTCGATTTGGTCAATTTGGTCAATTTGGTCAATTTGGTCAATTTTGTGTAACTGACCATTTAAATGATCATGTGACGATAATTTTTCCGACTTTCCCTTCTTGTAGGGTCTTTTTGCTTTTCTTTGGGGAAACCATCCTGTGGCTTCCTTATCTGATAGGTGAATTCTACAAGATTCATCGTAGCAAGCTATCCAGCTCATCGTCGCGTGTTCTACCGACGGTATTTCTTTCGGATCTTCTTTGATAAGGGGAGGTGAAGGGGTTCGTAGACGCTCCAACTCATATCGGTCTATGGCGTTCAACCCTTCCTGGTCTCGTGGCATTGCGTCAATTTCCTTTTGACGTTCTTCACGTTCGTAACTATCGTCTTCGATTGGATATGAAGCGCATAGTTGGGGTACAAAGGTAGCATTGAGTTGACCTTTGCCGAACTTCTTGTGATAACCTCCTCCTGATGATCTCTTGCTTCGACAATCCCTGGCCCGATGGCCTGGTTTGCCACATTCGAAGCATAGCTTGTCCTTGCGTCTTCGTTCTACCTCTTCCTTAGGTAGTTTGTTCTTAAACGTTGCATCCAATTGCATTGGTTCTCTGTAAGATTGTCTGTTTTCTCGAGGTCTTCCTTCATTCTTGTGGTACTTACCACGATCTCGGTTTCCATGGACGTTGGAAGATCGGCGTTCCTTCTGATACTCGTAGAGCATCTCATCCGCCTTAATAGATTCCTCGATTAACTCGTTTAGGTCTTCCCAAGTGCCATTGCGATCCAGTTCTAGCCTGACCTCAGGCTTGAGCCCTTTCCGGTAATGGCTCATCGTGGCGTTCTCTTCCCATCCAATAATACCTATATACCTCCTGAATTCCACAACATACTTGACTGCTGACCCTGTTTGCTTGAGGCCATAGATCTTGGACTCAGCGTCACGTAATTCATTGATGTTCCCAAATACCCGTCGTATCTCTCTCTTAAACCCTTTGAATCTCCCAAAGATGGCTTGAGTTGGGTACATTCGCTTCTTAGGCTCGCTCAAGTTGGTGAAGTAATCCTTGAGGTATGGTTGGATCCACTTTGCAGCTTCTCCTCTGAGGTAGGAGGCAGCCCAGACGCTTTTGTCGGCGTCATGGTTGAACTTATCCTGATTGAATTGGAAGTAGATCTCAAGTTGGAGTAAGAAGGTTTCTAGCTCTTGTCGATTGCCTGTGAATCGGTCTGGTAGGGCGACTTTGAGAGTCTCGGTGACGGTAATCTCCTTGGGGTCTTCGATACCTCCCATGGCGATGTCTCCGTCCTTGTCGGTACTTTCGGGAGTGGCCTGGTTGGTCGTAGCGGGGTTGCTAGGCTGTGGTGTCGTGGAAGACATGATGTCGTTACTTATCGAGTCGGTACTTGAAGCAGTAATGGTGCTCAAAGTGTTACGAGGTTTGCCGTCTAGATCACGTGGAAGTGCTCTAGGCTCTCGAAGTAGGTTTATAATTAGGCGTCAAGCAGGGACTTGAAGTAATGACAATAATGATATGCAATTCGTAACTAATAGTAGAGTATACTAAATGATTGATCTTGAGCACGAAGCTCTATACAAAGGAAATCCATCTTGATTATATAGACCTTCATGCCTATGGCTAGTCAGGACCGCTGCGCGGTCCTGGACAGCCAGCGTTCCTCAGCGGTCCATAACGTGACTTTAATCACGTTACCTTGGTTTAGTCATGTGACGCGGCATAGAAGATAGCCGTTGTAACATTTTTCTAGAACATGTAATAACAATTGATAAAATACTCTTTTACCCCCTCAAATCAAGTTTACTTTAATTTTATACACTTTAAAATCTACTTTAAAATCTACTCTAAAATCTACTCTAAAATCTACTCCGTAAAAATCTTACATCAGCAGATATTAATAAATCATCAAATGAGCTAGTGAGTAAATAAATAAATAAATAAAATGATTGAATGAAAAAGAAGAATAAATAAATAAATAAATAAATCAATGTGACGGAAACCCCTGCTTTCCTCCCACCCTTATTATATAAGAAACCTCAGGTACATTAACCATGTCCACACATGATACGATTACTCGGGATTAGTATACGATTTAGGTGGTCTGAGGATCAGATCCGGACAAGTACTAGGTATCAATGGTTATCGGTAAAGTAAGATCATTGGAGGGATAAATATGACTTCTTTTTGCCTAACCATTGCGGCTAGGCCATTCATTTGTGTGTATATAAGAGTAGCTATCCCCATCTACAGGTGCTCTTCACCTGTAGATTCTAAGATAAATACAATTGCTGGTCTATAAACACCCTTTTGGTCACAATCAACTAATCTGATCAATCATCTACACAATACATTTACATCCCTCTTCCACTTTCTCAAAAATCCTCTCAAAAATCCTTATGAATCTAGGAATCCAGAAATCCTCTCCTTACACCACTTATTTTATTCTTTCTATTCATCCATTTCTATCTATCTATTCTCCACTATATTCATCCATACTTTATTCCCCAACACCGCTCTACATAGAAACACACACATACATACACATAATAATAAATACAACTCCAAAACAAACAAAAAAATACCCATAAAACCATAATATACAATCTAATCTCACATTTCCATCTACCTAGCCATCCATCTACCTATCTACCTATCTAAGCCCACCCAGCCCTAAATAAAAATCGCCCAGAAAATATCACTACATATCATACATACAAACATAGGTAGGTAAATAACAGTTAGGCCAGCCTTTCTTTCCACTACAACGAGGTACAAATCCATGATCTCTTTTCTCTTCTTTTCTCCTCTTCCCCCATTCCAATCTATATGAACAAAACCCACCCCAACCCAACCCAAACCATGCCAACTTAACCCCATCACCACACACGTCATAAAATGCAAAAAGATATGCATAAATGCATGAAATCAAGAAAAGAATACATATTCGCGATAATAAAAAACTCAAATCAAATCAAATCAACTCAAATCAAAACTAAAAACTAAAACTAAGCGGATTTCTACATCCTACCTAAGCAAAGTTTCCTCTCTTCTTAGCCCGTTGATGTTCGTGCAAATGTCTTCTTCTAGCGACACCTTCAGCTTGTGCGGTTGTGGTAACAGTAACTGTTTCTTCTACCCAAAATACTTCAGCTACCTCTACATCCTCATTGAGATATGAGAGTGCGGTTGTGGTTGAGAAAGATGTTGAATATGCGGATGCTGATGAGGCGGTAAGAAGGGTAGTTGGAGAGCTTGGAACGGCGGCGACTCCACCTGGTGCGCTAATTGATGAGCTTGAAGCGGCGGCATATCCACCTGCTGGGGTAGTTGATGAGCTTGTAACGGCGGCTCCATCTGCGGCAATAGTCGATGAACTTGAAGTTGAATAGGAAACTCCAGATTCAACGGCGGCGAAAACACCACCTGGTACATAGGTTTCACCCAAAGAAGCGACTATAACATTATGGAGTTAGTAATTGCCTATCAGTAAAAAAAGGAGACAAGGCGAGTTGAAGCTGATTCGAAAGAACGAATACACAAATTAAAGGTTTAAGAATAGGGTTGAGATAGAAGGACAGAATTCAGCGTAAGAGACAGTGAGATTAGTAAGCTTACCAATGGTAGATCCAGCGGAGTGAGAAAGAGTTGGTACGACGGCAGATGGGGTAGTTGTTGTGGCAGCTGCGCTCGATGGTTTGGCAGATGAAGTTGAAGATGCCACTGCGGTGGGTTCACCGGGTGTATCACTAGTGGCTAGACCAGGTCCATATTGAACGGGGACATTTCCGGGAAGGGTTGCCATAGGACCATTGATCTCATCGTCTACCAAATCTGCCGGCATTTCAAAGCTGCAAGATCCATATACACTTGCATCTTGAATGTCAAAAAGTGGACAATCGCTAATTTCTCCAGAAAGGTTAGTACAGGTATCAACAGCGTCTTGCAAAAATGACTCTTCCCAACCCATGATGAAATCTCCGTGATAGCCGTAACCAGTTGGATCACCGTTAGAAATGATGAATTCTCCATCGATTCCTTTATAGGCGGCGGTATTCCAGATGGTTTCATAGAAGAGCGAGACGAGACGAGTATCAAATCCTTCTGGGCAAGTACCAGTCATGACCTCGGAAGGATATGCCATGTGAGATTTCGAATCCGGTGCGGTTGGTCCTGCACTCGAGTTCCAGCATGATGGGAACATGAGTTCGAATCTGACACCATCCGCGCAGTTGGCATCAAGATAGTCCTTATCTGGCAAGAAATGACGGTAAAGGGATCCTTCGGCAGCAGCAGCATAGTTCAAACAGTTGAAACCGAGAGCTGCTTGTCTGAGGAAAGCTTGCGTATTGTATGGAGCTTGGTTCCAGTTCGACTTGTCGATATCAGGAACCGGGTAATTGGAGAAGTTGCGAAGTTCGTTGTTTCCTGCAATCATGGCGAAGCCTTCGGGGAAAGCTTTAATATTATCTCCATAGAGGAGGTAGTACCTATGGTGATGCATTAGGAACAATGTTTCTGGAACACTTTCAAGAAGCAAAGGGTAGAAGATTAAACTTACGCAAGCATACCCCCAACTTGCTCAACAATCTCGAATTTTCCTGTAGCCGCATTCTTGAAGTGAAGTGAAGGAATCCAATAGGCGGATTTATCTTGAGTGACTTCACAGGAAGTACAGTTTCCAGCTAATAAATCGTCATATCCTGACGATTTTCCGAAACCTAGTCACCAAGCCAGATTAGCATCTCTTTCTTGAACCAATAAATAAATACAACATACCACTAGAACCATGAATAGCATGTGCATGCTGAGCGATTGCGCCAGGATTGACCAATGGATCAATTCTTGCCAACCCACTTCTACTTCTACATGGCAAACGCCAGAAAGCATCAACGTTACTAGCTAAACCAGCCAAGATGGTCGCCTTCTCGAGGAAGGAGTTTCCGCGCATTTTGAATTTTTGTATTGAAAATCGATAACGAAATGTTTCTTATTTTTCTGATGTATGTAAATGGTGACTTCCTGAAAAGCAACGAGGATCCACAAACGAATGTGCAGAACGAAAAGATTTAAAAGACAGGGACGTTCTTTGGAAGTGGTTGAGTTTTTGGTTAAGGTGGTGATTGTTGTTTGCCTGGTCGAAGGATCTGTTGGTTATGTTGATATTTCAGGTCGAAATTGGGCGAAGCGACACCAGGATTTCTGAAATGAAATGGTTCGATTGTAAATGATTCACTCTAATCACCACAAACTTCCCTCTCCAATAAATGAGTATTCAGGATCTATCTTTTCCTCTAGAATGTGATGGTTGTTGGTAATGAATATTGTATATTTTGCGTGATTGAAGTCGAAATGGTGTTTCGTCTGATCTCACAATGAACCAAATGCGAAAATAGATTGCGATGCGACGATAACTTCCAAGACTTTTGTCCAAAATCCAACAGGGTTCGAAGAGAAGAGAATGATATTGTATGCACACAAGATTCTCTTAACGTGTACCTTGCCACGAAAGAGAGTCGGTAGATGTAAAAGTAAAAGAGAGTGAAATATGTTTCTTGAAAGGAATGAATGTAATTGTCGAGATGACGACAGTGAGCTCTCTCAATGATGGGGAAAGAGGCAAGAAACAAAAGGTCGAGTGCAATACCAAGAAGGCCGGGGAGTAGGCATGTAATAAAAAGAATGAAAGACTGGTAAAAGTCTGAGACTAGTAGGTAGGATGGGAGGGTAGATGGAAAAGTACGTGGGTACGTAGGTAGGTAGAAGGTAGAAAGGTAACCAGGTACAGGAAGAGGAGAGGGTGGAAGGATTGGATTGGATTGGATTATTGCATTATCCACCGAGAGATTTTACGAGCCTACGGAGTACGCAAATCCCCACTCACGTTGCCAAGGATATGGTGGGGGCAAGGCAGGGTAGGCGCACTTGGAAGGCTGGCGACTTGGAGGGGAAGGGGTTAAAACGGCGATAAATACGAAATTGAGAAATTGGGAAATGAATGAATGATGATGATTGATGAATGGATAATGGATGCATTCATGCTTTGATTCATGAATTGATTCATGAATCCCTAGTAGAGTAATGACACACCACACCCATTATTAGCATGGGATGAACAAACCCACAGCCAAAGACGGCGAAACATCAAGGATCGGGTATTTTTGGTACTTACGATACAATGAGTAAGAATAAATTCGATCAATAGATCTCATCTCGTCTCATCTCATACCCAAGATAGAAAAGTGCATGTGCATCTCTTCTACTCATTCCCCTAGATGCTCATTCCCCTCAGAGGCTCCGATGTGATATGGGCGTTGAAATCATTGGTTATGCGCAGATGCATTGAAAGTAGGAGTAGTCGTTGCAGCTTTTCCGGGTTTCCAAACAAACACCTCGTGGACCAATAAATGGCCATAGGGATAACAATTTGGGCAATCCGTGTCTCTGGGACACAACCTCCAATCATGCGGTGGTGGTAGAAGTTTGGAATGAGGGATAGGAATGCATAGTAGTTTAATTGGGCTGAAGGAGACGACGGGGAATGGATGTGCATAATGAGATTGGTTAATCCTTAGCTTAGTCCTTAATCCTTACCCCTAATTAGCTAAATTTTCATCCCTTTCCTTTGAGACATCGCCTAAGGATGATGGATGATTTTCAGGGGTAACTGCAGAGGGTAAACGCCTTTCTAAGTTTCTACTGCTTCTACAAAATCTACCGGTACTCCGTCCTGCATAAACCGCTTGGGCTCCGGTGTACCTTGAATGGATTTTCATCTCTATCCCGTAAATTATGAGGTCGATGTGGGTATTTTATATTTTCTCTTTCATCTGTATACGAATGCCATTTCCATTTTAGATTTTCCGATGACGATACCAATGCCAATACGGGCGTATGTTTTACACGAGACAAACTTTAAAGAAATATACCTATGGAGGATATATATGTCATTTGTTTCTTTTCGCTATAGGTCCGTTCGTTGCGAAGGGAACAATGCAATCACCTAGCAGGTAGGTAGGTAGTGATGGAATGCACATGGAGAGTCATGAGAATGATGATATAATTATTATCGATAAGGATAATTTTGTGGCGTTGTTCTTCTTCATCCTTCTCTAGATATCCTTCTTTACCTACCCAGCTAGGTATTCAACATGAAACGTTCCTTAGGGCCAATCAGACCCTAAATTATCCCAATTCATCCAAATGATCCCCACCATCTTTCGCACAGACGTGACTTCTTGAAGATTAGCGTGAATTGAAAATTGAATACCGACCGACATCAATAATAAAATATGTAGGTAAGAAAGATGGCATATGAGATTATATTTGATCACCGGAGATGAAAGAAAAATAAGGAAAATGAGAAAAGTCAATTAGGAAAATAAATTGTGTAAATTGGTATAATAAGAGATGAGTTTCCTTCCGCATTGGCGTGGCATTTTATTACTAATATATATGTACTCTATGTACGGAGTATATATTTGAGCTCTCAGCCTCACTGGCGGCTGAACAACTCTCCATTCCCACTTCACATATTTCTCTGTGTGCATTTCTTTCTCTACGTTCTCCGCGGAATGTAAAATACATTCTTCTCCGTAGCGGGTACATAGAATACTCCATACTGTGTGCTATGCTGTACCGACCGGGCCCACAGCGGCGGTTGGCATACCCCTAAATGAAAAGCTTCACTATGATGGATGATTTGTTTGTGATGTTGAGTTAGGCTGGGTAAGGACATCATATCCCATATCACAGATAGATCAAATACTGCTGTATAGAGAACAATTAACTAGACACTAAATACAAAATCATAAATCCTATTAAATGCTAACTACAGAATAAGGTCTTATACATTCCACACTTAGAACGCAACAACAATAACAAAAAACATTCATCAGGAGCACGTAAACAACACTCAAACTCTCATGATATATCCACACCACACGGAGTAACACATCTAATCATAACCTACCTATCTATCACCTCTCACCCAAATAACCACCATCCAAACAAGCTCCCCAGACCTCCATCTTCTCCATCCATCCATCCATCAATTCATTTCGCATTCCTGTCCTTCGCTTCCACCACTTACTCACTCCCTCCCCTCTCTATACTTTATGAATATATGAAAACACAAAAACATAAAAACATAAAAATTACAAGAATAAATACCCAATACGTATGTACCTTAAGACCTATCCACCCATCCATCCATCTATCCATCCATCCATCCATCCACCAAAAAAACCCAAAAAACCAAAAAAGATATTTCTTGGAAATTACTCTGATATTACCCTACCTACATATTACCTACATACGTACACACACATTCCACATACAGATCCCTCATCACCCCTTCACCCCCTCCCCCCCTTGCCCTACCATCAATCTCTCCATCAATCTAAAAAATTCCGAAATTGCCAAGACATTCTAATTTCTAAATGGCCACCTTGCACTCCATACTCCGTGGGATCTTACTTACTCTGTACATACTAGGTACCTAGATATATATATATGCACGAAATCCATCTACATGCACACCAAAAAGCAAAGAAATCAGGTACCGACTTTATCTATTTATCTATTTATCTATTTATCTATTTATCTATTTATCTATTTTGAGATTTGACAACTAATAATGATTATTTGCTCAATACTCAATAATAAATACTATTCTATTCCTCCCATACACATATACGTACGTCAATTGTTTTTAAATAATTTGACAACTAACCCACCCATAACCTTAAGCGAGTCAATTTGTATTCCCTCTCCTGTCCTGTTTGCATTTGAGCCTCTGCTTCGCGTCCGGTTACACAGGATAGAGGGGCTATCGTCACATACTCAGTACAAGTCATACGTTTTAAGAAAAGCATGATAATTTGTACCAGTATGGTAAGAAAATGAGGGTTTATGTGCTGCTCTATTGGCTAGACTTCTTTTCGGCCATTGTTGGTGCATTGTGAATGATTCATCTGGTGGTGCATTTTTAGCCAGCACTTACAGTATTAGGTCAGGTTAATCTATGCGACAAACGAAACATGTCCACGGCGTCCATGGCGGCCATTGAGAGCTATTTGTTGGATCTGATTTCACGCGAAACCTGCCTCACATTACTAACAATGCAAGTCTAATATTGGCCAGATCAATCGTAAAGTCCGTGGCCGTTCCTTTCAATCTATTTGCGATATGGACCAGCCAAAGAGAAGACGGAGTATTTAGGAGCCCATATCATCAAGTTTGGTTACACGGAAATTAGTCCACATTTGACAATATGACTTAAATAATACCTTTTCTCTCATAATTCCTGCTTAAAATGTTTGTGAATCGGTGTCAATCTGAATTCTATATTCGAAATCTTAGTTTGGTACAATACTATGATACACTGGAAAGACTCACTTTATTGGACATTGCCCGTTTCCTCCACGCAAGCTACTTTCTTGACGTGCTTATGAAGCACCGTCGTTTTCTTCATTATACCTCCTCGACTGCATTGGCCCAAAAACTAAGTAAGAAGATCCGCAACATTCATTGGCATCTCATCGATTTGAGTCGAATAGTACACTATTTCAAACAAATTAGCGATGCGCGATAGGACTCAACGTAGTGGTGACTTACACTCAATATCTCTCAAAATCCTAACGTCCTCACTAGTTACGAAATTAATCGCAACTCCCTTTCTTCCAAATCTACCACTTCGACCAATACGATGAATATAATTCTCACGGTTGACTGGTAAATCGTAATTGATGACCAATGAAACTTGTTGAACATCAATACCACGAGCCCAGACATCAGTAGAGATCAACACTCTAGAATTTCCTTGACGGAAGTCTTGCATAATGCTATCTCTTTCCTTTTGAGGCATCTCTCCATGCATTGACGAAACGGTAAAATTAGCTTCACGCATCTTATCCGTCAACCAATCCACCTTTCTTCTTGTGTTGCAGAAGATAACAGCTTGAGTAATGGTAAGGGTGTCATATAAATCGCAAAGGGTATCGAACTTCCATTCTTCCTTCTCTACAGCAATAAAATATTGTTTTAAACCTTCCAAGGTCAACTCATCACGCTTGACAAGAATGCGGACGGGGTCGGTCATGAATTTCGTAGTCATGTCGAGGACATCATAAGGGAGTGTGGCGGAAACGACGACAACTTGTGTCGCAGGTGGAAGATAACGGTAAACATCGTAGATCTGCTCTCTAAAACCACGGTTCAACAACTCATCAGCTTCATCAAGAACCAACATCTTAATATGACGAGTGCGAAGGTTTCGACGACGAATCATATCAGCGACACGACCTGGCGTTCCAGAAACAATATGTTGTCCATAATCCAGCTTGCGGATATCCTCTCCAACATTCGTACCTCCGATACAAGCATGACATTGTACATTCATGTAGTCGCCCAATGCCATGACAACCGATTGAATTTGAGTGGCAAGTTCTCGAGTAGGTGATAGAACCAGGGCTTGAGTTTCGCGGACAGCGGTATCGATGACTTGAAGCATACTGATGGAGAAGGTTGCAGTTTTACCAGTACCAGATTGAGCTTGAGCAATAGTATCGCGACCTTTGCAGATTTGAACAATCGCACGAGATTGTACAGCGGAAGGGGATTCGTAACCATAAGCGTAAATACCACGGAGTAAATTTTCTGTATAATCATGAGCCTATTGACCAGATTCACACACAAGTTAACATACCCTTGAGATGCATATCCTGAAAAGTTGGCGCGACAGTAACATCCGCAGAAGTTGTAAACTCCATACGATCATCCATCTTCCTATCAATTCCTTCTGCCATGATTGCGGTTTTTGTATTTATGTTTTCGATATTGAGATTGAGGTCGAGGTTGAAGCTTCAAGAATAGAGGGGATCCTTAATGTTTTGTTTGGCTCTCCCATAAAATGCGATGATGAAGCTCTGAAATTTTAGCGTCAAAATTTGGATGTTTAGCAGTCATTTAATGGGGATTCACGTGAAATGATTGGTTGGCGCAAAAAGTTTCAAGGGCCAGAACCAGAACCACCAAAAACAACCTGAACATTTCAGACATTCGCGTGTTGTTGATATCAATCAATACTTCACTACAGACACATCTTGCCTCGAAAATCGTAAGGCTAGAATCATCATCAACTTCCAATTTGATATCAGAGCCACAAGATGATATTAGAGGAGCAAAGATTCCTCCATGAGGATCTTGAAAGGCTTGAACAAGGCATCGCTGATAGAGTAGTTGAGGACCCAAAACAGGTAAGAATTGAAGCTATTTGTATCTTCGTCACTCAACCATGCTAATATATTATCAAGGTTCGAGAACGATTGAATAGAGATCATCAAATTTCAAACTTCCTCGATCGGATTCAAGATCAATCCAAACGATTACTAGACATATACAAAGATGTAAATGGGGCACGAAGTAAAGAGATTCAATCCATATCGACAGGTGAACCACTGGAAGAATTTTACAAGCAGCTTGGGGAAATTAAGAGTTTTCACCAGAGATACCCCAATGAACCAGTGGAGAATCTCGAAAAAGCCTACAAGAAGAAGGCACTTACAGAGGGGGAGACTGCGACTTCGGAAATCGACAACATGTTCACTGGAGAGGAAGCTTTTGGACGATTCCTAGACCTCACTACCATACACGAATTATTCCTGAACCTCCCCAACATCAAACGCCTATCCTATTTACAATACCTGGACAATTTTGATTCATTCGCGCCTCCAACATGTCCCGTCAAGCGTCCGGATAAGATGACCGACCAATACTTCACATACGTTGGAGAATTAGCAAATTATCTGGAAAGTTTCATGCGTCGAACAAGGCCATTGGAGAATCTGGATAAATTGTTTTTGAGCATCGAGGAAGATTTCGATAAGGCATGGAAGGATAACGACGTTCCTGGATGGAAACTAGAGATTACAGCACCGGTAAATGGATCGAGTACGTCTGGAATATGGTGCGCAGATTGTGAGAAGGAATTCAAGAATGAGAATGTCTACAAAGGCCATTTACTAGGAAAGAAGCACGTCCGAGCTGCGGAAGCACGGGCAGCACGAATGGCGGAAACAGGAGAAGACAGCAATGGTGCTGCGCAGCCAACATCATCTGTGTCCCGCCTAAAGGAACGTGCCATAGCAGAGCGAGAATATAGGATCAGACGTCTCGCTGCTGCTATGACACAAGAAAGAAGTGATACTCGAGTCAACATAGAACGAAAACAAGGTATGACCGAACGTGAACGACAAATGGAGCTTGATTCATTATTCGCTGAGTCATCATCTGCGGCACCTCGAGATGGAGATTCTGATAGCGAGTCAGATGGGGATGATAAGATTTATAACCCGCTGAAGCTGCCATTAGCTTGGGATGGAAAGCCGATTCCTTTCTGGCTTTACAAACTCCATGGACTCGGAGTTGAATTCAAATGTGAGATTTGTGGAAATTATGTTTACATGGGCAGAAGAGCCTTTGACAAACATTTCAACGAGGCTCGTCATATCTATGGTCTGAAGTGCTTGGGTATCACAAATACGACACTATTCCGTGAGATCACGGGGATAGAAGATGCGTTGAAGCTGTGGGATAAATTGCAAAGGGAAAAGAAGAAGGGCAAAACGGAAGAAACTGGTGTCGTTCAAATGGAGGATGCGGAAGGAAATGTTATGCCAGAAAAGGTTTACTACGATTTACAAAAGCAAGGCTTGCTATAGGTGAATGGTTTAATGGCGTCAGTAATGGGGTGTATAATAAGAATGCATGTATCATATCCATCACAAAGATCATGAAGTAGTTTACTTCACAATGGACAATAATTTCTTGTTTCAATCGTTTCAGAGGGCATAATGTCATGCTTGCACAGTTGACTTATCAACCTTTTACATGGCAGTACCCCTTTTTCTGGAGTCTTGGATACTACGAATGGGAGACATCGATGATCATTTATTCGAAGTACAGACAGCCCGGGTACAAAGTCGAAGTGCTCTATATATCCTATATCCTCTAAATAACTCCCTATAATCCTTCAAAAAATATTTCAGAATATCCCTCAGTATTGATTTCGCCCCCTACTTCGCAGTTATCCCTATAATCCTATGAATATCATCCTCGCATCAAAAACCAATCGAGTAAGATTACTTTAGTCTACCATATCCCTTTTCAATATATTTCATTCACAACTCACTTGCTGTTGTAGGATTACGGTACGTGTGGTTTCTATATTACACGAATGGAAATGATCTTTTCCTGTCGTGGCTTGGTATGGTTGGTAATTTGACATATGTCGTTATAGTTTTTGGGATTGAGATTGAGTCTTGTTCTTGATTTTGTCACGGAAATATATATTCATTCATACTCAATCCTGATCGTGTGGGTTGATAATATGTTTCTAGAAGAATGAATTATTTGTCTTTGGTCAATAATAGCTGTGCTTGTAGTGCTCGACTTTATGGGAGATGTTTTTTATTAAATGTGTGTTTTATCATGGGTTTGTTGGCTGTGTGTAGGCCTTGGATAGGTTTTATTGTATTTTATATGGTCAATATTTGGAAGCATCATGAGCGGAAGGAACATTTGGGTTATTTGTTATGTGTGGGAGTTTTGTCCATTCTCAGTTGTGTGTCTGTGTGCCTAGGATACAAAGATATACTATTTGGAGCACAAATATGTACATGATTGCTCATTCATTGGCAATATTGTAGTTTCGTGATGATCAATAGCTCATTCGGTAGTGACCATGACTTTTTTTACACTCGGTTGAATCGCGATATCACTCCTCCTTTCTCTCCTACTTCTTCAAACCTCATTACCCCTACGGCCCGTGAAACTATGGTCGTAGACGCAACGTTTCTCCGGCCCTGTTATTTGCATTAGCTTTTTCCACATTTGGTCCATTGTAGGTTTTTTAGTCTCGGCCAGCGTCAGTGTGAAGATATTACTCGTCCCAGTCCGAGGTTAATGGGAATGGCCGCGAAGGCCCATAGCGACAAGTTCGATTAGCCGTAGAAAAAGCTCAGTCTTTCATCTCATCCCACGCGTGTTACTCAGAGGGCGTCTATCACAACATCGCCACAAAAAATGAGAATCCCATAAATAGGGTTATCTTTTGATGGTGGCAGAACATGAATGGCATATGGCGGTTTACGCGTCTACATTCTCTAAACCCATGAATCTTCGACCTAAAATTATGTTGCAAATTTTTCGAGAGGAGAAATACGCATAGCAGAAATCCAATGCGAATCAATTATTGCAGCACTAAAGCTGTCAATACTTGGTGAATTCAAAGCATTTTACCCCTATAAGTTCTCGTGAGTAGTAGCTAAGGAGTTTTTGGGTCAAATAATTTACTATTTGTATATTTTCACGCAATATGCTATTCGCGGAATAAGTACTCTAACCCGTCAAAGTATGAATTGGCCCTGATTGCCATCTGGAAATGAGGAGAAATTTGGCCCTGGACAAACAGAAGATTATGTTTTTAATGGTAGAGTGCTGAAACCGTATTAGTGTCTTTCACATTCTGGACTATAGTCAAACAATAAGAAGCCTGCGAAGTTGGCATCGCTGAAAATCCAAAAAATTCTTACATTATAGCATGAAGATATATCGCAATACCAATTTAAACACGGAAATTTCTGCAGCAATGGATGTGGCACGGTGCACAATATACTTGGATCAGCGGCAGGTAAATGTCATAAAGTAGTCAGATTTCGATCCAAAATACATGCGCGTACGCCGCCTTCTTGCCATCTAAATAAACCCCGATTTTTTCGCAGAGAAATGTGACATTGAGCCACTTCACTTCATAGATTTGGTTGCTACAGCTATCCAAGCAACCATAGGAAACCCGATTTTACCGCCAGTCTTCACTACCAACCCATCCTTGTTCTCTATCAAAAGAGATTCCGTGACACCACAGGGTTGATCCTTCTCTGAATCCGGCCACTGATCACCAACCATATTGACGAAATTATCGGTGAATCCTTTGGCTGCTTCCTGAATACCTTCATTCCACCACATAACCTCCTTCTCATAAATTTCCACATTTTCGAATCCCCCAGACTTAAGCGTCGATTCTAATGTTTCTTTCTGAGTCCAGCGTTCAAGTGTGGATAAAGCGATAGGTTTAGAACCGGGTTTAATCACTTCTTGGACAGAGTGGAGGACGGGATAGAATGGTACTTCCTTCCAACATGTCACAACTGCCTTTCCGCCCGGTTTTAAGGTGCGATATAACTCCTTTGCACCAGTAATAGGATCAGAATAGAAGAAAATTCCAAAATTCACTATGGAAGCATCGAAAGTTTCGTCTGCGTAGCTCAGACTCACGCCATCCATAACGGCTGTCTCGACTCGATCTTTCCAAACGTTTAAATCGATGAGATTGTCGAGCAAAGCTATCATACTTGGTGCAAGATCTGAGGCGTAGATGCGGGCATTAGGATATGCCTTCAGAATGGCTTCTGTTACCATGCCAGGTCCACAAGCACTGTCAAGTACCTTTGGTCTCTCGGGTAAGCCAGAGAGTAGAGGAATAATGTATTCAATGACTCTACGAGTACTGCCTCCAAGCCGACGGTCATAAGTTGAGGCTTGCGAATTAAAGGAATCGCAAAGAGGAGAAACATCGCTTGTTTTAGCCATGTTTGCTTAAAAAAAAAGTATGGTTTTGTGTCCTGAAGAAGGAGAAATGTTACAAAATGTGGAAAGTTCAGTGAAATAATGTCTGTGATTTGTAGAATTCGGGTAGCAGCTCATATTTAACGGAATCGTGGATTCATCCAACAACAAGTGTGTTGTAATTGTTGGTAAGTCTTGAGTCTTCATCAAGACACATCAATGAAATACAGTCATCCACATTTGAGCAAATCCAACTGTTAGTTTTAATCCAATAGTAAGAAGATACTAGCAGAGATCCACCGCCGAGCAATAATAATCTATGATCTATCCCCTATCATTGGTAAGCTCTGCTTGGAGAAGATAGATTGCTAGATGGGTTTAAAATAGATGGTAAGATACACTCAAATGAAATATATAGAGTAGATCCATACTCCAAATAATCACAGAAATATGTCAAAAGGTTAACTCAAAATGTGCCACCAGATGCTCAATTCGGCGAGAATGAAACTATTGCCACTTTGCTTCTGCTATCTTGGACTATTTACTCAATTAATGATTGTTCCAACTTGGTCGTGAGTTGTAGTCAGTATTTAAAGTGAGAATCGATTACGTTCTAATGTGATGTCGCACTAGCACTAAAATTGATTTATGAATCTCAGATATCTCTATCTATTAGATTTTTCTTCTTCTTTTCTCAGAAAATACACAGGATCAATGTCAGGGTCAACTAACTAATGCTTTAGATGATGTAAAATTGCCAATCTATTGAAAGCTAATGCAGGAGACGGATAATAGCTATAGATATGGAAATGGTAAATATTATGTTTGCGCAATATTGGCCTTTCATGAATACTCGTTCGAGATGGTTTATGGACAGATACATGACTTCATATTGTTTCAACGATACTCAACGAAACAGGCACAGCTTGATCGGGCTCTACACCAATGATTGAACCTTCCAGTTTGCCAAGATTTGGAATCGTTTGTCAAACATTGAAGTACCTAGGTACTGATTAAATGTATTCACCTGCTGTTGTGAAAGATTGAATCAAGAAGTCAGTCACATGGAATCTTTGATTCGGTGGGATGCGGGGCGCTGAGTATTTTCAATCACCGAGTACCCAGCTCCATCCTCATCGGGCTACTATATAATAAACCGCATACGACTATGTGACCTCGGCAGAACTCAAAGAATTCATCAAGATGTAAGTGAGATTATGTATATCAAGTCCTACATTAAGGATGTGGAGTGCTAAACGAGGTAGCGATAAAATCCTAAATGTATCTACGTAGCTGCAGCCTTGGGGTTCGGATTATCGTCTGATAGTTTTCTTACAGAGACGACGAAAGTGTTTGCTGTAAACATGATGAAAATCAATTATTGTTGTCAAATCACGTATTATAGCACTTCTTACACATCTTGCGAGACATGGTTAAGGTTATACTATTCTCTAGGATAAGGGCTTATTTGGATGATTGGCATACGTGACTAAAGGTAAGGTTTGATTATTATATACAAATTGGCTGCCTTGTAAGTTAGGATTAAAGCCTAACACGGTCTGGTTTAAATTTATAGTTCGAAAGCTAGGAAGACCTGCCCTGGCGACTTTTCCACAGTCCTCGCGGCTTAAGCGATGGTTGTTTTCTGTCTCATTATGATACACAAAACTCAGGTATTGTGAGCTGTATTTCCCCTGGGCCCAACAGAGTATAAAATACAAGTTTGATTCTCAAGTATATCACATTACCAGTAAACGGGTTAAATTAGCAGAGATAATTTGCAATGAGCTCGGAGCACCGATTTCTTCCAAGTCTTACAAGGGCATGGTGCCGTGGAATGTTGAGAGTACAATTGAATGTAACAGCCTTGAGGAGTACTGGATACAAAATATAGGAAGAATCGCTGCCAAATATCCATATTACTACACTGGACGTTAATTCAAAGATTCGACAGCAATAATGATAAGTGAGAATGGACATGAAGAATCTCAATAAGTTCTTATCAGCGACGCAAATATCTCGATCAAATTTTCTTGACCATAAAAAATAATTTCGGTACAGAGAGTCCATTCCCATTAAACGCATTGCACATACCAATGAATCACCAATATGGAAATCGAATATTCGATTGGTACTATTATATCCTTTTCTATTTAACTCGTACCCACATATCTATCCACCACCCCATTTTGAATTTGGCTAGATTCACTTCAATAGTTGAAAAAAAATCAAAAAAATCAGGCGACAACTTTCTTCAGAATGGAAGAGAATTAAAATGGCTAGGAAATTCTTTCGGTCTGAGGGAAAGCAAAACTATTGAGGATGTTTTATTCTAGCCTTGAGGCTAGGAGTTCGGATAAACGTATCCGACGAATACCATAGTCTTTATATCAAAATGAGAGAATGCGCGGCGTAGAAAGATTACATTGCATTAGCTCGCATATTCCAACTGTTCGGCTCCATCGACAAAAAGTACGTGATCTACCTAACTGTGCAGACTTCCTTTCGATTGAGCCAATCGGAGAATTAGAAAAAACACATGAGTTATCTTGTCTATTTACGGTTGATAAATTGGTCCTCGCCGGTACATAGTGCAGCAACAAAGGCCGAATTACTATAAGGGTTCTTCCAAGCTCTTCCACTACCATCAAGCATTGTATTGTGAAACGAACGACAGTAATATGATTGTATAATTGCCGGCCTACGAAGCAAGTTCGATTCCCATCAGCAGCTGTCACCACAGAATTAAAATGCAAACATACTGTGTGCTGAAGAAATGGGCATATATTGTAACGCAAATGTTACTATGACAGCTGAACTCCAAGCTACGAACCAATAGCAAGCTCCTACTGTAACTTGCACTGATATACAAGGAATCTAGATAACGATAGTGTTCGGTACCAATATAGAAGGCCATTTATATATGGTTGATCTGGGGGTGAGAGTAAAAACGAAGTTTGACTCGGAATTCCGTTCAGCAAGACAGCAAGATGAAAATCCCAGTGAGAGAACTCGTCCTCTATTTAAGAGTAGTTATTATGATTTAAATACTGACCGTCGTTTTTTATACAGGTCGTACTTCATCACTGTGACACCCCGCTATTGGTGTTTTCAGCATTCACGCGGATAGTAAGGTGAATGGAGTCACTCGACCCCGGTTACCGCTTTGGAATGTTCTTCAATCTGACTAACAGACTCGAGATACTACTTTTTGTATGCTGTGCGATGGAAGATCGACATACTCTCCTGTTCGATTGGCCATAAGTGATATCACTTGACAAGAAGCAGGAAGGCCCCAGTTTTCCAATGGGGCTTGTTTGTTATAGAATAAAAAAGTAAACACTACACGACCTCAAAATCAAGCTGTGGATTTTATATCAATTCAATTGTTCATCATTCCATCCTTGAGAGCGTGCCGTGCCCTTGTATACATGTCTAGTTGCATTGAAAGCGGAGACTATTCTATTGAATAACCTCGATTGAGCAAGACCGCTGTTGATCAAGCTTCATTAGAACAAAGCCTGAGCTGGTTTTTGATCCCTTACAAGAGGTTTAGCAAGACTGGCAGGCCATGTTGAAAATTTTCAGTCTTGTGATGATATCAGAGAGGTTGCTGAAAAGATTCTTGGCACACTGTATCCAAAGAAGGCCTTCCATCAAATGTATGGTTCGATTAGGGGCAATAGCACAGGGGTCCAGCATCTTGAATTTGAACGGCTTGATAATGGTAGCTTCTAGGCGATGGAAAAACTGGATCTCATCTTTATTGCTTCTTCGCGAACTTCGGGAGTCGCCTCTGCCCGCTCCAACCATTTCAAAGCCTCTTTGGTTTGACCTTGAGATTTACATATTGAAGCCATGTTCAACATACTCAAACCAAAGCCACCTTCAGCTGCTACCTGAAACCATTCTTTGGCATACCCGTAACTCCGCTCTGAAGGCTTTTTGTCGGCCTGCTCACCTGTCTTAGATAACTCAATGGCTCCAAGATTATGGCATGCTTCAGGAATACCTGAACCAGCCGCTTTGAGCAGATAAACCATTCTATTATCCTCCTCGTCTGGACCTACATGTTTGGAAAGATAAAAGAATGCTGAGGGATAATCGAGTTCTAATGCTGCTTTGCTGAAAACCTTTTTTGCAGCTTCTCTATCACTTTTCTCGAGAATCAAACCAAGGACGACGAGCGCCTCTGCCGCTCCTGGAAAATTAGGTAACTCTGTTCCTGAAACAGCCTTTTGTAACCAATTTAGAGCTTCCTTCTCCTTCCCTTGACTGTACAGAATTTGGCCAAGTAGTCCCATGGCTTGGACGTTGCCCTGCTTCTTGGCTAAAATACCCAAGCGTTCAAGGAAAGCTCCAGACCTTGCTGTATAAAGCTTGTTATTTCGGAAAGCATCAGAGACAACCTCTAACGTGGCTGCTGGATCTCCCATGACTGAAGCTGAGTCTAATAATACTCTTGCAAGACGTTTTTGTGATGGTTCCTTGCATCTTCCCAATGAGATAGATAGTTGTGTCATATCAGATGCTGTGATACCATGCTCTAAACGATATCAGTATGTTAGATTAAGATACGGAAAGAGTCAACGTACTATTGCAAATACCAGTTTCCCAGCCTGAATTCGAATTTCCATGTAAATTCTGGTAGTTCTTTAAGAATTCCATGGCTTTATTAGGGTTAACTTTTAGGACTCCAACTTTATGATCCGTCTCTAGAATAAACAGTGGTGGGAGAGCATCAGGAGTATCAATTGGTACCCTCTTCCGTATCATCACAGGTTCAGCAGCATTTCTCTTTGCCAATGTTTGCTTCCTTGATGGTTTGGTACTGACAGCTAGCAGTTTGGGAGTCGTATGAATTAACCTTTTGTTTAGTACTCTGAGGCCATTCCGAAGATGAGGAATTACTACGAAAGCCGACATGATGATAGTTTCTGTATGTAGAATATCAAATACGTCTCTTCATAGATTGATACACCAGTGATATCCGAAGCTAAGATCTTACATGCTTCTGCCATTCTAGGATTAGGAAAGGCGGTGAACCAGATAATGTGCAAATGTCATAGCGTTTTCCCGGCACTAAAGAAATCTCTCAGAATTTTTTAAAGCCTGTTCTACATACAAGGCCCACACCTCGACACATATTTAAAGTATAATTCAGTACAAGTTTTCTGCATGTTCGCCAAACTCTTCAGATCGTCTTCGAAAGATTGTCTTCAATCGGACGACCCATTAACTCCTAGCCAGCAATTGCGCGAAGAAAGTAGGAGAACTAGAAGTATGGTTACTACGCGGGGTAGAGCTCGAGAATTAGCAGATAGTCCTTCCGTGAATGGAGATTCTATAATCATTGATGAGGGTACTCCAGTTCCAAAAAGGAGAGGACGGCCGCGCAAGTCCCTTCCTGTTGAAGATGATGAGGTTGCAGTTACACCGCGACCTACGAGGAGCTCAAAGAAATTGCCGGTACAGGCTAGCGATGGAGAAGTAGTACAGGCAAGCGACGGAGAAGCAGTACAGGCTAGCGATGGAGAAGCAGTACAGGCAAGCGTTGGAGAAGCAGTACAGGCAAGCGCTAGAGAAGATACGCCAAAGCAATCGCCGCAAGTGATTGAAGATATATCTGCTTCTACTGAGGAATCTGAAATACCGCAAGTTATTGAGGCAGAGGAGGAGGTAGTAAAGACAACAACAGCCAGTGGAGATATATCCACCTTATCGACCACGACTGCTGCAGTGACAATGCCAGTTGCAAAGAAGCACAAGCGATTCGATAGTGCGGAGCCTGAGCCAGTACCAGAGGAGAAATCTGAAATAATTGAAATCAAGGATGATGGGGACGAGAGTAGCGATGACGATGCACCAGAGGAGGTCACAAAAAATCAGGCTGCAGAATCTGCCAAAGAAAAGGAAAGAGAAGCTGCAAGAGCAATTGAGGAGTATGTTCATTTGGTTTTCGCCAAAATAGATTACTGACAATGGTTTTAGACAAGAAGCTGCTGCAAAAAAGAAGCGTCAGGAAAAAAACGCCAATCTTCAACGACAATCAGAAATCTCGAGCAAGAAACGCAAGCTCGATGTCCCACCCGGACAAGATGAAATGTTACCTCCTGCTCAAAAATCGAAGGTTGAGGTCACATCAGCACCAGCCATAATTGAAAGAGGGGATATCGAGATGGACGAGGAATCAAACACTTTAGAGGGGGATGGAACGGCAGATGGACGATTAGACTCTGAGGATATTGAAGACATCAATAGGACCTTCGCTCCTCCCGGACATTTACCTCTTCCAGATCTTCTGCCAGCCGAATATTTAGAAGACAATGATGATGATACCCCAGAATCTGGCAATTTCCATTCAAGTCTGCCTACAAGATTTGTCAAAACGAACAAATTACGCCACCTCTTAGAAAAGAGACCGAAAGATAAACGAGTTGGCTCAACCACATTCAGAGTCGCGGAAAGTCGAAACACACATTTACCTCCTAAAGCATCAAATCAAGCGCGCTCGCTAAAGGAATCGTGGTTACAAGGACGGGCAGGAACTAAGATCAAGGCAAATCGGAAGCCTTTCAATCAAGGTTTTATCAAGCCTAAGAAATAAAGTCGAAGATATGCTTGCAAATTGCGGAATGGCAACCAAGGGTATCAATTCTTTGCTCGGTACAATTTGTCTTGTTTGTGATCAAAGTCTGATTTTCAGGGGAGACACATGATGATTGGATAAGAGACATGAAAGCTAGAGGATCAAAGGGGGCAAATGAAAGAGCGGAAGGAGGCACTTCAAGGAAGAATGAGAACTCTGAAGACTTCAGGATAAGAGACATAAGGCGGGTGTTTTGGTTGAGTTTGGCGTAATGGAAAGCAGGAGTAATGAATGATTCCCAGTTTAATTGTTGATCAAAACTGGATCTGAATAGAAGTCTTTGGTAGATTAGAATCAATTGAATTTAACGGTATAATCTTACCACAGATCGAAGATTACTATGATACCCCCTCTCTAACTTTTCTTATTATAATATCCAAGTGGGTCTCGATGCAACCCTATCGCTCCTCTTGATGCTAAGCTTGAAAGTCCGAAATATACCATATTGTTAAAAGTAATGACCTCTTACAGGAATGATGAGAAGCATAAGGCCTAGAATAAGGAGGCATCCGGAGTAAATCGTATCGACTAAAGAGGATACTAATTACGATAAGAGAACTCTATATATATAGAGTTCTAGTAGTACTAATCGGGGCTAGCTCCCCCTGCCTTCTAGCACCACAAGAACCATCCTTTCAACACTATAAACAGTTAGAGCAAACCAATTAGCGAACAAAAATATGTCTCTCCGTCCCAAACTTTCAATCCCACAGGCACGAGATCGCCTGTAATACCCTAGACTTCCTTTGCGTTTGCATAGATACCCACTATTGCCTCACGCAAAAGTGTGAGAAGAAGAAATCATATGAAATCACGGCGAAGGAGTTTGTCGCATGGCTAGCTGCATATATCAAAGTTTCCTTTCCGGCTGTGCCTCCGGCAAGGCGTTCATGGCATCAGACCTACATATCTAGGCAGGCAATGGCAAAGTTTTCTTAATTATGATGGTTATACTGAGGTCAGTGCCGATGCAACGGCGTCTTATACGGAGTAGGGAGCAGTTGGTCCCGGCTAGGCTAGGCTTGTATGGTTTGGTGGGGTTACTTATGGGTGGTTAGCTGCATAGTTGTGGGTTAGTATTGATTGGTCGGGGGGATTTGGATAGTGTTTTCTATTATTTGTTTATGATTTCATTATCATCTGTCTATAGTTTATATTATGATTCGAGGAGAGTTTGATCACTCTTGTATGTTTTGTAAGGTGTGATGTTTGAGCAAGTAAATCGGATTTTTCAGGTTCAAACTTTTGAATGTGAATTACTATCGAATCATGATCTAATCTAAGTGCATGAAATCTGCGTTGGCTGCTGACCATATATACATTGAGTAAAGGTATTTTGATGATTAGATCAAATTCCAACGTGAATCAAAAGGCTATTCTCCCAACAGCGCCTATGCATATCTAATCAACGTATCCCGAACCTGACCTATATCACAACTTACTGACGCAGTAACCGATGTATTTGCATCAATCAATCTCGTTGCATGGAAATGAGCTATCTTAGTATCATCCTCAAATATCAAGTCTGCAGTAGCTTGAAATGTTAAGTATTGCACATATGTGTAGAACTGAATATGGAAACATATCCTTCTCCTTCAGGCCTCGTGTATTCTATACATGGCAAGATGCAACGTTACTGCATATTGGTGTTGACTGCAATGCATGCAAATATCAGTGAGAACCCCAACTAACTTTCTAGTTATGTGCTAGGCTAGTTTTCCATTGGCCACTGAGTGATTCTACCTCCATAATTGAATGCAGGTGAGAAAGATGGGTAAATTGGAATGCAAAGTTGGATGATCAAATCATGTAGTTAACTCCATATATCAAATCCAGTATGTTACTGACTATCTTCTGTTATTCTTCGATTCTGTCTTTATAAGTAATGATTCAAACAAGATTTTAGAAAAACCAAAGTTTGATGAATACCTCCTAGGATAGACTTATAGTATCTCAAACTCTGGGATAATATACTAAGTAGATAGTTAAACAAAAAGGTGTATAAATATTTTATAATATCATCCTTATAATGATAAAATTACATCAACAGGGTTGCCTGGAAAAAGTATCTACGAAATAATTTAGTTCGGTTGTTAAGTTACCGGTAAAATGCATGTACCGTCAGCCATTCAGACGTTTTTATGGCCTTATAGGATGTTTGTGGGACTTTTGCTGTTCGTTTATGCTCCTTTATCCAGCCTTCTGTTGAACTTCTGTTGAACTCCTGTAAGGTTACCGATCAACATTTGCCTCAACTTTGTCAGAGTGTATTCAAATTCACAACGCATTCAAGACCAGCGTTGTGCAGCCTTTGCTTGATACTATTTTGACGGAGATATGGATCAACCGACTTCAGTTGCAGAGCTTCCTTCAGCGAAAGAGCCCCTTTCCGGAGGCGAGTGGACTGGTTTTTGACAGACTAACTCGCATTCTTTTGCTGACAATGTCGCAACACCGTTCCAATTCCGGTGAGGCTTCCTATTGAAAATTGACAGGAGTTAACTATTCATAGACTTCTCATCAGCAACGAAAGCAGACCGATGACGATACAATCACACTACACGACTAGTGAGGAAAAAATTAACGTATGAGTAGATGCTATCACCGCTCCACTGAAGCTACTAGAATATTGAGAGCCGGGAGATCAGGTGGTTTCAAGACACGAGGCCCAAGAAGCCATGTATAGAGCTTCATCTTGCTTTACTCCATCCTTCTATCAAGCTACACTAATTTATCCTCCGCCGGCATACACTTTCGAGTTCGATGTCCTATAAGTGGAATGAGTCTCTTTAGTCAATCTCACTCGCGGTCTCGTTAGAGTCAAAAGCTTTGCCGCCCCTTTTCTTTTCGACATGTGGTCATGCAGCTTACTTGTCCTAGTTTGCTAGAAACATCACAATTTGATCTCATATAGAATGATGGCACAGCCTCTGCAAAAGGCAACTCTTCACACATCTTGTCTTTTTCGAGCTGCAAGGCTATACTTCAGACTGTTGGCGAAAAAGAGGCTTTTCCGCACCTCTATGCCTAAGCGACGGAGTCGAAAGAGACATCACATACTCGCAGAAAGATTTCGACCATGAAAAAGAGTACCACGGGAGACGACACAAAAATAGTCATGAAGAATACTTCAATATATCATTTAATTACAACGAGCTCCTGGCACATCCATGATCCATCTCGAGGATGATATCCTGCAATACAGAAGCTTGGTATTCATGGCTTAATGTACTCGACCAAATTTCCAGGTTCTGACAATGAATGAGCAATTATCGGAGACTCACCGACATAGTGTTTATTGCTACCGAACTACCGGTTATTTTGTTCTGAACTCTGAATGGGAAGCCCTTGGTATGTAACAATACCAGGTGAACGAATATGAAGAGTCCACAATGGCATGGAACTCCCGATCACATCAACAATTTATCCACGAAAGACAATTTTATAAACTCAAGAGTAGTTTTCCACGATACTATGGACGGATCTTGGACAAATCTGTGTCTTCATGACCGCTCGCAAGAATAAAGTGTGGAAGAGAATGAGCTATTTGCCGGTGCATCGTCTTGATGGAAAATACATCGATACGCTCTAGACTCGAGTTTTGAAGGACCCTTTCAGTTTTAATAGATGGTAAAAATTACACTTCGTTAAATTAGTCTTCAAAAAGTGGAATCGGCATGCGTTATAAGACAGGGACGCAGGACAGCTATCACTTAGAAACGAACAAGCCCCTCGATGCACACCACTAGTCTCGAACATGCATAATGGGAAATCTGGCTGATCTTTGAATGCAAGTGTGGTTATAAAGACATTTTGCGATAATTCAAAATGTTCATTATCCTAGGTCCATGGCGGAAATTCGCAATATAAGATGTAACTTTTGGGATCGACTTCTGGAACAAATTTCAGTAATCGCTATCAAAAATCGCTACAAATATAAATGTAGTACAAGAAGACGCTAGAGCAAGCCAGAGCAAGGTAAAGGCACGAACTTGGACAGTGGTCCATAATCTTCAATCACATTTTCTGGGCATCGGATTGATGCGAATCTTTGCCGTTATCTTTGACTAAAATACTCAATAGTTTGCGTATCTTTGCATCTAATATTTAGCAGAAAACGCTAGTATATCTGCAAGAAATCCCTGTTTAATCACCTGTCCACGCGCCCTCTTCGCGATTCGCCTTGGCAGATAATCAAGCATTTGGGGACTTGAAAACTTTTCACCTGAAAGCAAGGATTGATACAAGATAGATGAGCGCCCATTGAAAGTGGGCGTCAATATCCTCGCAAAGTTAGTGTAATCTTCTGCCGGAACACTCCATCGTAGGGGGTGTAACTGTAAATGAAATTTAGACAGACTGCTTATTGGACAATCGCAAGCGCGAAGACATAAATGATGTTCATAATTGCATGAGTAAAGGCCCCTTAGTGGCCAAATAGTACTTGAGCCAGGACGTCTAGTCTGATTGTCACAACAGTACCAAGACGTCGTAGAACATATCCCCTTGAAGGATATACAGATCTGTTAAGCTTTTGTCAAGGACTTAGGATAATCCATAATTGGTATATACTCCCGAACCACGATTAATGGTCAGGTAGTCACCAATTAGACATACAAGTGCTTTCATATTGTTTACAAGAGTCGCCAAACTAGTAGTCAAGGTCTTGGAAAACATAAAAAAGGCAGCATCCAAGCGCGTAAGCATCATCACTTGCCACTTTTAGAATTTAGGCAGAAGTGTAGTTTTCCTAAAGCACAAGTCTTTGACCTCTGCATAATAAGAACTCTTACTTTATGTAACTTTCGACCGAAGCGAAGCTATCGCACATTTCTATCAAGTTTAATTGTGTGTATTTCTAGCCTTGCATCGAGAAAATGCTCATTCTTTTGAGTTCGACACAAGCTAGCGACATGGCTTTCGGGGATTTTGACGAACAAGGCGCCAAGCACATGAGCCCTAGTAGGAAGAAGAAAGCTTATAGCAGAGTATGATAAGGCTTTGCGTTTGGACGTGGGATGCAACACATGCTGAATGTTGATGGACCTTCTGCCACTTTGGCTAATATTCTGTTGTTAGAGAACTTAGATTAGAATGATGCCCCATGAGTATGGGCGGTGGCGGTGGTGATGTTTAGGTCGGGGCAGGTGGATAGAACATATCTGTGTATTATTCCCCGGGTATAATAAAGTTCTCTTCTACAGAAAACCTAGTATGTCCTACTGGTCTTCTGAACCCTGGTTGTAAGATGGCCATAGTAATTTTGTCTAAGCGAAGTTCCCACGAAGTGAATGGACGTTCTTTTGAACGATCGTGCGAATAACTAGAGCTCTCATCTCTGATGAAAAGCGGTCTGGAAAAGGATGAAATCTTAAAACTGGTAGATTTCAGCAAAGTTATTTAGTTAGATTTTGGTTGACGAAAACTTTCGTTACATGAATACGATAAAATCTCGATTTGGTTTGTCACTTGCAGCTGCAATACTCTAGAGGAATACAATTTTAAACTCCGGAAATACTTGACACTATCAATACCAACACAAGGAATTGATGTAGAAAGTTTTGAAGTAATGCATTGAAGATTAAACAAGCTAAAATGTTTGGGAGTCAAGCAAACGAAAAGGGAATTCCATGACCACTTTATCTCAATGCAATCTTACATAGCTTGACCTGTGTATCCTTGTGTAATGCTTCATATGCTTCATTTTCAATACTACTCCTAGCCATTTCCGTTCGGGATAGAATCGCCGCAGAGTCAGGCTGAGAGCTACTTAGTTACGCCAATTTGGGAGAAATAGACGCGTTCCCGTGGCGCTGTTACAGTCACGTAGTAAACTTGTGTTAACTTAGCATAACGCGCACGCTAAATTTAAAGTGTCATTAGCATTGTGCAGTTAATTCTGACAAGAATCAATAAATTCAATTTTACTTTCGACTCATACTTAAGAACTTCTATTTTCTACTCGTATTGTGTAGTCATTTTTAATAGCGAAATAACCTTACATCATATATCAAAAATTTAGTAGATTCTGGAAGCAGTTATTATGTTTTAGGTTAATGTGGTTTGACCCGATGAAGGAGTCGGCACATCCACTACCGGCATTAACAATCCGATAACCTGACAGGTGGCTATTTTATGTCCTTTGAGCCCTGTCACTCAAACTTCGCTAGAAACATCTCATGTATCTTTCCTTGTGGCTACATTTTAGAGGATAGACACAGCAAAAATGGCTTTCAATTTATGCGCACCACTTGTTCGAGGTCAACAGAGATGATGAAGCGATGTTGAATGACCCAATCGATTTTACCCGGGCAACCAGGGCATAAAACCTGTTGGGAGCCTTGAATCATATGGAATTCATTAACTGGAAGATTTCAATTTCAGAAAAGAAAACTTCAACCGCGCTAGACACTACACCATCCGAAACCATTCCTTAGCATCCTCGGAGAATAGAAATGGGACACACACCCTCTATGCTCCTTCAACTAGGTTCTGAATGTAAATCAAAAGCCAGAAGTCGTATCGTATGTCTAGAATCCCTTTTCTCCTATGAAAACTCGGTATAGGTACCTACTTGTTTGTGGGGTAGCATTTTCGCGGATCGTGGCGCCCTAGACATCGGACGCAAGGATATTGTCGAGAACCGCATTACAGGCAAACGACCCTTTTCATGCACTGCATCGATCCGATATATGTCGTATTCATCCGATGAAAAAATATGGTTATAAAGGACACAACAGCATTCAGGCTTCCGCTGACTGCACTCGACTATTGGTCCCTGTTATGCGGACTTGACAGAACTAATCAAAAACTGCTGACTGAAGGGCACTTTAAGTATAATTAATGAATGGATTCTCTATGTATTTCTCGTTTGATATTCAAGTCATATCGTACTAGTCGTTCAAAATAACATTATCCTAGTAGATCATGCACTAGGCATATCTATCAGCTACTTCAGGGGTTTCGGTATCGATAATCTAAAATGTATATTTTTTGATACCCAAATCTTCAAATTTCCCAATGATTTATCCGATTTTGCTGAGCTTATCAGGTCAGTGACACCACTATTTAACACCAATAACATGTGGCTCCCTGAATATGTCGCATGTCGCAACATATAACCTTTTCAGGGCTCAGTAGCAAACACGACCAGAAGCCAATGCTACGATTTAGGATGTTACGTACTCACTATCACACTAGTACATTACCTTCCATTTTTGGATTGGATGTTAAACAGCCAATTAGGATTTTACAACGACCTGTACAGTCAACCACAAAGCATGAACTTGCAGGCGACATGGCTCTTCATATTAAAATGCATGTTCTTGCACCCGTTATATTGACGCCGGTATCCAAAGTGAACCAATAGCCACTCTTTTACATACGATGTCAGATAAACAAACTTCCCACCACATTTTCCTCTATAGTGGAAAGTAGTTTTGCTTCTATTTGTCTTGAATTTGGTTCTTGCACTTGAAAGCTCTACTATACATCACATACTTATTTCTCCTCGCACAACAGATTTTTTAAGCACCCATACAACACAATTTCTGATCCCCGGTTCCTCTCCCGATTTGTGGAATCCAATTCATGAACGCCACCTATGCACGCGCAATATCGTTATAGACAACATTAACTTGCTATGCTTCTTAATAATGTGCGAACGAAAGAATGCCATTGTAAACCAGGCCGATCTATGCAGCGCTTTGAAGAATCTAATCATTATCATTTCTTCTTTTCCATTCTATCTCGAATCCTATTTACATATGATGGCGATCTGCTTTTTCCTTTATATGCCCTCCACCTCTAGCCAGAATGAGTCGTCGCATAGCTGCAGGGTTCCTTTGAAAGTCTTGACTTCTCTTAGATATTTAACAAAAGGAATCCACGGCAAATGTCCTTTTGTGGAAATTATAATCTTCAAACGTGTTTTTCCTTTCCACTCTTCGTCCCAGATGCAATAGTTTGTGGATACAGACCTTCAATAGCTCACGATCCGACGCAGCTACGGACGTTGGCAATGAATCAGTGGAAAACATGGTCGCTCCAAGGACCTGGTACTTGCTAGACCAATGATGTGTTACGCAACCATGTAGGAATTTTAGAGATAGTATCAGACGCCTCTCGCGAGCATAAAATCTTCCTTTTACCCTTGCTGATATTGCATGAGTACTACCACGCCTCACCCAAAGTCTCGGCACGCTTATTTACTTATGTCTTCGAGCTGCCTTCATCGCTCTAGGCCAGGATGAATTTGTTTGTTCTTTGCGTATCCTCTCAAGCAAACAAATCTTTCTACCGTCATTATTCTCCTTTGATCAGCAAACCAATCAAGTGGATGACTTTGACTTCTTCATCGAGCATGCTTCTCCCCGTCAGGCTACACGAATCACTTAAACATTGGAATTTGGTTTTGGATTCGTCGAAAGCCATGAAAGTTCCAAACTGCGAGATGGAAAGGTGCAGTAAATGAACTTGTGAATTTAAGCAGCGTTTGCTGTTTGGATTTTACTCTTTCTGACATGGCAGATGGTGATGAGTCTATTTAACTGGTGAGTGATGACCTCTTGGATTATAAGTATTTAGAATCTCTACTTTTAAATCACAAACTCTCACTACATTACAACCTCATAATTTCTGTAACCAAATTATAATCTTCAAACACCTCATTTAACCCGGTCATGGCAACTTCGCTAGATGCAACAACCTGCACTGAATGCTCTAAGACGTTCCACGGGGCACGGCTACTTGATTCGCACATACGTACTGTGCATAAGGATGAAGAGGAATGTTCTATCTGCCGCTCGGTGGTGAAGGGTTTAGTTCAGCATAAACGCAGAGTGCATCGCGAAATTTCCCGTACTACCAAACGACCGTCAAATTGTCAACACTGTGGCAATTCGTTTGTAAAAATTGGGAGGCACAGGTGCAAGAAGGAGATCAAAAAAAGTCCTATTCAGCCAATACTTCCTGCGCCAGCTCCTGCTGACGCTAATATTAAAAGCTCCCAAAGTTCTTCCTCCATGGACTGCCTAAGTATGTAATTACATAACCTGAGCAACACGCATACTGACATTGAAACAGCTGATGTTCCCTTACCAGCCTTCTATCCGCTCCCACATTTCTTCGATGACAGAGCCATTTCTCCCTTCTTCTTGTGCTCGGCAGCTCAAATTCGCCAGTTGCCACTCTATGACCCTTGGGTCGAGAGTGACTCTGCCTCGCAAATGCCTTCACAAGAATGCTATGCCGAAATGGATATCATGAGCTCTGCAATCAATCAAACCATACCTTTTGACCCAACAAGCGTGTTCTCAGAAATTGCATCAGGATATCCTTACAGACTCAGCAGTACACTCTCGCTTCCTCTCAACCCGATATCATACGATCAAGACACAGGTACTGCTTCAGCGACCGGAGCTATCAGTAGCACAGCAATACCAGATTACAATGTTCCGATACCTACTATCGAGCCGCCGGACGCCGATTATCCAGTTGTTGAAGAGTTTGATATGTTTGATTCTGGTGTGAATGCTATGGAATTTGAGGATCTGATAGATTGGGGGGATTTTTGGGAGCATGAGATTTCGGAGTTCTTGTAAGAACTTTCCAAAGCGGAATTCGCAGGGTTTTCGTGATTATTTAAGGCTTAAAAGTGTTTCTTGTTATTGCTGTTCTTGAATGGTGTTTACTTGCTCCTGGGGGTATATATCATATATCATCATGATTGATGGGCTAGTAGCTTGGTTGAGTATTTGTCAAACGTTTGTAGCGTGTCTAATTTCCTTAAAAGTTATATCCGCTCAATTTTCAACATAACACTATACCTTCCAAATTGACATAGTCTATATACGGTCCTTATTTGCCTCTCCAAAGACTAAAGATCTATCTTCGGATATTGTGGTAAGAAAAAGTGTCAGAATTGGCGTCTGGTTTTCTGTCTCTGATAATCAGTTCCTTGTTTGACGGTTTGAGGATACACGTTACAACGGGAGTAGAATGGTTCAAGAAGAATTGACCATGCCCGAAAAAACAAGGCACATCTTATTCTATACAAGGGTACTTATATTTAGGTTGATGATTGTGCCATAGGAAAAGAATGGGAAGAATGCTTGAACTTTGAATCTGAGCGGTTAGTGATTACCTGACGAGGTGGTCTCGCTTAATTTCATGTCTATATACATCTTCTAGCGGCAAAGACAAGACTCACATTCAATGATCTACTCATTTAACTACCCTTAAGCTTTTAACCAGGATGTCTATCATGTCACAGTTCTTTAGAGTCTCGATACCTCAGGATCTCACGACAACCGACAATCTGATGAAAACGCATCCTGTCAACATGGCAGGCGCTCTACCGAACTATCTAAGCGAGATTAAAGTTAATAGATGCTCATACGTCTCCACTCGGGACAAGAACACTAAGCATCTGGCCCTAAACGGCATTTCTCCACATAAATCCCAATCATTTGACCAAGACTTATAAAATTTGATTGAAACACATTGGAGACAAGCCAGTCACCTGATACTCAAGCTCCCTTTTAAATATTATTAATTGAAATTATGTAACTGCGACCTCTTCGTCGAATGCTTCACACTCAAACGCTCCGAGCTTTCCTAACAATTTAAAAGCAAAAATTGTGACTGATCCCGATCCTTTTCTTCAGAGGAATTGGTTTCCATTGATCGTGTTGGGAGAAGAGGTTTCCTGAGTGAGTGATTAAAGCTAGTTTCTCTGATGGGGTGCAGGAATGGTATAGTTAATTAAGGAACGGTGTGACAGAGAAGGAAATAAGCGAGTTTAGCTTGGGGTGGACGGTGATGAATTGCTCGAGTGTATGCTTAGATCTACCGCTATTTAAAAGGAAGATGTCATATGTGTTATATTTCTTTTTGTGAGGAAATATTTGAAATTGAGGGGCCATTATTAGATTGGAGAACGTAAATATAAGTGAAACTATGAATGAGGTCTGAAGAAGCAAGTGTATATTGAACTTCTAGACTGTGATAATAAAGGACCACAGCTCCTCACTCGTGCTGATATACACATTGCATATTACTAAACACTTAATTTTCCACTTCTGCATATCCTCACCCCGGAACCTCAACCACCTACGAAAAAGTAATCGAAACAACCACCTCTCCACCCGTCAAATCAACAGCCCATCCACCCCTCAGCGCACCCAACTCCGACACAGTCGCCTTACCCACCGAACCTACCTGCGCAGTCTTCGTAACCCTCAAAATCGTCGAAGAAGCACTCGCCATAGTGGAAACCGTAGAAACAATCGGCGCGATAGTAAGTTTTACAGTCCCATTCGTGTATGTTACACTTGCTATCGCACCGGCATCAATTTCGAATTTGAATCCTAATTGTGCGATAAAGACTTTTCTCCTCACGGCATCTTTCGGTGCTACGGCCCATGATGTGCTAGAGCCAGTGAGTGCGCCACCGAAAGCGATAAGACCTAGTGTTGTATCATCAACGACGTAGGTACCAGAGCCAAGCGCTAGACCGACGAAATTTGGACCGTAGTCTCCGCTATATGCATCCCATGCCATGGTATCTGGCCATGTGTGGAATGCTGCTGATGCAAAGCCCTCGCTATCGATATTGGATAAGGGACCATTTGTTCCTCCATAACCGACTCGAAGGAGATATGTTTCAGTGGGGTTTTGTTCGAAGTGTGATAGTAATGGAAGTGCATTTAAGCCGGATCCATAGTGATGACCCATCCGCTCAAATCGCATCAGCTTGCCACCATAACTTAGGATCGTTAGTACGCATCTAGCTTTCGTTGCAACTTGTGCAAACTACCGAGTGCTGTTGACTTACATAAAATCCCAATATCTTCTAGCATTACCATTCCATGCCCAATGACTTACTGCAGGCATATATCCCAAGATCGAGTTAATTGTTTTCGTCACCGTGGTTGTCAACCCGAAGTAGCTGAAAACATATATATTAGTAACTTTCAACCACCAACAACGGCTCACTTACTTAGACCAATAGTAAACTCCTTCCTGCCCAGTAGAATCCCAAGCCATCTCACTTCCATAAGGAACAGCCTCACTATTCCACAAATTCGCCCTTGTCTTCATTGCAGCAATCACAGCATTAGCAGCAGTCTTGTTGCCTTCGTTCTGCAAATCTTGCAAAACGTATCCCCAAACTGTTTCACCCATTAGCCCTACATCGACGTACCCAGTATCTGGGCCCGTCGCATAGATGATGGTTTCATAGGCCTGATTCAAATACCATTGCCAGGTCTGTTTCGTCACTAATTTTGGATAGAATCTAGCGACACGATAGAGAGCCCAGTAAGCAGCCGTCACATGAACATAATCGTAGGTTCTTCCGGTACCGTAAGCTGAGTTTTTGTTCCAGCTCCACCAATTCCCCCAATCTATTGATGATGAATAACTGTATGAAACTGCACCTGGCTGGTAGTAAAAGACGCTCATTTTGACGCTGTAATCGGAGTTCTGAATATTTCCCCACAACGTTTTTGTAACGAATTGCTCCAATTTGGTTATCTCAGCGGCGTTGGGTGAGATTGCTTGCTTCATTGTCGCTGCAAGCCAGGAACCAGCTCCTGCTTCATCACTCAATCCAGCAATCCAGACTCTCGGGTCCTGTAGAACTTGAGCATTAACTGAGCGGTCGTAAGATATAACTGATGGTCCTCTACCAAAAGGATCACTGCTGCTTTCGAGCCACTGATTTGATGTCAAAAATGTGCCCAGCGAAGATATAGCTCCAGGTGCTGACTGAGTAATAACATAATTAACCGTTTGTACAAGGCCATCGGCATATGTAATTGTTACTCGAACTCTTCCCCAGGGGGACGAGCTAGGTGTGAGAGTATACTTATTCTTGGCTGCGGTTGAAAACGTGAAGGCCCCAGCAGGAGTTGATGTGATAGAAGAGACGGTTGAAGTGTGCTGCAGGAACAATTGGGCTGTGAGATCCTATTGGGAGTAAGTAATCTACTTGGCCAAGGCTCCGTCCCAAGTAAATGAAAGAACTAGGTTGTACAGAGGAAAACAAATGCGCAGAATGAAACATTCGAATCGATTGAGATATCCAAGAAGAGATGTTGGTTTTTGGGGTGCAAAATAAAGAACCTGTCATTTACCTGTGGAATGATGTATCCCGGAACACCAATAGCAACTGGTGTTCCTGTATTGGCCACAGTCGATTCAATATCACTGATGCTGCTTGCAGCTGAAAACTTCAACCCTTTCGTGATTGATTGGCCTGCAGCAAGTACTACCGATGTACCGGGGTTCCAAGGACTCGTTCCCTTCCACTCATTTTGAGTATATGCTAAAGTATAGGTTTCCCAAGAATAAAACCCTTCGAATGTTTGGCTTTGATATCCCAGTGCCGTGTCGGTATCTTCTTCTAAGAATCGCCAACCTTCAAGGGGTGTATGCCCTAGCGGTGTCACTACCAGTGCTGGACCTGTTCCTGACAATGGCGTCACACGCAGATAGCCACCGTCGAGACCAATATTTGGATCCACTAGAGAGCACATTTTTTGCGTATCCACTGCTGTTCTGTCCGTGAAAATGCTATTGAACTCAATAGGGAATCCAAGTGCTCCAATTTCAATGCTACTGGTGCCTTGATTGGTTATAGTGAAGTTGAGATTGATGTCCGCTCCACTTATGGACCAGGCTCGCGTGATGCTTAAAGGAATCCCTGATGGTAGTGTTGGTGCGAGATTTGCGGAAGTAACGCCTGTGGAAGTCACCGCAGCCCTCTCGGCGGCGGAATCGACACTGGTCCACGAACTATCTCCAACAGCTCGATATCTGAGTGTGATGTCGCCAACATGATAGTTGCCATTTTGGCTCCTTTGAGAAAGAACATCAAAAGGCGAGAAATCGAACGTCGTTAACGCTTGTGGAATCAAGGACGCAAGTGTTTGACTGGAAGAATTAAGTCTGGCGTTCAAAGCACTGGAGCCAAAGGAAATATATTGACTAGAAACTACGGTGAATATGAGAGTAGACACTCCAACAACCTTGTGAAGGACGAACATAATTCTACTTGTGCCAAAGGCAAGAAAGATAAGTCGAGGTCTCCAACAGAGAATGAGTTGGGATGGAATACATCGGAAGAGTTCAGCGCTTTTATCTCAAACAATAACCATGGTGACAAGGTACATGAGAGCATTATGTAAATCTTTTAATCGTAGTTGGAGCGCGAATAAAATATACGCCAATGGAATTTAGCCGGTGCAAATGCAATTGAACGAAACATAAAAGTGGGAACTTATTGCTGCCGACATCATGCGAGGTGGTGTGGAGTGTCATGAAGGTTAACTTTGATTTGAGTTCTAATCATCGGCGGCCCTCCTTGATCCCTCATTACTAATCATATACCTCCTGGCCCCAAAAAGAGTTTACTTCCTTGATTGAAAGTATTATAAAATTATTGAGAATCTCGGAAACCTCGAAAATATGAAAAACTCCGAATGTGAAGAGGAACAGTCGAATTTCTACCAAAGTTTGTGAAGCAGTGTAAAAATTCAGAAAAAGAAACGTAGGTCAAAATGTTTTATGTTACTTGTTCCTTCAACGTCCATAGATGAAGATCGATAAGTGAATGAGAAGGACGAGGGTTTATCCAAGAATGTTCATGCATGTAAAAGTTAAAGAGTCTCGTAAAAGCCGCTTAGCTTAGTATGCGATTGGCTGTTCAAGGGAGGCCATCGAGCTCCTCCTTTATTTATCATGGTTTGAACTGTACGGAGTACAATCAATTTCACGTATTTGCTCTTTGGTAGGTTTGAAAGAGATCCCCGCCAGAACTGGTGAATTAGAGTTTCGAGACATATCACACCGTATTAATCGACCCCAGGTATTTTCCTGTAAACGAACGATAACGACGAACATCAAGCTACCCATCTGGATTATCTAATGAAAAATGCTAGAACTCGTTTGCCCTCAAGCATACACTCTGGCTATAATGATTTCATCAATAATCCAGATGATAGTGAAGACCTAGTATTGGCCCGTAGATCTAGCAGGATTATACGATATCTGTATATATTCCAGTTAATCCTTCGATATTGAGCTCAATTTCATGCTACTTTGGGTCCCGAAGAATGCACTTGCGACTCTTCTAGATTTATTACTTCCGTGAAACTCCGACAGAATATCAATTCAGTAACATGAACATTTGGCCAACTTGAAAGAATAATAAACTGGTCACTCTGATCACAATTTTCACTTGCGAAAAAATGTTAAGGTCTACAAATTGCTTTGGTCGCCTAGGGAAGCATGAGAGAAAAGTGAGGGCTTACGTAATATCCTTATCAAAATGCTCCGCTTCCGATAAGTTGCAAAAATAATTTCGTCTCTTGAGCAAATTGGACTTCAGTAAACAACTTCTTATAATCTTTATTTTTACAACGTCAATTTCAACGATGAAGCGCAAACTCGATGTCAATGATGTTCCTGTACCAACAGAAGAAGCAGAGGCCGCAAACGGCAAAGCTACTTTTGCTAGCCTAGGATTGGATGCCCGTTTGCTCCAAGGAATCGCAAAGCAAAACTTTCAATCACCAACGCTGGTACAGAGCAAAGCAATCCCACTCACATTGGAAGGACGCGACATACTGGCTAGAGCTAAGACTGGATCTGGAAAAACTGCTGCGTATTTACTACCAATTCTTCATTCGATATTGAAGCGAAAGGAGGTGGGTTGAAAAGGCCTCATCAGAAGAGGATGAACTGACAGTTATAGCTTTCTCCCACCCAATGCACGTCCGCCCTCATTCTTGTACCTACCAGAGAACTCGCAGATCAAGTCTATAAAACAGTTGAATCTTTTACGGCATTCTGCGCGAAAGATGTGCGAGCAGTCAATCTGACACAGCGAGTTTCCGATGCAGTTCAACGATCACTTCTCGCAGACTCCCCGGATATTGTTATTGCGACACCAGCCAGAGCTTCTCTGAATGCCAACACCTCAGCGCTCTTACTCACAAATCTTACACACATGGTGATTGATGAGGCCGATTTAGTATTATCTTATGGTTATGATGAGGATTTGCAAAATGTTGCCAAAATCATGCCCAAGGGGGTCCAGACTGTTTTGATGAGTGCCACGTTGACAAGTGAGGTCGAAACTTTGAAAGGACTTTTCTGTAGGAACCCAGAGGTATTGAAATTAGAGGAAGCGGAGGATGAGGGAAAAGGTGTTAGTCAATTCGTTGTGAAGTAAGTTTATGCAAACTTTCTGTGCTATCCATGTTAACAAGTAACAGATGCGCCGAAGACGAAAAGTTCCTCCTGGTATATGTGATATTCAAATTGAAGCTTATAAAAGGCAAATGCATCATATTTGTTGGCGACATTGACAGGTGTTATCGATTAAAATTATTTTTGGAGCAATTTGGGACAAGGAGTTGTATCCTCAACTCGCAATTACCTGTTAACTCACGTATCCATGTTGTCGAAGAATTCAACAAGAACGTTTATGATATTATCATTGCTTCGGATGAGCATGAAGTCTTGGGAGACGAGGATGAGCCCAAACCCGAGGAAACTGAAGAGGTTGAGGCGGACGACGCTAGTGGAGAGAAAGAAGATGCCAAGGATGCTAAGAAGGAAACCAAGCAACCATCGAAGAAGAAGCAAAAGACTGGAAAGAAAGACAAAGAGTACGGAGTATCACGAGGAATCGATTTCAAGAATGTTGCCTGCGTACTTAACTTTGATCTCCCAACATCATCCAAGTCATACACCCACAGAATTGGCCGAACTGCCCGAGCAGGCCAGACTGGTATGGCACTATCCTTCGTCATACCATCTGCACTATACCGAAAGCACAAACCAACCAGCATTGAATCAGCAAAAGACGACGAGAAAGTACTGGCGAAAATTATCAAGCACCAAGCAAAGAAGGGCAAAGAAGTTAAACCATACAATTTTGACATGAAGCAAGTGGATGCTTTTCGATACAGAATGGGCGATGCGCTACGAGCTGTTACTAGTATCGCGGTGCAGGAGGCCAAGGCACGAGAGATCAGACAGGAATTGATGAAGAGTGAGAAGCTTAAACGCCATTTTGAAGAGAATCCAAGTGATTTGTACCATCTTCGTCACGATGGTGAATTACGACCTGCTCGCGTACAAGCACATTTGAAACATGTGCCGGACTATCTCCTCCCGAAAGAAGGCAAGAAAGGAATAACAGGTGGAGATATTGGATTTGTAGGAATGCACAAGACGACGGAAAATAGAATTAGGAAGGCTAGGGCGGCGAACAAGGCAAAAGGACGTGGGAAGGGAAGGAAATCAGATCCATTGAAAACATTCAAGGCGAAGTCGAGGAAATAATTTAGCTAGTAGTACTGTATTGAATAAGATACCATTTTGACAGGCTCACGGTAAAGACGCTGTGATGTAAGTTTGTTCATAAGGCAGGCACCGGTGTTTGGGATGCAGCAGCCGTTTTCTCTGATTGAAGACCTTCAAGTATGATGCAATCCTTATGATACATGTAAATAACCTAGGCAGTTTCCCTTCCACTCAAAGGCCGAGGTAAAACACCAGAACTTAACTCACGGCAATGTTATCACGTGATATGTTGTTTTGTTGCATGTCTGAAAAATCATAATGTCTATTTAGGAACATCAAAAAAACAAAAATTTCAGAAGAATGATCGATCACATGATTGATTATTTTGTTGCATATCTGAAAAATGAGAAAGTCTTTTTAGAAAAATCCAAAAAACAAAAGTTCAGAAGAATGAGAAAATGATTGATCACGTGGTGATTTGTTGAGTGTGGGTATTCTCGTTCCTCGTCAATGTAAGACTTACATTAATCATGAAGTCCAAGTTGGAGCTTCAGTCATGATCATTGGGGATGAAGTGCAAACACGACAGATTCTGGCCAAAGAAAAACCGAATGGATTTTTTTTCAAAAAGATATCTTGAGGACGGATTAAACTCGCGGCTATTCTTTTCGAATTTGATCTTAGCAAGGAAGGTCGCTGCCATGGATTAGCTTGCTTGAGATGGTGTGCCAATCGCGGTTTTTTGTTGCTGGAGTGGGATTGTTTTAAGGCTGTTGAATATGTACCCTCGACTTCTTGAGTCCATGATGGGTGGATTTCCAGCTTTCGTATCTGAGCTCATCAGTGCGATTAGACTGGCGTCTCTAGCCAGCAGGTCGACTCCAAGACGTTATACGAAAAGATCGAGCTACCACCACTATTTATTAGTTGTACATCCATTTGATTCAACACTGTGATTTCCCTTGATCAGCCCAATCGTGGATGTTTGAGGTATATCCGTAGTGTTTCTTTTCATGTGAAATGCGTTTGTTTTCAAGCTCATACTTGTCAGCGATTTAGTTGATGTTTAAGTTCACACTGATCGATATCCTATTGGGAGTCGGCCAATGGGTGATGCTTTGGTACATACGAGTATGTTCATCCGATAGTACAAGCAGTTTCGTGCTTTGGGGTTAAACGGGAGTATAAGGGTAAGATGATCCGTGTTTCAATAAGTGTTGAACATCAAATGGTTCTATTTCCAGATCTTTGTACTTCGAATACATCTCCTTTGAAATCAGAAAGTATGAAATGATAATTATAGGGTCTATTTTGGCTTGTATTGGTCCTGGTGAGGTTCACTCTGAGGAATAGTACCCTGCAATGTACTTCTTACAATTATGCACTTGAAAATCATTGTCTGTTCGGTGGTTTCCTATAAAAAGAACTGTTTCCTATTATATACAAAGCATGGGACAAGCAAAAATGGTACAATCAATCCATCGGCCATGAAATAAGACGCAAGTCTGGATAGTCGATTTTCCAGATTCAGATAATATGTAAGAATAGGATGCATTAGGTCAAGTGAGGATTGGGCAGAAATCAATTATGTTTTCATATCTCCCTATGAAAACGTCAAACTGTGAAGCATAGTTTCTAAAATCAATAAGCATATATTGTACTCTCAACTTCACTTTCATTGCCCTTTTCGACGCTATCCTCTGCATCAAAACTTATCCCTCTTGATACGCGATTTCCGCCATTTGGCCTCGAGCTTATGTGTTCGGAGGTTTTCTCTCTTCTTAAATTTCTACTCGAGGGTTAACTGATGTGTTGATACATATATTAGAGACACAGGAAAGGCCATTCAATTCATCTGTGAACTAATCTAATGAATCTGCAATGGCCTCGTCCACACGTTACATGGGAGGGTGAAAGAATGGCAGAGTATTCTGTGGGCATTTATGATTTTGCCAATGAGTTAGGTTCATGTCCATGCTCCCATGAGGCTTAGACATATCTCAATGATAGCCCATGATCAATGATAACGTCCTTCCTCCATTCACTAAATGGAGTCGATGAAGATTATCAATTCTGGTCCACTCATGATTCCTCCTTCTATTCACGCATTTCAGTCTCGTAAACTTTGTACGAAGGCGTGTTTATGATAAAGAGTTGAGTAAATAACTTCTAGAAATCTATCTGGGTCATCCACAAAGGTGTGAATTCACTCATCAAAATCTCGTTTATTCACTCAAAAGAACTGTGGCGCTGGCTCGAGGTCCGTTCATCTAAAGATTTCCCCTCCTTAGCTTTCACCTTTTTCTTACGGACTTGGAGCTAACTCATTCAAATTACATTATTCTCTGTCCACCTGTTGTTCTTCAGAGCTAGTCAATCTTTTTGGGAGGCGCTGGACGTCGCGTCAATTAACGTTACTACTTTTCTTCCTTCAATCTTAGCCTTAGGAGTATGGTTCCCTGCTTTCCATGCTACAACCACGCAACAATAACAACAATCAAGCAAGTGCCTCTTTTACAAGTCAAACCAACACTCTTCGTCTTCCATTCTATTTCTATAGCAGCATTTACTGACTTCGTCTGATATAGCCTTCGTCATCTTGGGCTCGGTATCGCTACCGCTCTGGATTCGCTATCCCGACTTCTTCTTCTCCCACATATCGATCTTTACCCCGCACTTAAAAACCACATCCACCTATAAAGTTTATTCCAATTCTACTGGCAGCTTGTCATGCCCGGCGAATCCTAGTCACAGTCTTCAAGTTCTACCAACATTTATACTCCGCATAATTTATCACCATCAGATCTCCGCTGCGATCACTTTACCTTTAAAGAACCTTCCGGAGATCATTTATGTCAAAAATGGAGCTGGACGATAGTTGGGATCCTGATCCCTTACCAAACAGCAGGGTAGGGAATCATTCTCAGCCTCGTCACAAAGGGCAAGCTGCGCGCAACTCTAAGATGCAATCTCAATACTATCAACACTCGCAAACTTCTCACCCACAACACAGCGATCACAATGCGCCTATCAACCTTGATAATGAGTCGTCCGATGATGAAAGCTCATCTAATGAATACCCCATTCTCGTGCAACAACCACAAGCTACTCATAAGAGAATGAGAAGTCCCATTCAGCCGGTGCCGGATGGACGGAAACGGCATCAGAGCGAACACCCGAGTGGGATTGGTCGCTGTCGCAAGACAAACATAGAGGAGGCTATGCATGATCACTATCCACATGTCCTGCAGTCTCGTAAAAAGTTGGTGCCCCGCAATGACATTCGATATCAGGCCACTGAGAACAAGCATCATAGTGGATATTTCGATGTTGAAAGTACCTTGCCAAAAAGTAGAAAGTCAGATCCGCGCAGAAATTCACGCACAGGAGATGCATATCAAGATCAAGTCTATGTGGAAGAGGGAGATTTCGGTGAGCAGTTCATTAGGGAATCTAGTTTTATTGCATATAAGGGCAATTCCTTTGCAAAAGAGCGCATGAAACAAGAGCACATGGAACAAGAGCGAAATTACAATCCTGTGCCACCTGGCACTTTCACTCATGAACCGACCGGCCAATATCATCAACAATCTACAAGGGCAAACCACGAACTAGTGCTCACACCAAAGGCAAGGCAGCGTCTTGATTATTCTCGCGCGCAAAGTGTTGGCCCGAGGAGTTCATATGACGATAGTGGAAATCTGTACCCAGGCCCCGAAAATAGTATTTCTAGTGCTAGAAATCTGAGAAAAAGACAGGAGCTCCAGCTTGCCTCACCGATATGGCCAGGCCGTGAATATGTCATGCAGAAACCTTCTTCTTTGCACAGAAATCAAGGGAACAATGAAAAGCTTACCTTTGCGGACTTGACCCCACATACCCCAAGGAAACCACCAGCGAGAAGCAGCTCCGTTACTCCTAGTGGAGCGCAAGCCGTTGCAAACCAGCCCAAAGAATATAATTATGGTTTTATTGATGATGACGATATCAATGAAACACCGTTGGAAGAAGCACTTCAGGGCAGGCCAAACTTCCAGACGAATATTCAGAACGCCCCGATGGACCTCATGAGAGCTTTACCAAAGTCCAGTGCATTTCGAAGGAGCGATTCTGAAGCAGCAAAATATATCTATCAAAGCCCTTCTGGAGGTTCAAGAGGAGCAGACGCTTCAAATATCACCATTGATCTCGTGACGCCTGAAAGAGCTGTCAGTGCCCGTGCTTCGATGCCTTTTATACCTCACCATTGGACTCCGGCAAGAAGAGGCCCTATCAAAGTGTCGAATACTCGAGAAAGCTTTATGCAGGATGGCCCTGGTGCTAATGGAGTTGAAACTTTTGCGGGGGATGCTCAAGAACGACAAGCAGCTGCCTCTAGCACTAGTAAAGTACAAAGCCCTGAAGAAATTGCTCGACAGAGACAAGCAGCGAAGAAAATCGTCAACAGAGAGCTCATCGCTGATCGTGAGGCTCTACAAAAAGATCTTTTCGGGGAAGTTGTTAGTGAGACCGAGGAGGAAAAGCGAGAGCGCGATGAGGCCAAACGTCTTCAAGCTCAGAGATTGCGAGAAGCCAAGGAGAAACAAGATGCCATTGATGCCAAGGTCAAACGACAGAAGAATGAATTGAAGGCTCAAAAAGAGCGTGATAAGAAGGATGCTGAGCAGCGTGAGAAGAACAAAGACGTAGCCTCAAGGAAAGCCAACCGCGATGCTGACCGCCGTCATCAGTCTTTGAGGGAAGCACAGAACGCAGAAAAGAGACGCAAAGATGCCCATAACAAATTACAGGCGAAAAAAGAAGAATTGGCTGCGCTGAAAGCTCTCGAGGAACAAAAGCAGATTTCGGATAGAGAAAACAGAGAGCAAATGAACAAATTGGAACGCGACTTTCAAAGGCTTGCTGCTCAGGTGACAGCACAAACAGCTGCCTCATTGAAACCTGCGAGGAAGTCCGCGACTGAGAATGGAGCTACGAACACAGAGGAAACTTCACCTCTGCAAGCCACCCTTCCAACAAACATGGAAGTCGATAATGAAGATTCATTGTTCTTTCCAGAGACGCAAATAACACCTGTTGAAGCTTCTTCAGATGTACAGGTCACAAACCAGACTCAGATCCCAGAAGCTGTTAATAGTGACTCCACTATGGTCCCATCTGTAGAGCAAGATCAATCTCCTGCTAGTATCGCCGAGATCTTTGCCAAGACCATACCCAACACTAGTGGTGGCAACGTTGAAGACAGAGAAGCGGAACGTGAAGCTACTCGCAAAAAGAGACCAGGTGAACATGCAGCTGCAAAACGAAAGCGTGAGAAATCTGTAGCCGCTGACCCAAGTCCAAACACCACTGCTGGTAAAGCTGCTCCTAGGGTCATTTCAAAACCACCATCAAAGGCTGCAGCAAAGAAAAACCATAACAAGTCTTTGGCGAAGTCGCCAGGCAGTTCGGTATTCGACATCAAACTGAGACCTCTACATGGACCAGATGATTTTCTGCCTCGCGAACAGCCGGAAGGACCCATTACTGTCACTGAGAAGGACACTATAGATCCCCCAGTCCTAAAACCACGCCCGCCTCCCTTACCTTCACCTCCTCCAAAACCTACTGCAACTTCAATTAGACCAGAAACTAAGTTTATTTCACAAGCAGAGTTAGATGGGATTGAAGCTAGTCGGAAGAAAATCAGGGCCGAAACGAAAGCTCGGATAGATGCATTGAAAAAGAAAGAATTGGATGCAAAAAGGGATACAATTTATCAGAAGAAGACAGTTGAATATCGCAAGAAGAAAGAAAAGGAGTTTAGGGATAAGGCTCGCCAAGATGGTAGGGAGCTTGGTGAGGCTGAGCTGGAAACCATGCTTGACAAGCTCATGGAGAAGCGAGAAGTATAATTCCACGATGATATCTTGATATGCTCATGCTAATAAGTATTACAGCGGGACAAAAACAGAAGAAATAGACGTCGTTCGGGAGAAAATCCTTCAAGTGAGCATGAGAATGAAGCTGTTCCAAATTCTAGTCTGCCCAATGGACTTGGTACGGCCGCGCAAGTTTCATCTTCAGATACTGCCAGCGAAACCAATCATGTGCAAGAAGACGACGATCCTAAGACCCAGGCTCGACAAGACCATAAAGTCAGAACAGCCGAAAGCTTGAAGGCATTGGCTGAATCGCATGCCGCTCGACGTTGTCAAACATCATCAGTGAAGGAGTTAGGACCACTCTTTAGCGACTCATCATCCTCTGAGTCCGAGGAGGACCCTGACGATGAAGAAACGACACAGCGTTACATTGAAAATGTCCGGAAAAATGTTGATGTTACGAAAGCTAACAACACCTTTGACGAAGTACAATCAGGAACTCCTGTCGTGGAAGAGGTCGATCTCGAGAAAGATTTCGAAGCAGCCTTCGAAGAAGAGCTACTTATTGAAAGAGGAACTGAAATGGCAGCCACTGCACTCAACACCGATGATCATAGTGCGCAAGTTTTCGAGCCAATGCCTGATATGACTCCATATTTTGAAGGCTCATTAACTCAAGCGTCCTCTTTCACTTTAGCAGAGCAATCGACACAGCTCACAACACCAAGCCAAATATCCCAGCCGGAGCGTGAGAAGCCTCAAAAGTCTCCATCATATTCCATGGTCAATGTATATATGGTAATGACACAATTAATTCTTCACGAACATGAAGACGAAGCCGCCCTCAAGAAAAAGTTCTTTGATGTAGATAAGGCCAACAGATATGCTCAGACTCTCGTCAACGAATACAGGACCAAAAAGTACATGCAGCAAGAGATTGTGGAGAAGTGGGACAGGGAGTATAACTATTCCTGTCAAATCACCCACAATGACCACAAAATCACCAAGGTTTTCGTCAAAGCCGTGCCAATGAATCCCAAAGATATCGATAAATTTGATCCGCATCAGATTAATCCTAGATTTGCCAATCAATACTATACGGTTCGATATGAGAAGATAATAGAGAAACTTGACCCTGAGACCCAGAAGGTCTGTATGATAGAGCGGACCAATGGAATTATCGATGACAGCAAACTTTACACAGCGTTGGAGATGGCTAATCATGCCGCCGCCGAGTACTTCCTCGAAATTATAAAACCTAAGGAAGGAGTTGAAGAACATCATAATTTGTACTATGAAGAAATCCTTCCACAAGTAAGGGAAGGGAGAGACGATTGCGCGAAAGGAGATCAAATGTTTCAGTGTGATTTGAATAACGAAATGGTTCCTTGGGCGGACTTCAAATCCTTTAAGGTTGAGGTGGAAGCCTCCAAGACTGAAGGACCTATTAATTAAACGCGAAAATCACGATCTAGGTGCTGGGTTAATATACGTTACCTTGCTTTCCGAGAAATAATCTCTAGTTCGACGTATCACCACCACGCCAATTTTTACTTTCACCAAATTACACTTTACCAAAATTAATAACTAACATCCTCGAACATGCCATTTCCATTTCAAAACTTCAACATCTCATGCGTTTACCGCAGACAATATCAATCATTTCAAGAATATCTCACAACTCCCAACCCTTCGAATTCCGAGATAACGGCAATTTCAACCTACGCTTTACGCACTAAAGTTTCCTATCTTATATTATTATTATCACTTTACTCCATAAAAACTAACATCAATAACACATCATATACAGACCAAATCCCAATCGCCTGATCTTACAGATCAATACCAAATCACCCAAAACAAAACAAAAAAAAATACAGTCAGAAAGGAAGTGCAGAAGTCAGTTCAACCATTAGACGTTCAAGGGTAGTAATGACACGAACGACTCTTGGGGGACTTATCCATGAGTTTATTTCTTGCTGTTTATGAATAGGGAGGGCGTGAGATTGTGGTATTTTATTTTATTTTGCTTTATACCCTTTTTATTTTAGATTGGGAAGTTCCGGTAGCTTTTAAGGGAGGAGGTGTAAAGAGATTGGGGGTTGAGGGGGTGAAATAAATATTGCGGGGAATGTTGCGGGTCTGTGAGAAGGAAGCACTTTCATCGAGGAAAGCTACGTGTGGGTGAGAGATCCATCAGAGAGGATGGCGGAATATGAGGGCCGTTTTTCTGTTTTCTTTACCTAGGAACTCTTTCGTCATCGTTGTTCTTTTTAGCAAAAAAGTGTTAACTGCTGCCACTTTCAAAACTTGGGTCGTTGTCGAGTTTTTGAAACTTTCGTGATATTAGTTGAGTGACTACGTGACATGCTACAATTCACTGCATCTTTTGATTCAGAAGTGATAGTTATCGAGAATTCAGAGATACAAGTCCTCATTTGAGTAGAACTTTCAAAGAAATTTGTATTTCAGATCATTTCTGACCGAATACTCTAGGTTTGGGGTAAATATTAGGGGGTTAAAAGTCCATTCACCCGTTTCAACCCATTTACTTTCCTGGTAGAAATTTTTTTAAATAAAAAGACCATTATGACAGTAACAAAGAAGAAAGATAGTAATAACCGCCGTCATAAATTTTGGACAGAAGCAACTTCTAGACAGTATCAGGGAATACCTAGTAGCTTAAGTTTTTATGGCGGATTCAATGTTAAACAAAAATCTAAAGGGATTTGCGGACATGCTCCAAGCACTTTCATCATGCGTATGGAATGAATAGGGTGGGTAAATTGGTATCTGAGCTGGATTATATAGAAAGGGTCGAGGTATTGGAAGCGGAGGGAGATGGGTGAATTTTATGCTTAGCTTACCTGGGTGAGGAGGCAAATGGTGGGATACCATATTCGATGTGGAGTGAATGAAGAGAGAGGCCTTGGGGATATACCCCATGTTGCTTTCACCGAATTCTCATATCTTTCTATTACTTTAGCAGCTTAGCTACTCAACTATCCTTATCCACAATCAGTACGTGACATCAGCTTCTGGCGATAGCAAGAAATTTTACATATAAGTGATGAATCTATATCAATTCTAATTCTTATATAAAAATAAAACGAATAATAACGATGCTCATTGTAATCACGCTTTACACATGAAAATGCCCTACTTTATGTAAAGCGCCCAACCCTACGGACCAAGACATTACTAGCATTATTTAGCAGATCTCCCAACTCCTATGACACATTTATCTCTTTTATAGCCAGTTATTCGCGTAAGAAACGAGCAGCTTGCTCACCCCGCGTCCCCATCTTTCACCCAAAGGAGTGAATCCTCAAGTATCTTACCTCGGAAATTGAATATGTCAGATTAGTTAACTTGACCATAGTTGATGTAGACTACTCGCTCACCAACCAGGAAGTATATACAAAGCTACCTACACTATGGCATATCCCAGGTGCCACAATCCTAGACTACGACGTGTTTCATTGAATCCCATAATTAGCCAAGGCAGAACTATACATCTTTTCCGGAGCTACCAATAGCTAGTCCTCATACTGTTCTAGGCAAATTGCTGGAGGTAGATAAATCCCACGTTAGACCTGTCCTGTTCATGGGTTGTAATTCGAAAGTGACAATAATTATTGTATTCCAGAGACGCCAATGAACAGAAAGCGATGATGAAAATACTGAGAAGTGAAGTGCATGCTGATTAAAGGTAGAGTAAACCAGGCTGGTGCAATACAAAGTAGAGACAGCGATGGAATATAACGGTCTCGATTATTAGCACCAAGACCACAGCTTGAGGTATTCTACCTACCTAAAGACACTGCACGAGATTTAGCCACTATACAGCATCCTCTCTTCTAGACCTAGCTACCGTGGCCTAACTAAATTATGTTGACGGCAGATATCAGGTATGAATTGAATCATTAAGTTTCACTGGAAGTTGAGTATTACGGTATAAGCAAATGTGAAAAAATTTCTCTATGAAAATTCAAAATACATGACTTCGCTTCAGTACTAGCAAGACGTTAAGTATTTCCCAACGTGACATCTCCCCTCGCCACCAGGTATCCACGGCGCTCCCAATACAGCGAGTTAAACAAGAGCTAAACACAATAAATTACACATTTGGAGAAGGTATCACGGACAAAGCGACGCCAAGGCACAACGTCCCATTACACACATCAGAAACAGTAGTTCTCCTCGAACACACCTATTTTGGAGCCTCTCCGTCAACGAAGCTTAACGCATCCTCCTTCCCAACAACACCAATATTACTCGTCTTATTATGGAAAGTGACACCATAACATTTATTAGCCACCAATACCATCTCCGGTCTGAAAGTTGTGCAAATGAATTGGCCGCCCATGACTTTTTGTTTCTTGGAACCACCCTCATCATCTTCATCATTGTCGGATTCCTCATCTGAATTATCCTGTGATTGGAAAGCTTGTGATTGCTTGGCAGAGATTTCCTTGAGCATTTGGGCGACAGCAGTACGGTATTGAGCATCAAGATTTGCATCGATTTCATCGAAGAGGTAGAAAGGAGCCGGATCACATTGTTGGATTGCGAAGACAAGGGCAAGGGCGCACAGACCTGCAGAGCCACATTAGTATATTGCACGAAGGGTTTTTGGAGGTGGAATGACTTACTCTTTTGTCCACCAGATAATTGTTGAATACGTTGCTGATCATCGTGTTTACTATTGAAGCTGACACTGATTCCAACTCCAACATAATTCTCAACACTATCACGTGCTTCCTCGTCCGAATCTTCTTCCTCTCTGGCACGTCGATCCGCTTTACGTTGAATGACGAGCCGACCACGACCAGCTGGGACAAGACGTTCAAAAATCTGGGCAAATTCCTTGGAGACTTGCTTGAAAGTTCGCTCGATGGCTTCATCTTTACGTTGATCGAGGACCTCAACGAGTTCTTGAATCGATGCCTGAGAATCATCAAGTTCCTTCCTACGCTTGGTCAAGCTATCTCGCTGAGTTGTGAATTGATTGTACTGTTCAAAAGCCTTCTTATTCACGTGCTTATATTTCTTGAGAGCTTCCTGAACCTTCTTGAGGCGCGATTGAATCTAACAATGTCAGTATATATGGTATAAGTAGAGCTAGGCCATTTGCTTACAGATTTGGGGTCATAATCCTTGTATTTTTCAAATGCTTCATCAGGCAAAACACCCAAATCACGAATATTTTTGGCGCAATCTGAAGCACTGGTAGTAAGTATGGCCTTTCGAGCAATGCTCCTTTCCATCTTCTTCTGGTGCTTCTCAATCAATACGGCAATCTTCTGTTGTTCGTCCTCTTTTTGACTCTTCTCCTGTTGAAGATTGATGATGTTTGATTCAGCTTCTTCCAATGAGTTTTCGTTTTCCTGAAGCTTTGTCTCCACAACAGCGGATGCCTTGATGATACGCTTTAATTCTCGTTGAGATTCCTTCAAGTTACCAGTACCACTTCCAGAAGCAAGATCCATTTCTTGATTGTTCAATTGATCAAGCTTAAGTCTAAGATTTTCACGGAGGTCAACCTCGATCAACTGTTTGCGACTCTCAAGTTCTCTTCGATTTCTGCTATGTTCATTCCATTGTTTTTGTAGATCCTGGACGGAAGCATTGAGTTGCTCGAGTTGTCGTTCCTCATTAGCAGTTAAGGCCTTTTTAAAGTCGGAAGCGATTTCTGCCTCATAATCGGAGATTTTTCGATTATGTTCCTGCAACAATTTGATAACATCTGCCTGATTTTGGAGAAGTTTTTCAAGTTGTATCTTCTGCCTTTCGAGATGCGACTGTCTTGACCTCAATCCTGATTTCAGAGGATCCAAGCTGTCAACAAATTGGTTCATCTTCTGACTAGCCTTTTGTTCCTCTGTAAATGCGGCTGTAATTTCTTGATCTTTTTGCTCCAATTCCTTTCTAATCTCGTCCTGGCGCACCCTTAAAGTTTCATACTCGTCCCTCCACTTGTTCAGCGCACGGACTGCTTGAAGTCTTGATTCCTTCGGATTAAGATAACCACCAGTTAAAGCTCCTTTCTTGTTAGTCGTATCACCATCTGGAGTAATGGCATTACACCCATGACTTCTTGCATACTGAGCAGCGATTGTGAGGTTGGGGCAAACAATGGTTTTACCGAATACTTGCTCGAAGGCTGGCTGATACTTTTTGTCGTACCGAATCTTGCTTAACATTGGTATAGCGTCGGATGCATTCGGTAAGGTGGCTGGTTTCGTTCTGAGTTGGCTCAGAGGTACAAATGTAACCCTTCCGCCCTTATCAGCATTTAATGCATTAATAAGCTGCGTTGCAGTCTCTTCGTTATCGACGACGTAGTTAAAAAGGCTACTGCCTGCCGTTTGTTCCACTGCTACTCGGTAAAGTTCTTCAACTTCAAGGAGTTCTGCTAGAGTGCCGTATGCTCCTTGAATCTTATGCTGTTGCTTGAGACGTCTGACAGTGGCTAAACCACGAGACGTAGCACTATCCATAGTTCTAGACAACTCCGACTCAGCTATACTAACTTCCTTGCGAGCATCTTCTATGACGGAGTGAAGCTTTTCATCCTCTCTTCGTAGCAGTTTTCTCTCGTCCTGCAACTTTTCCAGGGCGTCTTTGGCGGTCGAGACCTCTTCAGCCAAGGCTATCCTATTGCCACTCCATCCGTCTAATCGCTCCTGGAGGCCGGATATTTCTGTTTCCAAATTTCGAATTTCAGATTGCACATGCTTCACCTCTTCATCACCATCAATTCGATTTGCCTTCTGAGATCCAATCGAAGAGTTGAGATCCTCAATTTCCTTTCTCAAAAACTGGTCACGTTCAGCCTTGGTTTTGTACTGGTTACTGCGAGCTTGTTTAGCGTATAGCCTGCTCCTGCCTGCTTCCGCTTCATCGAGACTTCGTCTAATTTCTCCTTCGCTAGCTTTACGGCTCTCGAAATCCGGAAGTAACTGTGCAAGTTCCGCTTCTTTTGAAGCTATCTCCTTCTTAACAGAACTTAATTCCTGCTGATGTCTCACACGTGCTTGTTCTGTGGACGATTGATTGACGGTCAAAGTTTTGACGTGTAATTCAATTTTGGCCCTCGTCTTTGCGGTGTCTCGTCTGTCCTCCTCCAATTGTCGCTTGTCTACCCCAAGAAGCTCTATTTGTCGATTCAATTGTTTTATCTGGGCGTCAAGTTCAGCGATGGCTTTTTCTCCCTCCAAGAATGCATCCCGGTTCTCGTCACCATTGCCACCACCTTGTCTGAACTCATCAATTTCCTCCAACTTTTCGGCGATTGCGACCTGCTCCTGGTGGAAGAAGGCGTATTGTAGACATCGGCGATCTTTATCTTTTTCTTGGTAACCTCTCAATTCTTCCTTCTCCTCCTCTAGTTCCGCCAAACGTTCCTTAATGTAATCCAACAACTCATCAATCTTGGCTCGTTTATTGTTGGTATCTGTCATGATCTTCAAGGACTCAGTACGACGTTGCTCATAGACTTGCGTTCCAGCTACTTCTTTTAGTAAGTTTAATCTTTCGCCATCTTTCATATTTGTAAGAGCTGTAACACGTCCTTGAGGCACAATGTAATACGGATTTGACCTAGAAAATCCTGCGGTCTCTAGCAGATTCAGAACATCGGTTTTCGTAGCATTTTTCTTATCCAAAGAATACTCATCTTTCTTCAGTCCGATCGTTCGTCGAAGGTAGAGCTCGTTTTTGCCGGTTGGAAATCGTCCATCAGAATTATCGAAGATAATTTCAACATATGCAGACATGACCGCTGATCCTGAGCCCTCATGAAGTAAAGCCTGTCGCTCTTCCCGACCCATTTGAGTATATGCATCGCTGAGTACGAATCGAATGGCCGCGAAAAAGTTACTCTTCCCAGAACCATTGCGACCAACGATTACATTTGTCCCCGGGGAGAATTCGTCGATGAGCGTTTGATCCTTGTAGCTACATGAATTTCAGCATGCTTCATCCTCTGGAATAGTTGTAAACAGACCTTTTAAAGCCTTGGATATTTATCTGCTTAATGTAAACCATCGCGACCACTCGTCGCCAGCGGGGCAACGGCAATTCCTAGTTGTTATGAAGAGCGCACCAAATAAGAAGAACTGGTCTCTGGCTAATTCAAATGAGTAAGTAGGATTCCACCGGAACTGATTGTACAACAGTATTCAATCGAGTTATAATGGGCTAGCTCGTTCGCGTCAATAAACTGAAGTTCAGCAAACGCGATAGAGTTCGCGATTCTTAGCGTGGAAAAGTGACTTCCCACCGCCCGGCAGAAATTCTCCTTGACAATTTCAGTCACTTCATTCTTTACCACCACCACTTTCAAAACACCGAAAGTTGATACCCAAGACAATTTTATTCTGTGTCTTTGAAATATGGCAGATAGTGCTGAGACATCTACGTCTATTTCTGCTGTAGCAGCAGGTCAAGACCCAACTCACACATATATTCCAAATCAAGGATATGTCCGCCCCGCCACATCAGATGCCCCTCCAATGACGCCGACTTCTGGTGAAAATACAGAATATGCCGCAGATAACGAAGACGATGCATACGATGATTTGTTCGATGAAGAAGATGATGGATACGTTGACGATGTCGATTATGACCCATCCTCTGGTGATCTCACCAAATCTTACAACCGTCAACGCAAGCTCAATGATTCTAACGCCACCGGCGCTCCTCGAATAAATCCTCAGAGACCGGCTGCGAATACCAAGGCAAGTGTCGATGATCAGATCAGCAGTTTATCAAAACATGCTGCGAAGATTAGATTAGATGGTGGATTCGATGGGGGTCACAAAACACATGGGAAGGATAAATCAGATCGTGCGACGAGTGAACAAGTTTTGGATCCTCGTACACGTATGATTTTACTTCAAATGATCAATAGAGGTATTGTTTCCGAAGTCAATGGATGTTTAAGTACGGGTAAGGAAGCCAACGTATATGGAGCCTTGTCAATCCCTTCCGCGGATGCAGATTCACAACCAATTCACCGGGCTATCAAAGTCTACAAGACTAGTATTTTGGTCTTCAAGGATCGTGATCGTTATGTTACCGGCGAACATAGATTCAGATCTGGATATAATAAAGGAAATAACAGAGCTATGGTCAAAGTCTGGGCCGAGAAAGAGTTCCGAAATTTAAAACGTCTACACTTGGCTGGAATTCCTTGCCCAGAGCCAGTTCATCTTCGATTACATGTCCTTGTAATGGGTTTCCTAGGTGACAAAAAGGGATGGGCAGCGCCAAGACTTCGAGATGTCGAGCTTTCTGGTGAAGATGTCGATGAGCAATGGCGATTACTCTACCTACAACTCATTGGACTCATGCGAAGAATGTACCAATCATGTAAACTTGTTCACGCAGATTTGAGTGAGTATAACTTGTTATACCACCAGAAAAAGCTTTTCATTATCGACGTATCTCAAAGTGTTGAGCACGACCATCCTCGTTCGTTGGAGTTTCTCCGAATGGATATTAAGAACGTCTCAGATTTCTTCAAGCGCAAGAATGTCGAGGTTCTTTCCGAACAAACTATTTACCAATTCATAACTTTCCACGATGGACCAACTCAGGAGCCAGGACTTAGCGAAGCGCTCGAGAAACTACTTATCGAAAGACCAGAAGAAGCTATAACTGAAGAGGCCGTCGCCGAGCAAGAAGTCGAAAACGAAGTCTTTCGTCAACAATACATACCACAAACTCTAGAACAAGTCTACGATTTCGAGCGCGACGCCGAGAAAGTAGGGAAAGGCGAGAGAGGTGACCTTGTGTACAGAAACTTGTTGGCTGCTGATAAGATGCCAATGTCTTCAGGCAACGAAGCGGATGCAGAGGATACTGTGGGTGACAGCCAGGCTAGTGATGAGGAGGATAAGGAGGGTGATGAGGATGGAGAAGATGGAGATGAAGATGATGACGAGAAGAGATTTGAAAAGGGTACGCCTAGGGGCAAGAGATTTGAGGATAAGGATGCTAAGAAGGTATGTATTGGCATTTTTTCTTTCGCTTTTCAACCTACCACACTCCGTACCTTTTATCACGGAATGATGACCCAATTTCCATCCACAAAACATGACGTCCCTTCTGGGACCAGATTACAAATTACGAGAACTTTTTGTCTGACCATACTCAACTATTTCAATCCTTAAACATGGGTTTATAACTTCAGATCGCTAATTTATCTCCTCAACAATAGGAACACAAAAAAGCAGTCAAAGAGGAAAAACGCGAAAAGAGGAAAGATAAAATTCCCAAACATCTTAAAAAGAAACTCGTGAGTTCGACGGCAAAACATAAGCACTAGATTTACGCCGAAAATCAAAGCATAAATTCTCGAACAGAGCCAATAACCCCCTGCTTTCTTCGCGTGATTTTCATTCCATGTCAAATCAAGCTAGTGGTAAGTATCATCAACATATTTCCTCTCTCTGTTCTTCCCCCCTCTCGGTGTCTAAACACCCCTAGAAACCTCCCAAACAAACAAACAAACAAAAAACCCGAATGAAGAAACAAAATAACTTCTCCCTCCCAACCCAACACCATACAACACAACAAAACACAATACAGTCCATCAAAGTAGCGTTCTACTCCTGCAAAACCTCTTCGATGTACTGTATCGTGTATGTATGTATATATAGTTGGGTTGGATTCACTACTCCGGAGAAGCTGAGTAGCTTTTTACTTTTTTCATAGTTTTGGGATTTGGATTTTGGTTTTTATATCTTGGATCTTATATTTAGGTATAGATTACTTGGGTATAGATTTAAGATTTAAGATTTCAAGTTTCCCCAAAAAAACATATGAAAAGAGTAGGAGATATGCTGAGTAAAGAGAGCACTGACGGGTTTGCTTTGTTTTGTTTTGTGTTGGTTTGTTTGGGGATTCTTTTTTTATTTTCTTTTTATTTTATTTTATTTTCTTTTGGTTTTTGGAGGGGGAGATATTTCCAGAAGGTTTGGGAGGTAGGATTTGGGGAGCAGGGTCTGAATTCTAGAGTTTTTGTTTAAGTTGGGGAAATGGGGGGATGGGGTTTGAGAAATAAGATGTAGAGAGGGAGAGAAATGTGATCGTTGAGTTTGCCATTCGTGAAATACAGCCGAATGAATGAGCTTGCTAGTGTGCATCCACACATAGATGGATTGTACTGAATTGAATTAAACCGTATTTCAAACACAAATAAATGAATGAGTTATACCAAATCATACTACGTACATGTAAATGCATATATAAAACAAAGTCCCATCCGCTATACCCATATAAATTGCATGCTATCTATCTTGTGTGATTTTTGTACATTTACAAATCCTAGAATGGCTGTGGCCATATGATGTGATATGATATGAACTCCTTATCAAGAAAAAAAAAAAAGAAAACCATATCTCATTATGAAATCCTTGATCGCCATTATATCCACAGTTCCTACAATTCATCCATGCATCCATTCATCCGTGCTCCGACCATCATGTCCATAACATCGTGTTGTATTTCATACCAGTACGTACCTATATACTGGCCAGTTTCCGTTTTCCTTCATCCATCCTTAACCCATTCATACAACATACATATCGATCCATCCATCCCAATCGTCATTCCTCAGATTTGTTACTCCCGCCTATACCCACCATTTCTCTTCTTCCTCCTATCCTCCGTATAATCCGTTTCATTTCCTCTCTCACTACTCAACCCCGGTATAAAACAAGGATAACTCTTATGTCCCGTATCGCCATTAACTTCACTATCCTCTCGTACACTAGTCAATTCGCTTCCACCCACACTTGACTCCGCGGCCGAATAAGCAGGTGGAGCCAAATGTGCTTGACTTCTACTTTGTTTTCTAGCTTCACGTCTAGCGCGTCTCGCTTCTCGTTCGCGACGCTCTTGTTCTTTTATCGCGGCTGCGTCACGAGCTGATATTAGAGAAGATCCAGCAGCGGAACTATTGTCATCTCCAACGCGGAAACTGAAATCTCTACGCTGAGCAGCTCTTCCCTTATCTTGGAGTTTCTTTGCTTCGGCTTTGATTCTTTCGTCGTCCGTTATGCTTGAATCGGCTTCACTCTGTCTTGAACTCTTCTTAGTGGTGGTTTGTCTATTCCAGAAAGCCGGATTTCCACCAGTCTCCTTTGTTGAAGGACGTGGGCCTTGAACTGTACCGACAACCTTTCGAATCTTGTAGTGATCTTTGTTGTTGCTCTTGTTGCTCTTCCTTGGCCTTTCGGGAGTATTCTCAGGTGGTCTCTCCTGGTTTTGTATAAGTCCGTCGGAGACAGTAGAGCCTTCAGCATTGGTTGATCCTTCCCAGATACTAGACTCGCTTTCTCTATTCATGCCACCAACTCGTGCTGGTTTCTCATGTCGGTATGCTCGAAGGTCCGCAACATCGTCGCCATATTCGGATTCCGGTACATCGCCCAAATCACCTCCACGGAGTCTACTCTTCTTATTTTTCTTCTCCCTTCTCGGGTAATTGACCTCGCTCATTTCGCTGTAAGTAAGCTCACTTTGTGTGCCAAGCGAACTCTCTTCCTCGTCATAGTCCTTATATCTTGACCTCTCCATCCCACTTCCCCCCTTCTTACTCTTCTTATTCTTCCTTCCCCATGTACTCCTCTTCTTTTCTCCATGCACTATACTGCCACCTCCAAGATCCGTGGCTTCTGAACCTCCAGAAAGTGTAGTACCATTAGGACCTTTGCGTCTCAAGACGGTAGACTTATAATCATCCCAATCATTTTCATGAAAGACAAATCCACCATTCTTGGCGATGAAGAAGAACCATATGCCAGTAATAACAAAGCCAGCACCAATTAATCCAAGGAGTATAAAGACGAATTTGTTGGGAACATTCTCGAAAGGCGTAACACCACTAGAAGGATCTACCGTGCCGACTCCATCGCGTGCGGTGAGAGTTCTAGTGATGATATTAGGCACAGAGGGTACGTTGTCGGAAGAGGGAGACGCAATGGCGGTGCGTTTGAGGTGAGAGGAGACATAAGAGGCAATGACAGGCATGATTGATGCGTTTTCGTAGTAATTGTCGTGAATTGCCTTGGTTTTTGCGATGCTGTGAGTTGTATAAACTCCAACTAAGTGCAGCTTCGCACCATCCGCAGATAATAAAAGATTATTATGAATTGAATATTCGTCAATTGAGTTTGTTGTATTATTAAATTATCGAAATCGATTGAAAAAAAGTTGTAAGACTACAAAGTCTTCATCAAGAAATGGAATTTCTGTGTCGTGTGAAAGTGCCAACTCATGGATCCATAGTAAAAGACGAGGCTGGGGAAAAAGCGGGAGGTTGGTTTATTATTTTGTTTACACAGCAACCAGCCCCACAACCAATTTATTTTTGGCCATGATTCGCTTCCAAGCCCACGCTAGGTACAGCAAGTGTCTCTAGCGTTTAACGTTCTCAGAACCTCAGCATTTCCAAGGCAATCCTCCGTATGGAATCCAGACATCACGAACAATCCAGGTTAAAGAATGGGCCTTGCGCATATGCACGAAATAGATCAACGGATCTGATGCATGAAGCATTGAGGATATGATATTGTTTTAAGGCTGAGAGTGGGCCAGATGGTAATATTGTTAACTTTCCCAATATTGGGTCCAAAAAGTTCTATCTCGATTATCAAATTGATGCATATCTACGGCATATCTACGAGCAGGTATTGGCCTCTAAAGGATACACGTTGCATTCGGCTCGATGCATCAGATTTGAGTCATCCATAGAGAGACTTTTGCACTGCCATTCCTTCTTTCTGCCTCTCTCTGAAAATTAATATAGGTTATCCTATCGTTCATGTATCAAAACTCCATTTCTATGACCAAGTACGCCATATTAACTCCCAACTGCAAACCCGTTCAAAAGACTCAATTGACAGACGGACATACGGACATACGTCCAACTTATCAATCTGATATCTAGAAAAGGCCGTTCCATATTTTGGTTGGCAGCTTTTTCATCTCAAGGTGATTTACTGTCCAATCATTTAAACCTGGTCGTCATTGGGTTAGACAGACACCCTCACGTCCCAAAATTCAAGCTATATCTTTTTCCCTCTGTCACCGTCTCGAACCTTTTTTCTTCCTCATTAGTATCCGCTTCATGATGCATGTCATCGTACATCTGATTCGTCATGAAAAGGTCAGTAATTCTCCGTATCCAAAGTACGTGTCAGAACAAGAGAATGATCAGAGTTAAGCAAGCTCTTTAGTCTGCGCATAAGGCGCCCGGTTTCTACGAAAGACTGGCCTGTTTCATGTGCGATCCAGATCTGACTACAGAGGGCCGTTCAAATTGCCGGAAATTTTCAAAGAACTTTTCTTCGAATAGCAAGTACATCACTCATATATGGTGTTCACCCATGAAAAGAACCATTAATACTGCACTTCTATCCTTCAAAGATGTCATCCAGAGAGGTGTGAAGGTTCAAGCTATGGATTTGCTTCAAAATCGGGATGCTTCTGCGAATGGTATAGGGATGGACAAAGAAGACCTACAGAAACTCTTTGGTGCACAAGTAGGTTTTGAAAAAGTAGAGGAAGGATGGAATGAGAAATCTTTTGGAAAATGGGCTCCGGGAAATCAGGATTGGAAAATGCCAGCCTTAAAGATGGCGCTTAAAGATTTACGGTCCACTACCAACATAGCCGAAGTTGTTATTGTCAGTCATGGAAGTCTTCTTGATGATTTGACTCGTCTGAGAGGTGGCTATAGTAAGTCAAGTGTCAAATAACACCAAAGATAGAAGAGCTGATGAATTTGAGTACACAGGACGTAGTTGGCGTGGTGAAGTTCGCAGCTATCTGATTAATGATCCCGGGGAACCTTGTCAGTTATTAGATAAGAATGCCCTCGAACAATACAGATCGCTTGCAACGGACGATCAGATGATACCAAAATCAGATCAAGATCTGACCAACACCAACGATCCTGAAAAGTCAAGACTAGCGGTAGCATTAAATCCTCCAGCATCCAAGAACTCTGGAGAAGCCCTGGTGGAAATAGCCCCGATCAATAAAACCATTCCACAAACCATTCCCACAACAGTACAGATTCTCGAAACCGCAAAACAAACCGAAAACAATCCAACTACATCCGCACAGCCTCTCCAGCAAAAAACAACAACAAAAACAACAACAACAATCAAACTAAAACGAATTTTCCCACAAGAATTCGAAGCAGAACCCCTCCACATCTCGAAAAAGATATACGCAATACCCCAAGAAAATAACAAATTAAACGGAATCTGGAGTATGAGTGATCAGGATATCGCGAGGAAGGTAATGACTAATGAATGGATGTGGATGAAGGAACAGGTTTCGGTACAGTTATTGATGAATAAGGCGAGGGTTAAGGGTACCCAAATGTGTTTGTTGGATGATGATGTTGTTGATTGTGATGTTGATAATGTTGATAATGAGATAAATGGGTGGGAGAGGAAGGTTGTGGTTGCGGTGTAGGTTTGTGTATTGGGTGGGTAGCTACTAGGTACCTAGCTGCCTTATTTAGGATATTCAGTTCAGTGCAATTCGCTTCAAATTTCGAAACTTACTTGGGTAATTAATCACATTATTCTTACGAGGTTTGCCGTCTAGATCACGTGGAAGTGCTCTAGGCTCTTGAGGTGGTTTATAACTAGGCGTCAAGCAGGGACTTAAAGTAATGACAATAATGATATGCAATTCGTAACTAATAGTAGAGTATACTAAATGATTGATCTTGAGCACGAAGCTTTATACAAAGGAAATCCATCTTGATTATATAGACCTTCATGCCTATGGCTAGTCAGGACGCGCAGCGGTCCATAACGTGGACTTAATCACGCTAACTTGGTTTAGTCATGG